GGTGATCGAGGTCAAAGAACCAACCTGACACGGCCGGCGCGGGGGCGGGCCGTGGATACAAAGGAAATTGATGGTTGTTCCGGTCACAATATCTGACAGGTTGTTATTAGAAACTACTCCAAGTTAAACCTATTATTCTAGGGGTACCATCACAGAACAAAGAAATATCACTCTCGTTGTCTAATCCGGTTCGTACTCTTATAAATCTTGATTGACATCACTACAATAGCATTGTTCATGCAGGGCTGGATCAATTGACAGCTCTGCTGGCTGTGAAAACTCGGCGTTGGACTGTTGGTTTACTGAAGTTTATCGTGCAGACTGCAGCAGTAGACTAGAAGAGCATGAAAATTCGACTCTGGAACCCTTACAGTTAGCTGTCACTGACTACGTAGTGCTACGCACTTGGACGAGTCTAGAGAGAGACGCTGTCAGCACGACTCGACGAAGCTCCGGGCCAGCCGCTGGGTCTGTTTCTGTTATTATTGTTATTATTTCGTTATTGTCAGAGTTTGCACCACTCAAAAGTTGGGTGAAACTAGACTAAAGCCAGAAACAAGCACGCCTAGTGACTGGTCTAGGCGCCTCCAACCATTCCCGGAGCCGAGGCAGCGGATACGTGGTGGAGTCAGGATCGGCTTCCGATTGGATCTTGTTCCTGACTCAAGACTCGCACAGAGAAAATGAGAAAGAATCCTTTGCTAGTCGTAACATGTCTGTCCATTTCTCAGTTCTAACTTCTGAGTTCTGACCAAAAATTAACTCTGCGTCTCCGTCTCCTTGGCGGCGCCGTAGACTTTGGGCTAGAGAGATAGTGCATTCCGTGTGAACGGAAACGCTGTTGGTTATCAGCCAGCCTGACTCGAGTCGCTTGTCATCGCAGCGGGTAACAATAATGGGTATATATTATATTGTCACGCAATCGGAACATCAGCCGGTCTTTGAACCATACGTTCGGTGTCTAGCTGCAGGAGAATGTATTGGTATTTGGTAGTGATGATCAGGATCAGGATAGAGAGACTAGCCCGCCTTCCGGGTACGGGGCAGCTTCATAAAAGCTCAAGACTTAATTCGTACCTGGAGCTAGATTAGTGGAAGTCCATTTGCTGTATTCCTGGTGCTCTTCCTGGCGCTGCTGTAGCTGATACTACTCCTGCCAAGAAGGTGTCAAGTCTACAGGATCAATTCCAAACACGGCGACACGGCGTTCATGGAGGTGCAAGTCTTGCCAATATCCCTCGTTGAACGTCCTGACTAGGCGGGTTAATGGAGACCCACAAGTTTCATCCGAACCGGAGGAATTGCTGATTCAGTTCTCCGTAGTACGTGTTACGGACGAGTACTCGGTACTAGTTGACCTGATTCCAACAATCTGATGATGATTGTCAGTCATGACGGATTCGCAGTCGACTATTCTGTACGCTAAGGAGAAGATTCGATATTATCCATCTTATGTTGACACTATTTGAATAGGTTCAATTATTGTTGATAGTACATGATCGAACTGTTCTGGACTGGACTGCTCGCTGCACTGCCTCAGCTGGTACACCATTACGCCTGGTGGATGTTTGGACTGGTAGGCGGATCGCAGGGAACAGCAGTATCGTGCAATATTGAATAATATTATTCTAGGACTGAGAGTTGAAATGCTGCCGTTAGTTAATATAATTCACCAAATACAATCAATAGAGATGGAATTAAGGACAGACCACAATGAAAATTGCGGACTCTGAAGTGTTGCTGCTGATGGCGATCCACTGAAGCAGAATTGTCTCACAATTGTGCCACTGCGCCACTGAATGTCTAGACTGGATGTATGTCCTGATACCTTGGGCATTATCCGGGATGTCGCCTCACCTGTTGGCAATATAATATGACAACGAAGCCGGCGCACATACATCAACGCCTCAAGGATACTGAGGAAAGGTAGGTAGTATTCGATAATGTCGACACAAGAAACGACTCACGAGTCAGCCAGGCAGAGAGTCAAGAAGCTAGTGAGGAGGGAAAATCGTATTTCCAATCGTCCTAGACGGCGCAATGCTAGAGGACCACTTTGGGCCACAATCGGCAAAGGGTAGGACGCGGCGTGGCACTAGTGAGACCACAGGCTCCTTCCCGGCATCCGCGTTTCCAGGGCGGCACATAAGCTCCCGCCAGGAACCGTTGGACAAATAATTAGAGTCTTCTTTGTTGATTCCTCAGTCAGCATTCGGCGTCGTTGTTATTGTCAAGTTCTACCAAGTAGTAGGCATTGCCAACGTGCAAGTCAGTGATAGTGCGACCATTTTCCAGATCGAGTGTCGTGGGGATTGGCGACTGATGATTGATGCGAGCCCGAGGCAGCACGTGCAGCATGGTGAAGAATCAAATAATCCCCGAATCCCCGGCCGCTGACAAGACAAGGCGACGAAACACGGTGGTCGCGCAGTGAAGAGCCTGCAGTAGTCTGTGACATCTCGAAGAACGCAAGAGAAACAAAAGTAGAAATGTTCTCGCTTGTGCAGCAGCTCGGGTGACGCTTCAGGGGTTATCTGCAGCGCCGCTCATGATTGGCTGCTGGCTGCCGCGTCGCGTCTTTTTTTGATTGGCTGGGTACAGAGTGGCGTCCAATTAGAAGCTTGCATTGTGCTAGTATTTACTATTTGGGTTTTAGCATTGTGACCACTCGCAATACAATTTTCATATGCTCGTTGTCTTTATGTTCATAATATGTGATTGTGTTGGTGATTCAAACATGGACTAGACTACTGCACGCTCGGAGAGGACAAGTGCCGCCCATGCATCGAGATTCTTCAGCACATGTGACCTGGATTGTATGCACGCATGGCACGAATGGCGGAATTTTGCCTTGCCGCGTTTCTCAGATACTGCAGATTGCATCGATCTGTGAAGATTGAACGCGGGGAGTCCTACACTTGCCCTCCCACTAACTATCCATGCGATAGTAATGGCGATAATGATAAGGATAATGTGATAGCGTGATAGATTCTCCGCCATCGACAGATTAGATCTGCGCGGACAAATACTCCGTACTCCGCCATAATCTGTCTGCACCGCGCATCCAACAGGAATCGGGGGAATGGATATCATACCCCAGCGTTGTCAAGAACTGAGCACTGGTCAAATACCTAGGACTCAGGATTCGGGACTGAACAGGGTGATCAGGGTCTGCAACCTGAATAATGGTCAGGCCCAAAAATAAACTAAGCTGATTTAAACGTCCTATCACCAACAGAGAAAAACGTCCGCTCCGAAAGGCACCCACTTGGAGAAGGGGCCTGCCCAGTTGTGGATGGCCAGGTACGGGTTCACCAAGGATCTGTCTTACGGGCCTGGTCGTTCTGGCTGCCATATTGGGAACAGAGGCCGATGGAACTGGCTATTTCGTAGCGAGCAGCGAATCAGGCTCTGAGGATTGATTAATTATTCCCAGCGCGGATTTCAATTCGGACTGACATGCGCACTCAATTCACATTCTTCTCACATCACATCGAAGACGAAGTTGGGTTTAAAATCGATATTGAGATGAACAATAGGGTTGACATACATATGTCCGCGTAGTGTCGTGATAACTAGTTATACCATTATTACCAATATCCTTCTAATCCAGCACGGCATATTAATCATTGATATACCATGCAAGACGGTCATAATATAACACATAAGAGTAATAGCGATCCGTTTATTATCGTAATATACAGTATATCGACGTGTTATCATCGTTATGGAACAATCGCGAGGTCCCACTTGACGGCAATGAGCTCTCCAGTCTGCCGGGCCTGGTAAGTAATTAATTAACTTAGGAGTCAGTCGCTGAGAGTCAAAGGCCGAGCCGTTGCTGTGGTGTCGATCCCTGCTCCGCTGGGAACCATTATTGGGTCTTCGGGCGGCCCACTTGAGCAGCAGCTGGCGATTGCGAGAACCATGGTTCGCGTTCTTGAATGCTATTGACGTTGGCAACGATTATATCATAATTGTGATCATTGCTTCATCTCGTATTGGCACATGCTCCTTAGCAGTTATCATTCATTAGTTCTCCGGCCGGATATGCCTAATCAACTATACAGTCGGGGCGGGCCAGGCGCATTGATCGACTTGCTGGTGAGCTAATAATGGACCAACCAGGGCTTTCATGAATCCGTGATGCCGTGATGTCGTTATCCGCTTAAATTGATGCTATTATGCTCTCCATATCGTTCACGCATTTGCAATAGCATTGACTCGGCATGGCATTATTATCGCACGAATATATTACTACGATAGCACAGAATGCATCAATATCATAATGAACAGGATGTACAGAGTATGTACTTGGACTATCCCCTGCCCGTTGCCACTGGGGGCTAGTCCCCACACTAGGTGGGCCTAGCTGGCACTAGGTGCAGCTAGACTAGCTAGTGGACCGTGTTGACCCATTCATGTTGGCTGTTGCCAGTGATTGTTATTGTTGTTATTACTATGTGGTTAATACTATGTTATTATGGCCATGCTATTATGACAATGGTGCCCGGTCCACTGTCTGTGTTCTTCTCTCGCATGGCAGACACCACGCAGCTCGGCCCTGAGGTACTTCGGAGTCGCACAGGGGTAACTCCCCAACAGACAGCCAGACAGCCAGACAGCCAGACAGATGGCTAGCGCGGCATTGGGCCGACATGGAACTGCTCGTCTATGATTCACCTTGATGCACTGGTAAGAGGAAGTCAAGCTCAGGGGACCGTTTCGCACGGCCAGCACACGGGCCAGGGCGGCCCACAGCCGGCCGCCTGTCACTGCGCAGTGTGCCGAGTATACGGAGGAAGAGTGTGAGACTGCCAGAGCAATTTAATTACAGTAGCTTGGCGGTCGAGGGCCACGGTGGAGTGGTCGCCGATATTCTCGGGCCGCGCCAGCCAATGCGCGCATTACGCATGCTGCGTTATTGTTATAGCCAAATAAAATAGAAAAGACCACTAGGCTCTAGTAAAAAAGAAAAGAAACCAGAAAAAAAAGCCCCACGAGCACCGTCCCAAGAATAAAGACACTAAGCGCAGCTAGGCCGCCCCGCAGCAGGGCATGACAACTGCTGCTGCTGCCGCCACCCCACTGGCCAGACCTCTGGGACCGCCTGCTTGTTCTTCTTGCCGGCTTTTCCTTCCCTCTGTCCGCTGCTCGTCGTGGTGATTCCGATTTCTATCCTGTTCTCCTTCTTTGTATCGCATCGTGCTTCTTCTGTGATTGTACCAGGCGTCCTTCCTTACCGTCAATTCTGTCAATTGCGCTGTGATCACCCCGCTGATCCATTGCTGCTTGTGGCCTTCCCGCGTATCTGGATACAATACGCCGCGCCTCCCTTCAACAGCCCTTGCGTAAACAGGGGACCAAAGTGCCAGATCCATCCACGGCCACCATTTACCTACCTACTTTCGTTCTCATCCCTCTGCCTGTGTCTGGCTCCTGTCGGATTTTCTTATCTCGAGACAATTCACTGTCTATCAAGCAATATTCATCGGTGTCATCTGCTATCTATATACAACTACAACTACTTTGATAGAGAAGGTCTCCGGAAAGACGCATTGCTATTCACCTTCCCAGCAACGTGCCAATAGTCCCAGACTATAGCACGGTTCTGCAGCCCACTCATTGTAAGTGTCCAACCTGCTGCCAGCTTGACGCCCTCCCCAAAGGGGTCGTGTGTTGACATTCCATGTTTACCCAGCCCTCCCCCCTGGGCTGCCGCATTCCCCGCCTTCTTCAACTCCTTTCCCAGTGGCTGTCGTCTTCTCATATTGATTATTGTCTTCCCAAACTAACTGGGAATCGTAGCTGCCATTGTTGAGCGGAAGAACCGAATTACATCGCTATTACAACTATCTTGCTCTAGCAGTACTCGACGGTGACCATGTTCTTTTGGACCTTGTCCGTCTAAATCCAACTTGCCACCCTGATCAGGGACTTCTTCATTCCGTTTGTCATCGTGAAAGGCAACCTAGAGCCGAAATGAGTATGGAAGATTCACATCAAAACGTCGCTCCATTAAATATCACGAAGGGTAGATCTCGCCCACCGATTCCTCAACTCGACTTTTCCTCCATCAACCGCACACCAAGCACAAATCGTGGCAAGCAAGAAAATATGACCCCGCCCTTAACGCCACACGGTTCGAGAGGCACACCAGAAGGACTGGACAACTCGCGATCTCTTTTCCACAACTATCTCCGTGCTTTCTATCCGTTCCACCCTTCGAGTGTCGTCTCACCATCTACTGTCACACTTCCCCTTAATCAGGGCGACATTATCCTAGTGCATTCGGTCCATGTCAATGGCTGGGCTGACGGAACGCTTCTTGAAACCGGCGAGCGAGGATGGCTCCCCACTAACTACTGCGAGGCGTACGATCATCAACCCATGCGCCCGCTGTTGAAGGCTCTCACAGACTTTTGGGATATCATTCGAGGAGGATGCGGTACCTCTTTACGCGATTTTAGCAATCAAGATTTGATGAAAGGCCTAATTGCAGGAGTTCGATACTTACTAGTACGTCTACGTCGAGTGTCCAGTTGACCCTCTTGGCTAACAAGCAATACAGGAACGATCCGAATGCTTAACAAGAGAAGCACATCTTGTCCAGCGCTACGAGGGATTACGTCGAAACCGCAAGGCTCTACTGGCAGACCTATCCTCCCTTGTGAAGTCTGCCAAGCGATTACAAGAGTTGGCTAAAGGGACTCCACACGATGATGAGGTTGAACATGTTCTGGATGAAATGCTGTTAAAGTCGTTCAAGATCGTCACACGTGGTGTCAAGTTTCTGGATGTCTGGAATGAATATGTTGGCCTCACAAGAGCCATTTTGGATCTCGAGCCGCCGAGTTTGGATGATTACGACACCCCGATGTTAACACCGCCCATTGATACTTTTAATATTCCTGATCGACAAACCGAGGCCTCACCAGAAAGGAATTGGAGTCGCCCCACCGTCAGTCGGAACTCAACCCGTACGGAGATGGAGTGCTCACCACACCCACCAAGTGTGATGAACGGACAAAGTAAAAGGATCTCAGTGTCCCACAGAGTGTCTTATTCCGGAGGATCTGTCAATCAAAGAAATCCTGACTTGGCTTCAGAGCGCCTTGTTACCTCATACGACGCTTTCTTGGGTGTCCTTGGGTCTTTCATTGGCCTTCACCTCCAATCTCGTTCGTCAACCGAGCTCATTCTAACAACACAGCAAGCCGTTCAGTCTTGCCGCGAGCTACTCTCTGTTGTTGAAGCGATATGGGAACATGACCTCAGACGTTCTTCGGAGCTGGAATATGCCAAGGATTCAATGTACGATTTGATTTCGGAATTAGTACAGGCTGCACGTGAAGCTTTCCGACCGAACTCCTCAGATGACGATGTTGTTTTCATGCCTGATGAAGGGAAACGCATAGTAGATGCTGCAACTGACTGTGTTCGTGGCGCTGGAAGCTGTCTAGCGAGGTCCCTAGGTGTGTTGGAACAAATCGGTGATATCGAAATTGATCCATCATGTTTTGAACAAGCACCGAGCTCAGAGCTCGCGACACCTCAACCGACCCGAGAACTAATGACAACTGTCAAAGATTCTCCGCAACCATCTTTGCGCCTTCTTCCTCCACCAATCTCCATCCCAAACCGCGACTTGAGCCCGGCAACCCCTGCCCTTACAGATGGAACTACGCCATCCTCAATGATTTCTCGAACAGGCTTGCAGAGTCCCAAGCTTGATGTGGATCTAGCTTTTACACCGCTTATTGGAAGTGAAGTTAGCCTCTCAGATCCAACCTACCAGGAACACTGTTCGCTGGAAGATACACAACACCTTTATCGCTACGAAACAAGAGGTACTACAAGTACCGGAAGCTCATTTACATACCAAAGCACCGTTCGCGACTCTGAGATGAGCGGTGTCTCACAAACATCCACTAGAGCAACGTCTCCCGATATCAACACCACGGCCCTCACACCATCTTTGAAAGAAAGTCTCAGCCGCTCTACTCTGGCGGAGGAGAGCGACGAGGCAGAGGCGAATGTTCTTGAGAAGACATTTGCCCACGAGCTCATGTTCAAGGATGGTCAAGTTGTAGGCGGAAGCCTTCGAGCCTTAATCGAGAAGCTCACTGCCCATCAATCAACCCCAGATGCTTTATTCGTTTCGACATTCTATCTAACATTCCGTTTATTTGCCTCGCCTCTCGAGTTCGCCGAGGCCCTCGTTGAACGATATGATTATATCGGAGAGACACAACATGCGGCTGGCCCGGTACGACTTCGAGTGTACAATGTTTTCAAAGGATGGCTTGAAGCTCACTGGCGTCATGATTGTGATGGTGTTGCGCTCAATTTTATCTTTGATTTCGCCAACAATAAATTAATACATACTTTGTCTAGCGCTGGCAAACGCCTTATCGAGCTTGCAGAAAAAGTACGTGCTACGCATGGGCCGGTTGTGCCACGTCTTCTGTCTTCAATTGGTAAGACGAACACGTCCGTTGTCCAATATGTGCCTCCAGAAACACCCCTTCCAGCTCCTTCCATCAGCAAAAGCCAGATGGGCCTCTTGAAGCAATGGAAATATTCAGGTACTACTATTGGTATTCTCGACTTCGACCCTCTCGAGCTGGCTAGACAGATCACAATTAAAGAATCTCAGATATTTTGCTCAATCCTTCCAGAGGAACTCCTAGCAACCGAATGGATGAAGAAATCTGGCTCATTGGCTGTCAATGTTCGAGCAATGTCGACGCTCTCGACTGATTTGGCCAACCTTGTCGCTGACTCTATCCTCCAATTAGAAGAACCGAAGAAGAGAGCGGCAGTTATTAAACAATGGGTGAAGATTGCTAACAAATGCTTGGATCTCAACAATTATGACTCTCTCATGGCCATTATCTGTTCTTTGAATTCGTCTACAATTGTCCGCTTGAAGCGTACTTGGGAGCTGGTCTCACAAAAAACAAAAACAACACTTGAATCTCTCAAGGAAGTTGTCGATGTTTCCCGGAACTATGCTGTTCTGCGCCAGCGACTGCAGAATTGCGCTCCTCCCACTCTTCCTTTCGTGGGCGTCTACCTGACCGACCTTACCTTTGTCGATCACGGTAACCCTGCCGAGAGAAATCTCCCTACCGAACATGGCGGCAAGGCCGTCATCAATTACGACAAGCATATGAAGACAGCCAAAATCATCAGCGAGCTTCAACGTTTTCAAATTCCCTACCGCCTGACTGAAGTACCAGAGTTGCAGACCTGGATGCAAGATCAGTTTGTGCGAGTACGCTCAAGCGGCGAGAAAAGCTTTCAAAATTATTACCGACGATCGTTGATTCTCGAGCCTCGGGAAATGTCCCGAGGCCCTACAGCTGACTCCAGCGCCTCTCTTACTCCATTGCGAGAAACTGCCAAGGACAAGTTTGATTTCCTTTCCTGGGCTTACAGCTCAAAAGCCAAGTCTGTTATGACGACTAGCTAAGGAGCATATTCTGCATATATTTTTGAAGCTTTTATTTTTATTTCCCAGGCATGTTGTGGCGTGTCTGCGAATGCATGATTTATGATGTGATTTATTGGCGCGATATGTGGTTTACTATTTGTATCAAATACCCTGCTTGTTTTTGCATGTTTTATTTTTTGGGTTGGTTGTTTGTATTCTTTAATAAAAGGGATATCTGGGAGTCCCCGGCCATGTCACATTTCGGAGGGAAGGAAAAGTTTACAGGCGCGTCTTTTTCTGGCTCCCAGAAGAAAAGATTGTACATTATATGACGCATCTAGTGCCTCGCGGCAGTATCGATAGTATCGAATGGATAATTCATGAATTACCTGAACTTTCCACTCTGAATTCATCTTAACAGTCTTCTCTATTCTGTGTATTGCCCCACAAGTCATCAATTTCAAAGTAACATGATTAACTTAGCCTCTAGTATTTCATTCCAATAACTTAGCTATTGAACTCTCCATCTTTCAGGGATTGTTGGTCGAAGGTGGTTGCTAGGGATTCAATGTTGTTGCTAGGAGTAAACAAGGAGTTATGCGCCGTGCCGCCTTGCTTTTCTCTCTGGCGTCATGGCGCATATAAATTGTTATCTCCTTGGAAGGAATGGAGTGGATCGGAATGTATTGCGGATGATGTCATTATCTTGAACATGCTGTCTGCCAGCCACGTCGTGCTATGGTTACTAAATAGCAATGTTGAGTATGTGACTGATATCTAGCTAGAATTTCATTGGCAATGGATTATCTTACTCTCGGGAAGCAAGATCTAGAAGAAAAAAGCATTAACATCTCACGCAAGATCAGCCATAGATCTCCTCTTATTCGCCCAAGTATCTAATGGCCACAACACAATCAGCCATCCAAACAAAACCGGTACATTACGATACACTCTACTCGTCGAGCCGTGACTTAATATTGTAATCAGCAGCTCAAAGCAATTGTATCCAGGCCAGACATAATCGAGATGGAAGAACCGTGGCTTGAGATCAATTGGGAATGCAGCTGCTGTAACGTTGATGATGATGTAGACCAGAACCATAGGCGGGTAAAACGCTGCAGGAATAGCGCCGACCATGATGTCATATAGCAAAAAAGCAATTAGGGCGTACATCCAGAATGTGAGCCAGATCACACAGTATTGGACCCCGGAGATCCCATTTGGACTCTCGTGAAAAGCTTCGTACCAAAGACCCCACGAGATACCGGAAACGCAGCTCATGATGGGCACTACTACCATTCGGTACAGGAAGTCATTTCTCGTCGACAGCGGACCAATGAGACTAGGAGCAGCACTGAGAGCCATTGAGTATAAGAACATGATCAATGCTGGGAATACCATTCCCGCGGTGTTAAGATAATACTTAATTCCGAGGGTAACTGCGTAGATGTTGACTGCCTTTGCCTGTAGACCGTTGAGAAGCACCTCGATGCCGTTAGCTGACAGGTTAGCATTTGACAGCTTTTCGACGCCGTAGTTTTGGAGATACCCCGAGTTCGTATCCGAAACCGCTTGCCGGAGCGAAGGAATCACAAATCCCTCTACCGTCGTGGGCCAGCGAGCTTCGTTGTAGATGTAGGCTATGGCAGTGGATGAGTTGGAGAGAGTACTTCCATCATCAATTGCCAGGTTCAGTTGATGGGTTGCATTTGGCATGGCGATGATAGCACCCCAGTAATGTCCCCTGTGCATCCGGATCAGTAATGTTATGGCCATTATATAGAATTTCTTCGGCGTGGATTTAGCTTACTCCCAAACATCATTGTATGCGTCCTCATAGCTGATGTTTAGCAGGTGAAAAGAACCCATTCCATCGATCCCAGAGATATCGTCACACGCTCGCACAAGGCTCTGGCCTAAAGAGGCGGTTTGAGTCAGTCGCCCAGAAAGGTGGTTTCGTTAAGCCAAATACCAATACTCTCCCCGTCAAGGTCTACCACGATAATCTTAATATTTCCAGATCTACTCGTTTGGTCATATGCTGAACTGTAGATCCAAACTGTAGCCAGCCAGAACATGAGTAAGAGATAAACGCCGCTTCGCACCGCGTGAATCCAGTGCATTTTGGTAAATCGTCCCAATGACGGGTTGATTGCCGAAGACGTGGGCTCGTTCGTCATTTTTCCATCATGAATACTTAAGTAGTTTAGAAAAAGAGTGAATAACTGGACCGTAGAAAAATCATGTGAGGCCAAACCAGGATCCCATGTTAAATAGACCCCGTAAATAAGAGGCAAGGTAGTCAAAACCCGAAGAAAAGTCGTCAAACATGGTGTGTCCCAGCGTCACAGGCATCTCTAAACATCAAAATAATATCGGTAGTGCATTTCCCATTTAGGATATCACATGAAATTATCTGACTACGCAGAATAACGTATATAAGTATCCAATCGTCGATGAGAATGGTGTAATGTCGGACATAGATCTGTCAAATCCGGACTACAAGCTCGATCTCGGATTAAGCGCAACCTATTACCGAGTTCTGAAAAGTATGAACTTCATAAGATGGCGACCTATGTGTTGTTCTGGTGTTTGGATTTCTTCGTGTACAATCTAATTTGATGAAGAATTGTTTGGCGGTGGATAATAACTCTATCCGGATATCACAGTGGAGCTTAGTCTGTGAGGTTCCGCGACGAAGCACCTGATTGGGTATAGACCAATTTGAACATTGTTTTGTGCTATACTATGTCAGCAAGCAGCCTGGTTTCGACTATTGCTAATGACATGTAACTAAATAGCTTGAGTCTCTTGACGATGATTTAATAGATAATATTAGTCATCGCATTATATAATAATTCAACCTCGTAGCTATAATTATAGATATCAAACTCCTATCCTTATCTATCTTGAAATTTTGCATAAACAAAATCAGCCCGAAAACAGAAGACAAGACTCGCTTTGTCCCAATGCAGTGAAAATGATGCTAAAAGAGGGCGTGTAAGTATGGGATAGACAGTTGAGTACTAACTTAGTAGCTTCTCAACCCACCGTATGAAGCTTATTGTGAGAGCCGACCCACCCCATCTTCGACCTAAACTCATCTCTCCCATGTCGCATCATCTTTACTGATGATAACCTCCTGAATGGGCATTCGGTGGTTGACTATTTCACTGCCATTAACAAGATCATTCTCTCGCGCTCGCTTGTCTGCCTCTTCCGCATCCTTTGCGATCCCGGCCTCAACATGTCGCTTAATCAACCTGTGTCTGGCTGTCTCAAAGTCCACTTCGACGAACCAGAGCTCGTCCATCAAAGATGCCGCAGTATTCCACGGCTCCTTGTCCAAACTCAGATAGTTGCCCTCAAAAAAAATCACGCGAGATGTAGCTAATATCGGTATATCGTCTTCGACTGGGTCCTTGACCGCATGATCAAAGCTCGGCGCGAAAATAGTCTGAGTGGCAGGACCAAGATCCTCGCGCAGACGCTTCACTAAGCGCAAGAATTTCTCCGGGTCGAATGTGAATGCAGCCCCGCGCCTTGCAGCTGCAAAGGCGGGATCGGGCATTGCTGCAAGCTGTGCTCGTGTGAGATGGTATCCATCCATCGGGACGAATATGGCGACTGGAGGTGATCCTGGAAATTTCTGGGCGTACAACTCATTGATCCTCCGAGCCATTATTCCTGCTAGTGACGTCTTTCCAGACCCCGGAATCCCGCTGATGGCGATCATCAATCGGGCAGTTGTCGGCGTAGATAGGAATTTTGCTAATATGAAGTTCTTTCTTAGCTATCCATCAAACAACCCTTTTTTCAATCGACGCTTGGTTGCATTGCTTTGTCATTCTGTGTTGGAGATGTTTTCAGGCTGGGAAGGGAGAAAATACCCCATGTTTTCTTGACTAGCCTGTCCACTTGCTCTTCCATCATGTTCAAGGCTGATGAAGCCACTCGGTGAGAGCTTTGAGTGAGCGGTGTTTACTGCCCCCTACAGAGGATGTGCAGAAAGGGGGATAGTGAGTTTGTCTATAAGTCGATAGATGTTGTCGGAGGAGTTCAAGAGATGTTCGCAGACGTGTAGTGCGGGGAAAGCGCTGCGGTGTTGGAGCAAGCGGGGCGGGTAGGACAACATCGTAGCCATGCACGTAATATCAATGGTTTGACATGGTTGCATATAATGCCTGTAGACGCGGTAAAACTTCTACAATAAAACACCTTGTTGTTAGATATAGAGCCTGTTCATCTCAAGTGTCATTGCAGCTAGCATAGCTAGTTATAAGAATAGTTTGAGAAAAAATAGATCAGTAAAAATAGATCAAGTTAAGTACAAGAAGAATGATACCCTGCACTTTGTGTGCTGCAAAAATATGCGCCGTTACACAATTATAACCCGTCCCGAATAACGCCCATATATAATAAACAATATCTTTTCACAAATCGCGATATACCCCTGAAAACCAGAACGCGTAAAGGATAAGCGCACTATTCTTGTCACCTTTCTTGCTACCAAAAGATTCTGCATGGTAGTAATGACGACACAGCCTGAACGCCATTCACCAAAGGTTTCACATATGCTAGCTCGAATTCAAAACATCCCATTCATAGCCGATCTCGCCGGGAGATGATACTATGCCAAAAAAAACACAACAAATCATTTAAATTTCTTATGTTTGGTCGCTTGCACGGGTGCGCGCCTCAGTAACGCGGGTGTGGGCATCATTAATGAATTCGGTGAACCGCAGGCCGATCTCGCGAGAGAGGCCAACACCTGTCCACCATTCATCAGGAACTTCTTCTCTATGAACCAGGCGATCAATGATGACCTGCAAATTCACTTCTAAAGTCGGGTTTTGATCAAATAAAGAAGAAACAGATGTTTGCATTGCGGTCTGGTCAAGCCTTGGGACTGGGGGCTGGCTATCTTGGGTAGAGCCTATAGCTGGAGTATGAACAGGCATGCGAGACCGCGGGGGATGGCGATATCGCAGTTCCGCTGCACGCAAGTCAAAATCAGACTCTGCCTCCGTGTCCGAGCCGGTGGTGTCGTCTGGGAAGTCGCAAGGGTTGAGAAACTCAGGGTATGGCTCCAAAATCATGTGCACCGTCGCCGCCGCTGGTCCAGAAGGCATGGATTGTGATTGAGAAGAGCGGGATACTTGAGTGGAGTCGGGATTTCCATTAGGATTCGCCGAAGCCGAAGCAGCGGTTGACGCAAAAGAGGAATCGGTGCTCGGGAGGTTGGCGTCTGGCGTAATAGTGGTAAGTAAAGTTTCCCAAGCGTCGTCCTGAATGTCATCCGGGCTAGCACTACGTTGGCGATCTCCTAATCCATCGATAGCCGAACGCTGCGTGCTTAGGCGGTCGTTTCCCTCGTTTGTAAGGCGGTTGCTTGTTGGGCGGGAACGCCGCGCGCTGTTATCACTTGTTGTCTCTCCTCCAGGCGTGCCGGAGCGGGAGTACGGGAATGATTGCACATCCGATTCGCCCTGTGGCTGCCCCGAAGTGTTGGGTTGAAAGGCAAATGCTGGCGCGAATCTACGGGTAAAAGGAATGCCATCTGGAGGCAGCCGCCTGTTCGCATCGTCATTCGACGATGTGCGACTCAAGAATTCGTTCACGGAGAATGGAGGGTTCGGTATCTCAAAGCGCAGAGACGATTCGCGCGGGATTCGAAGACGACGACCAGGCTGGCCGTGCCTTAAAGCATCCCGTAGCAATCTCTGGCCCCGTGCGGCATCCAGAAGGGCAGTCTCTTCAGAAGATAGATTCTGTCGTTGAGACAGGTCGTTTCGAGAATCCTCAGGGAGGGGGCGAGATGAGCGAAGAGATCCACTGGATCTGCTGCTGGTGGTGGGCGAGAAGCTGGGGAACACATGTCTCACGGCTCCTCTGCGGCGAATGGACGAGCGCGCATGCGCAGAGGGGTCGCGCTTGAGAGTACTCTTGGGCGCAGCCGAAGAGGCTTCACGGTACATCCTGCATATTGTCAGTCGGTTTGCACAGCGCCCGGATAAGGCTGCAAGGCAGCGAGGCGGCGCGTGACAGACACGCGGAGCGGATCAACTTACGGGAGGCCCATGATATAGGATAACAACAGATAATGTGCTTAGATATGAGACAGCGAGTACGACATACAATTCATCCAAGAAATGCGAACAGAAAGCAGCAGAAAAAGAACGAATCCGGTGGGGAGGGCCAAATGGCGATGGGGGTGTGAAGAGCACGACGAATTTGAAGGCGGGAGGAGAATCGACGCCGTCGCGGGTGGTTGGAGTAGTTCTATGGCAGTGGCTGTTGGGCGGCGGCGGCAGATCTGAGAGGCACCGTTGCGAGCCAATCAGCACGCAGCTCCCGGGTACGTCTGTGCTGTGCTCTAACGATATGCTCTATATATATGTTGTACGAGAGCGGGCCAGAATCTGCTATCTTGATGTCCGTTCTGCTCTTAGCAGATTACTCCTTCTAAATGCGTATCCATGCCGACTATCAAGGCCGTTGTAGGCTGGGAGCAGGCCAGCATTCCGTCACGTGATATATGCCTTCGATTTCAGGCACCCGCCGCGATCACTGCCAACGCCAAGCCCGAAGACCATCTTATGCCCGCTTCTGTTGCAGCATTCCTCCATCAGTGGGATTCGTTGATGCACGTAACAACAATGGCGCTGGTCTGTGAATCTTTTTGATTGATCCTCCTCGTGGGGAACACCCTCTTCTCAAGATTGCCATCTCTCTAACACCTCTTGCTGTTCCAGTTCACCGAACAATAATGCCGACACAACTACCGAGACCGCATGCTCTGAACCTTGACAGAGCATAATCAAGACGGCATGATCGAGCTAGGCCTTTCTCGTATTTCACGTCTTGTCCAGCAATCGACCTTATCCTGGAAGGCTATTCATGTCGCCGGAACCAATGGCAAGGGCTCCATCACCTCCTACGTCTCCGGTCTACTCGCGGCAGCTGGCGTCCGATGCGGTCGTTTCACCTCTCCGCATTTAATTGATCGTTGGGATTGCATCACCGTCAACGAGAAAGTAGTAGAGGAGTCATTGTTTCGGCAAGTTGAGAAGCAGGTCAAAGAGCGCGACCAATTACTGGGCCTGGGCTCATCCGAGTTTGAGCTGCTTACCGCAACTGCTTTCGAGATCTTCCACCAAGAGAATGTCGAAGTTGGCGTCGTAGAGGTGGGTATGGGGGGCCGACTAGATGCCACAAACATACTTTCAAATGTGCTGGTCTCAGTAATTGCGAAAATCGGCCGTGATCACGAAGCCTTTCTCGGAAATTCAATCCAAGCAATTGCGAAAGAAAAGGCCGGAATCCTCAAAACTGGGGTTCCTTGTGTTGTTGACGGCACAAATGAAACCAATGTGCTTCGGGTTCTTCAATCTAAGATCGACGAACTCGGTATCAATTCTACAATCGCTACTCCCGACGTGGCAATTTCGCGATTTCCAAAATTGGCTTCATTGTTCCGTGATCTCGATCTAGAGCCTCACCAACAAACAAACATCTCGTGTGCGACCCTGGCATTGCAGAAAGCGTTTGAACGCATTCAACTACAGAAAAATGTGGATGATCTAGTACCAATGCTATCGGACATAAGGTGGCCCGGCCGTTTACAATTTCTAAGTATAGAATCTCTGGTGTCTCGTACGAATCCCGTTCTCCTCGACGGAGCGCATAATGGCCAATCCGCAGCCGTTCTTGGCAGGCTAGTTGATCGAAAGCTTCGCCAACAGAGCCAGAGTGTTACCTGGGTGGTGTCCATCTCACATGGAAAGCTCTGGTCCGATATCCTAGAATCTTTGATTCGTCCTGGTGACAAAGTCGCAGTCACTGCTTTCGGTCCCGTTGAGGGGATGCCCTGGGTCAAAGCCACAGATACAGAAATGCTGGCCACGGAGCTTAGGGCAGCTCTTGGTGTTTCTAATGTAGAATCTTTCGGCCCGGATATACATGGTGCCATAAGTTGGGCAGCCTCCTCAGCCAATGAAGGCCCTTTAGTAATTGCGGGGAGCTTGTACTTGGTCTCTGATATTTTCAGACTCCTCCGCGAGAAACAATAAATGAGTGACGATGGCATAATACTTATATAGAATGCACGTGTCTTGATAGATCTATACATACTCTAAATAAAACTTAGTTTTTCGATAAGAATCGTGATTAACAAGGATAGATTCAAAACCCCAAACTGCAAAAACAGAATAATCAGAAGGCGTCGTGTTAAAATGTATTCGAGCCAGCAAAGAGGGAGAGCAGCCATAAGGCTTATAAGCGGGCTGCGGGCTGGGGCTTGTTAGGGCTGAATCGGCCGTCCCTTTTTAAGCTGCGGTTTCACCTTCCCTGCGTCATGTTAGAAGTGCGGAGTCCCAATAATCACCGCATTTCTGCTATTTGGCCACCTCGCTGACAAGCATATTTCCCTAGCTCGGAAGAAGGTAAGTGCGATACACAAATTGCTATAGGTCCTACATCCTTGCATCTAGACTGCTTTGCTGATTATTCTTTCTGTGTCTAGACTGCCCCGGCATGTCATGAAACGAGCTCTGAACAGGAGCCTCGGGCCTCAGTTCTCGCCCAATCGATCTCGTCATTTCCAGCTGAATACGCCAGTCCAGCGTCATTTACAGTCCGCTATTTCGCCTTTCAATTTATACAAAGAATCGTCTTCTGTAATACATCAAGAAGTTCTGTTTCGAAGGAGACATCGTGAATTCTTACGTTCCACTTGCTATGCCGTCCGCGTCCCCGCGTGCTTATTCCCCTCCTCGTCGCCTTGCTCATCAGATACCTCAACGAGTTTTGACAAGCAATCAAATTTAACAGCGCACAATATCACACAATTTTGAGCAAGTCTGCCGTGACACCTACAAGGGAGATGGTCAGCCGTTCCAATGACGGCGGGGAAGCCCACCTGCCATCCCGAACCCCAGGGACTCCCGTGAAGACTCGATTGGCAAGATCGGGAACAAGTCCTACCAAAAGAGATGATAGGCAATCAAAATCTCTATCGAATGAAGACTCGGATCTCAAGGATTTTGTACGCTACCCATTTCCATTGACCTACAAATAATAAGCCTCCTGACACAAAGAAGCAACTGGGGGATTGTCTTGGCAAAGGGGCCTTTGGATCGGTATATCGAGCTCTCAACTGGAATACAGGAGAGACTGTCGCGGTGAAACAAGTCAGATTAGTGGATCTTCCAAAAAGCGAATTGCGAGTTATCATGGTGCGTACCGGACTGTTAACACTAGATGCATTCTCTAACTGCCGCTTCTAACCTATCAATTTGATTACAGCTTGAGATCGATCTTTTGAAAGCACTCGACGTAAGTTCCGCAGATGCTATCTATTTAGGAGCTAAGTGTTGACTTGTCGGTGTTATAGCATCCAAACATTGTGAAATACCACGGTTTCGTCAAGACACCGGATACACTCAATATCATTCTCGAGTATGATACCGGCAAATTCTGTCATCCTCGGATATGCTAACTGAGATAGATATTGCGAAAATGGCTCTTTACATACTATTTCGAAGAATTTTGGCCGTTTCCCTGAGAACCTAGTAGCCCTTTATATGTCCCAGGTATTACAAGGTCTTCTATATCTTCATGACCAGGGTGTCATCCATCGAGATATTAAAGGCGCAAATATTTTGACTACCAAACAAGGTTTGGTGAAGCTGGCAGACTTTGGTGTCGCCAGCCGTACAACAGGTCTCCATGAGTCAAGTGTCGTTGGCACTCCGTATTGGATGGCTCCTGAAGTCATTGAACTCTCAGGAGCGACCACTGCTTCAGACATCTGGAGTCTCGGCTGTACAGTGATTGAACTGCTTGATGGAAAGCCGCCATATCACAAATTACAACCAATGCCGGCGCTCTTCCGTATAGTGAATGACGATCATCCTCCACTACCCCAAGGCGCATCTCCGGTATGTTGTTTTAGATCTATACATATAATGTTCCGTTTCTGTGTTCTGACCTGCTTATAGGCTGTGAAAGACTTTTTAATGCAATGCTTTCAAAAAGATCCCAACTTGCGAGTCTCCGCCCGAAAACTACTCAAACATCCTTGGATCGTCAACGCGCATAGGTCAGAGTCGGTCGTTCCAAAAAAACGTACAGAATATGAGGAGGCAGTCAAAAGTGTTCAAGAATGGAATGAGGCTCTTCGCTCTCCGGATTCTACCTCTAGCAGAAAAGCAGTTCGTCCTGATCATAATCCCCCAAGCCACCCGCGGCCAGACTCTATCAGTACAGGACTACATGCGAAAAATACCCCAGCTTCTGGAATTCCCAAACCAGCAGCAGACAGATACCGCTCACCAGACCCTGAGGATAATTGGGATGATGATTTTGATTCAGCGATCTCCCCTCGTGCCCTTGAGCTACCACATTTACGACCACATGACCATCTCGGTGGGTTACTTTCATCTGAACGACTGAAGACATTTGCTTCTCTTGATGGTGCTACTATGCGCGATGCATCGGATAGTCTTGTGGAAAGCGACAACTTTCTGGAAGCTGACCCGCTGGAAACTATCAGGCCCTTGCCACGAAAACAAGCAGATGAAGACAAGGCTGGCATCAAACCCAGATCACGCCACAGGTCGAGTAAAAGCGCCCTTCCCAATCTACCTAGTGTCCAGATATTCGGACGCTCAGATTTATCATCAAAGCCACTTCGTCAACCACGTCCAGCAGCTTTTTACAGTGAAAGTGCAGACGAAGATTACTCCGACCTCATCGTTGCGAATGATGATGTTCTTGAACGCAAACTAGGCGTTCTCCCAGTGAGTGGACACCCTAATTGATAAACCTCTATTGGCTTCTGACACTCTTCTGTAGGAGATAGATGACAACGGTCCGCAGACCACCTTGTTTGTCTCCGACAAAAAGGAGTCGATTCGAAGCACCAAATCTGACGGTAACAAAAAGGCTGCCAAGTCAAGCTTGAAAAAACGGGGCTCTATAAAACGTAGCCGCTCCTCTATCGAAATCCAGAAGTTTGCCGAAGACGAACATGATGAGGATTTTTCCGACATATTTGGCAATGAGGAGAGCACAAAACCAGCGAGTGAGCACGGTTCAGACAAAAGCACTCTCATGTTACATTCCAAATTGTCGAACAATTCCTGGTTAGGAGACCAGGATGATGAGGACGATCCTTTTGCCCAACTGGAAGAAGGATTTGACGAAATGGACTTGGAAGCAAACATCGCTCGCGACAAGTATGCTCGGTCGCGTAATCAGGTTGAGGGGCTTGTGAGCTCCTTGAAAACCTCACAGGATGATGATGTTCTTGCCGATATTTCAGAGCAACTAGTAACCATTTTCTGCGAGATGCCAGAGACAAAAACCATCATCATCGGGGCTCATGGAATGCTTCCTATGCTAGAAATTCTTGAGGGCTGTCGTCGTAGAGACATCATATTCAACCTGCTTAAGATCATCAATTGGATCATCTACAACGACTATGAAATCCAGGAAAATCTATGCTTTGTTGGTGGCATACCAATTATCAATGAATTCGCTTCGAAGAAATACCCTCAAGAGATTCGGTTAGAAGCTGCAGCTTTTGTTCAGCAGATGTATCAGTCATCGACTCTTACTTTGCAAATGTTTGTAAGTGCTGGTGGTCTCAATGTACTAGTCGATTTCCTTGAGGATGATTATGAAGATGAACGTGACCTTGTCCTCATTGGTGTGAACGGAATTTGGAGTGTTTTCGAGCTACAAGTAAGTCCTTGCTGTGGACAGAGCTGATAATGCTTTAATGCTGACTACATCAGGGCTCAACTCCAAAGAACGATTTCTGCAGAATCCTTTCTCGAAACTCAGTGTTGGATCCTCTGTCACTTGTTCTAAGTAGGGTCTTGGATGAAGATGAGGAACTGGCAAAGATCAGCGAAGGTCGTATAGCCAACATCTTCCTCATATTTTCCCAGGCGGAAAATCACGTCAAAGAAATGGTAGCTGAACGAACGGTGTTGCATAGTAAGTACCAAAAACTAATAATTAGTTTACATAAAACATATTACTAACCGTCCACAGGAGTATTAAAGGAGCTCAGGAGGATGACTCCGACACATCAAATTACGATGTTAAAATTCATTAAAAACCTGTCCATGTTATCCACGACCCTTGAATCCCTGCAAAACTCCAATGCTATAGACGTTTTGACGGAAATTCTTCGCTCTACCATGAAACAACCTCATTTCCGAGAGGTTTCAAATCAGATATTGAACACTATATACAATATGTGTCGCCTTAGTAAGCCAAGACAGGAAGATGCGGCTTTGAATGGCATTATACCCCTGCTACAAAAGATTGTGAAAACCGAGCGGCCCCTGAAAGAATTTGCGCTTCCCATACTCTGTGACATGGCGCATTCAGGAAAAGTAGGACGTCGTGAACTCTGGCGGAATAAGGGTCTACCGTTCTATATTTCGCTGCTCTCCGATCCTTACTGGCAAGTAACGGCTTTAGACGCAATATTTGCATGGTATGTATTAGCCCATTGGTTTACAGAACTTTTCGGTTACTGATCAAGTATATAGGCTTCAAGAAGAGACTGCAAAGGTTGAGGAACATTTGTTAGAAAGCCGAGCGGATAGCATGTCTTTTACAGACTCGATTGTGAAGTGTTTAACTGTTTCGAAAGCAAATGCCTTTGAAAACCTGCTGGAACCACTTCAGAAACTATTACGGCTCAGCCCTCCAGTTGCGTCAACCTTTGCTCGGCCGGACCTCTTCACTCGAATTGGCCAGAAGCTCCATCACAACAAGGCAGCCGTCCGGCTGAATCTGCTGCGCATTCTCTCAAGCATTTGCGATTCAACGGAGGAACACAGCGACTTGGTCTCTCGCTGCGGCCTTTTAGATGCCATCAGAGAACTTGAAAACGACCCAGCAATTCTCGTGAGAGACATGGCTGGTAAGCTTCTTAATTCCAACGAACATATCGAAACCCTTGCAAGTGCCAAAAGAAGACCGATTATGAGGCGAACAAGCACATCTGCCATGTCTCAGTCCATGGGGACGAACCTCTCACGGCCGACAACACCCCAATTGCGCTCTGGCCAACCACAAGGGTTTTTTGATGTCCGTGAAACTCCAAGACACCCACGCAACGGTCTCGGTCCTCATCTACGACATGGTGCACGAGACAGCAGTGGCTCGGTTGTAGGGTCTGGGGATAGCGGAGTGTCTGCAGCCGCACGAAGCCGCGTGCCTCGTGGCATGTCCAGTCGCTTGTCCTTGCTTGGCTCTTTACCATCAGAGGACACAAGATCACCTAGCTCTACGAACCGTCTACCATCAGCGATCAATTCGCGACGACGTCGTCAGAACAATACTGACATTGAGTGGTCTTGAATGTGACTCATTGCTTCAGGGAGCGGCCATTTCTCGCTGCAAATATTGCTTTCTCTGTTTGATATTGACTCACCTTTGTCTGTCTAGGTTATACCCCGTCAGAAAGGTAAAGACATAATGGGTCAACGATTCTTTTTATGTGCATGAAAATGGCGTATTAGGATATGGGACTTGACTTTTAATGTACACGATATCAACCAGGTTGATATCAGCATTGATACCGTTTTCTTTCATTTGTTTTTGATGACCGAGATGTCCTTTAAGCCGATGATAGATCACGACTGGCTTGTGATTGATAATGACATTGTGATTGATCTCATGAATAAACAATATCCTTGGTTATTACTATTAATCGGTCTTGTTATGTGCCTTGCATGATGTATACGTAGAAAGCACATGTCCGCAGAATCTCCGCGGTTCGCGGACTTCGGCCCCGCCGAAGAAAACCCGGAGCCATACTAAACACATCGACTTTTTTGCCTGCCGGGCAAGCGCCTTTTGTCGTTTTCGCCAACTCGCAGGTGCAATCCATGCGCGGATTGTGTCGTCCATGCCAGATACCCTTGTTCCATGCATGATCTCTCGTCTGTGATATACATCAATTGAGAATATCTCTCTAATCGGCTCACCCTCACCGGAGGTCTCGTTCTGCGGATTCGGAACAATTGGCTCGAAACATCATCATTGCGTTTGTCCATTGTCCTCGAATTTTATGGAAAGCAAACTTCATCCAAGCACCTGCTTCTAGTCGGGATGACCGGTCGCTAAATTACCATGAAACTCGTTCTTCCTCCGTCGGCACCGCGACTTGTATCGTTCAGTTCCCTTCCATCGGTAAAGCAACGAAACGTCGGGTGGTGGTTTTGCAGACAATGTCATATCAACGAAAGTTCATCGCTAGTGAGCGCTCTTCTAGCTAAAAGGCAATATCATGGCGCAACTTCGCGACATTTCAATGCGACCAGCTACAAAAAGGAGGGATCGGGACCTTCTAGCTACGCGGAAAACAAGAAGACATCGAGGAGGAAAAGGGCGATACAGCTTGCTGCTGGGGGTACTTTTGCTGTGACCATCTTTGCTTTTTGGGATGACATCAAGCATGCTTATGCGGCTGCAGCGAGAACTGGGAGGGTTGTCACCACACTTGCAATCTGCATCAACGAGTGAGTCTGATCTTGCGATTCCTCATATACATGCTAATTGAATAATCCTATCTAGTTACCGAACGACCCTCAACCAAACAGGAAATTCCCCAGAAGAACGAGATGCAATGCTAAAGGCCTGTCATAAACGTTGCGCGGAACGTACATTATTTGTCCTCGAAAAGAATGGCTCGATATTCATCAAACTAGGTCAACATTTAAGCAGCATGGGATATCTTCTTCCATTGGAATGGACGACAACCTTTATTCCTCTACAAGACAAATGCCCGGTATCGTCCTTTGAGTCAATTCAGGCAATGTTTCTGGCAGACACAGGGCAAGATGTCAACGAACTCTTTTCATCTTTCGAACCAAGTCCCATTGGCGCTGCGTCGCTTGCTCAAGTCCACATTGCGACATTGAAGGAAACAGGCCAAAAAGTTGCTGTGAAAGTTCAGCATCCTACGCTTGCCGAATGGGTGCCGCTGGATTTGGCGCTGACTCGATTAACGTTTTCTACTCTGAAACGATTTTTCCCAGAATATGATTTGGAGTGGCTGTCTCGAGAGATGGATCTCTCGCTGCCTTTGGAATTGAATTTTCGACATGAGGCTGAAAACGCTACACGGACCCGAGAATACTTCAAAGGACATTCTAAGTCGCCATTAGTGATCCCAGAAGGTAAATTGACTCTTTCTCTGCGTTTATGTTTTAGACACTAATAACGGTTGAAATAGTAATGTGGGCCAAGGAACGAATTCTTGTTATGGAGTTCATTTCTGGACATCGTCCAGATGACCTGGAATTTCTCGACAGTAATGGAATCGACCGCGACGAAGTGTCCGCCGCGTTTGCACACATCTTCAACGAAATGATTTTTGGAGATAATGCACCATTGCATTGCGACCCTCATGGAGGTAACATTGCCATACGAAAGAACAATACGCGTCGGAAACCCAATTTCGACATCATTCTCTACGACCACGGTCTGTATCGTGATATTCCCCAGGACCTCCGTCGGAACTATGCCAAACTCTGGCTCTCGGTGATTGAAGGGGATGAAAAGAGTATGCGCAAATACGCTTACGAGGTCGCTGGGGTACCTGATGATCTCTTTCCAGTCTTTGCCAGTGCAATTACTGGTCGAGACTATCGAGTCGTAAGTCAAAAGAACATCGTTTCTTCGAGAAACGACGCCAACGAAAAGAGCCACGTCACAAGTGCTTTAGGCGATGGACTACTCCAGCAATTGGTCGATCTTCTAGGAAGAGTACCCCGCATTATCCTCTTGATTCTCAAAACGAATGACCTCAGTAAGAATAAGACGCCTATGATTCATAAATGAATTCACCGCTAATGAGAACGCCTTACAGCCCGAAGTCTCGATGAGAACTTACACACCCGCCAAGGTCCCGTACGAACATTCCTCATCCTTGCTCGTTATGCTACTCGCACGGTTTTCGAAGAGCAGATGGATATCATTTCCGTGCATGGTGGTCTTCTCAAACTCAGCAACTTTCTCCGCTTCCTATCGGCATTTACAGCGTATGCCCGCGTTGAGCTGAAACTTATGGCATATGAACAGTGGCTTTCCTTAAAAAGCAGGCTGGGCATATCCATGTAGTGATGTATATATAATATTCTCCAATATTTGGTCAGGTAGATATCGCGTTGTTTTGTACCTTAAATAGACCTTTCACATAGACATGATGGCATTAGAACATGTATAATAAATATTTAATTTGCATGGTAAATAATCCCTATTCAAGCTGATTTATAGAAGTTATTAACGGTTACTACTCCGCCAGTTCTGCATGTTTGACCATTATGGTGTATCAATTGATAATACTGTACCTATTCGGGTTGGGTCGATGACATAGCTCTTCCTACCATTTAATCTCAGATTAGACCTTTGAAAGTATCATGCGACAACAACGACAACATTAACATTTAACCTCCTCACGTCAAACAAACTCGTCCTACATATCCTTTTTCCGTTTTTAGTACTCTCAGAATTACTCTCTTTTGTTTGTCATTCCCTCACATGTTACTACAGCGCTTATTTCGTCTCAACCCATCTCGACCCTTCTCTACAACAAGTTGGAGAAATTCCGGGAAAGAAACTCCAAAGACATTGGGTCGACATCCAAGGGTAAGCTACTTATCCTTTCTAAGTATTTATCATAATGCATGAAGTCTCTCCGTCCATGCATTCATTGGCCGGTATCTTTCAAAACAACATCATATCACTTTTATTCAATAAAACTGCTATATCGTCACGGAATATATGTAATGGCTTATCCCCATCTAACTATTATACAGTCAATAACCGCGCCTCTGGCAGCATTCACAATGGCCCTTCTCCTGTGTTCATACTGTGTCAGCTCCATACGGGCCGCTAGACGGGAGGCACGATATCATCCTTCAGCCTCAACCTCTCCTGCCGAAAGCATTGCGGCAGGTTCGAGTTCGGGGTCTAGCATGGCATCGGTAGCATGGATTACGAAGGCGTTGGAGGAGGAGAGGATAGAGAAGCAGGGAAAGAATCAGAAACCGTGAACTGTAATCGAGTTAACGTATCATTCATATCAGTTAGGAGTTTGGAATTTGGTGTATCTTTCGAAAGTCATTATATGTGATTATGGATGTATATTGCAAATAGCAGCCTCCCTAAATGATTGAACCAACACAGGTAATTTTTTCATCGACTGATAATGAAGATTTTGGGTGGAGTCTGTATGATTGTATGTGTATGTACGTATCCTCGTGTCTTGGAACTACACGAAATGAGAGACATGACAGAAAGAACTTGGTAATCTACAAATTTCCAAAATAAAAAAGAAAGAAAACAAAGACAGATAAAAGAGAGAAAAAAAGCAGTTCCGATCTAAAACAGTAACATGACTTGTTTAATTGGACAAAGGCCACGCAACGTCTATATACCTCAATAGTGTACGTTTGAGAGCTAAACAAGGGTATCGCCTGAAACTTCAATACTTTGCATCTTCTTCTCTCCTTCGTGCTGCAGCGTGCTGATCGTTTTTCGGAGATATTCGTATGTAAGCATCGTCGTCATAGCTGCAGGCACAGCACGAATCAAATTAGTTCCGATTCCCGAATAAAACGCCCGCCATCCTTCCTCTCGAAGAATGGTTTGACAAGTGCGCCAAACGCCGGCATAACGAGGTCGGTTCGGCATCCCATCAGATGAAGACGCACCAGGTGGTCGTCCACGATCGACCGGGTGGTCAAATCCTCCACGGAACGAGATTTCCTCTGGTGAGGCAGTTGGCGGGTGGCGTTGCTGGGTTTGTAGTCTGGTGCGAAGGACCTCGTGTGGATACGTAGCAGTACTGGCGCAGACTTTACTGAGGAATGTTGCCAGGGATATTCCTATCCAATGTGAATCTCCTTCTCCTGGGTGCTCACCAATCCCATATCCTGTGAATGCCATCTTGAAATACTCATAGAGCGGGAATTGAATGGCCACATGCGTCAAGCCCAGCAAGGCCGGCGTGAGACCAGAGTAGAATGCTCTAATACCTTCCGTCATGTACATCTTTCGTGCCGCATCCCATGAGTTCCGGTAATGCCATGGTATAAACCCGTCTCCACTGACTCTCCCACTCTGTGACATGAGTCTTGTTTTTATCACCCAAATGGGATTCGTTGCTATCGTTGAACATGCCCCGGCAGTGACAGATGCATATGTCCGTGAAAGCCACCAGTTATCTGAAATATAATTAGCACATCGAGATTCACGGGTCTTGTAACAAGCCAACCTGTTTTCTGTTCAAAAAACGCCCTTGACTGATCGTAAACTGTTAGATAGACAGCCCATGTCGGTAGATATCCCAACAGCATTGGCCCTAAACCTTGATACAGCCCTCGAATGCCTTCGTTTTTCCAAATCGTCGTACCGGTACCAATCATCCCACGGTACATTTGTGAAGTATGAGACATATGGGCGCGGCGCCGCGCAAAACCTCCCTGGGCCTGTAATTTGGTCTTGATGACATCGAGAGGACATGTCACGATCCCTGAAGCCACACCAGCCAGGGCGCCGCAGAATGGTGTAATATAGTAGGCTGGAATCCGTGTCGAGTACACCTCCAGGCGTGTGAGCAACCTGTTCGCGGGCTGTCTGCTTAGGTGTGCGGGAGCATGTTGCTGCTGCTCGTGGCTCGCAGCCGGAGCGGGAGCGCTGTCGTCGGACGGCATTGTCATCTAGGGCAATGCACACAGCGCTCAGGCAGGTGAAAAATCCGTCTTGGTCACCGGCTGTTCTCGGATTCGAGCATAGCGGAAGCTCGAACCCGGAACGTAGATGCCGGCTTCTCCTCTAGATAGCTGGGTTATCGGGGATCCCTCTCTTTCTCTGTCTGTCTGTCGGTCGGTCCCTGAGGGCGAGACGATATGTGAACAGAGGCGATTCAATGGTTTCTCTCTCGCGCGAAGTAGAGATGTTGGTGGTGGTCGACTCGGCGATGGGGGAAAAACGGGCCCTGTCAGATGCCGGTTGATTGATTATGGCGGTCGAAGAGGCCAATGGGCGTGGATGAAATTGACGTCGTGCGGGGTCTCTTCTCACGACGCTAGCTTCGAGGCAGCAAGCAGACGACGTACATATCATGGGAGAAAAAGACGAAATTGTTCAAGTCGAGGGACTAGGCAGATAGGCACGGCGGACGACTGAAAAGTGCACCAGGTCTCGTGGACAAGACGAGAGTCGCTCGCTTCCTTTGGGGAGTTCGGAGATATCGAGCTGGCGGCCAATCGCAGCACCCGACAGTGATACGCGTCCCACGCTATTCAGGATATTGTAATATTCTGGACGACAGAACTGGTTATCAGTTCAGCCTCAATCAGTTTCGTATTATTGTATTATTGTATTATATCAGTATCAAAATAACGCCTGTAGCATTGATGGTTGTCGAGTTGATAATTATTTAATTGTCGGCGCTCTTCGGGTCACTTCGGCAGCGAAAAAGCAAATCGCTGCCTCAGGCACCAAGGCTTTTCACCCTAGTGCAACGTCGAGCGACCACTCCGTGTGAGCTCGGCTTCTCGACCTGTGCTACTTCTCCTAGTCTGCCTCCCACCACCGACTCTCAATTGGCCTGAAACCACGTTGATTGCGGCTTTTGCATCATGTCTGTTCCATCCATGACCAGCTATGTCGTTAAGCGGCCATACCTGCGCCGCTGGCTGCAGCCGATTGCCGAATGGTACACCAACGCTGCTGGATACCGCCGCCTTGGATTGAGGTAATATCCCCCCGATACCGACTACATTCGATGCATTGCTCTATAGAGTGTTCTCCACCGCTGGAATATCCCAAAGAAATTCATTTACGATGCGCCGTCGAGGGCAATTGAATGCTCCTGACATGACCAGCGATGTGCAAACCTGACAACTAACATTTTGCGCAGGGCCGATGACCTGATCCCCGAGGAAAGCGAACTTGTCCAGAATGCTCTCCGACGTCTTCCTCCCAAGGAAGCCTATGACCGTGTCTTCCGCCTTCGTCGTGCCTTCCAGGTATTTACTTGCGGTGTCTATCAATTGTGGCTAGATTTCAGGATTAACGTTTCAATTCTTGCAGTGCTCGATCTCTCACACCCTTCTCCCAGCTGAGGAACAGACCAAGCCTGATGAGGTACGTTGCGCAATCTATCCGCTATTCTCATGCATCCGTTTTATTTTCGTCCAGCCGCTACAGGAGCTTCACAGAATAAAAAGCAAATATAGCGCAACATTTTGGACATGAGAAGGCGTTTCGATGGAATACTTTGAAGATTCAACTGCTGACTGGTGTATTTCAGGATCGCGAGTACCTGAGTCCTATCATTCGGGAACTGCAGGCAGAAGCCCAAGAACGCGAAGACTTGGACACTCTGGTCGTCAAGCGGAAGTAAATGGGCTAATCACAAGAAGAAAAACGAAGAAAAAAGACGTTGATGTGAAAGGGAAAAGAATTTATAGAATGAGACTGTGGATGATGGACGTGCCCTGAATGAGTCGGGATTAGAGACTTCTGTACTCGTACTGTACAAACAAATCAATACTCTTTTTTCTCCTTTGTTCTAGAATTGTTCCACATAATCGATATAAACAAGGTCTGCTCTTATATTAATTGATATATACATGATATTGGTAATTGCACAGTAATCAGTTAAATACGTTTATATTTACATCCTCTACCCTCCACATATACCACATGAAAAGCGACCTAATAGCACGTTAATAAAATTTGCAAGCCTACTTTTGTATACAACATACCTATATGGCCTGAACTTTTCCGCGAGTTCCAGCATGTCATTTTCGGACATATACTTGAACTTCCCTTTAGCCCCGTTTGACTTAAGTCTATTGATATCTTTCCCTACGTAAGCTGCACAGCCACGTCTACAACATGTCAATGTTAGTCCCAATCTTACTGACAAAAGAAAGAAAATGGCGGTATCTTACTGCACCCCCAAATCCCCAGTCGAAAAAACGTCTGTTCTCTTCAAAGCGAAGCACGAGAACATCTCCACTGACCACCTACCCAGTCCTCGCACCGCAATGAGTAAATCCATAACCTCCTCATCACTAGCCCTGAGTAATTTCTCCGTAGACAGCTCGCCACTAGCAAACTTCTCCGCGAGACCTTGGATATACTCTGCTTTTCTTTGAGATAGTCCAGCCGTACGCAGCGTGGGGATATCAAGCTGGGTGACCTCTGTAGGAGTAGGAAACCCTCTTGTTTGACTGGACTCTATTGAATCCGTACTTTCGAATAACCCCAGAAATTTATTCTTAATAGACTGCGCCGCGGCACCAGAAACCTGCTGGCTGATGATGCTGCTTATGAGGCTCTCAAATGGATCCACCTGCTCGGCCAACCCTTCTGGAGAGAATATTCGGCAATGGTGTTTCTCAATAACGGGTTTCAATCGTGGATCTGTAGCGATCAGATGCTCAAGTGCCTTCTCGAGCAAATTCCCTGTCGTGGTGACGGGCCGCGGGAGGCCAGTTTTGCTGGGTGAAGCGTCCTCTACCGAAGGGTATACCACTACTGAGCTTCCTCTTGGGGTCATCAATGTGGCATTGGTCCTATGGGGGTCGACTGGTCGATCAAGTCGCGGCGGTGGAGTAAGCCTGAGGGAGTCTTTTGAAACATCCTTAGAGGGTTGCTTGCTTCCGGGGGTGGAGGGGAGTACAAAGGTATCGGCAACTTTTGCAGGTACATTGCCTTTCAAAGTGCTACCTGCTGGTGTTTTTCGTTTCTTTGTAATCCCATTTGGGTTGCTGTTGTTTTGGGACCCTTTGCTGCTTCTAGCCTGGGGTTTGGAGGTTGCCGGCTTGGGCTGGTTTGGGATAGAGCTAATCCGAGCTGAGCGTCTGGGTGCCATATTGGCGACCGTGAAGGGGATCCGGGATGGAGGAAGCCTGGTGGCGGTGCTAATCGCTTTCAAGAGAGCCAGCTCGTCCAGCGGTTCAAGCTTTAATAAATGGGCTATAGATATAAATATCGAAGAGCAATTGACCCGCAGCAGGTATAAAGCGAAAACCGGTTCGGGTTTTCGTCTTCAATCGACATAAATAAACGCAATCACGTCTGGTTTGCCCTATTGTATGCCAACCGAGTCACTCTCGGCGTCACATCTTAGGGATCGCGCCCAGACTCCTGTCATCGCGTGATCCCGTGATCACAAGTAGTAATCTAGCCTCTTTCGGATGGCAGTATCAGACCTTCGTCTGAAACGCAGAGTTTGTATCTCCTGTTTATTCTTTGAAGAATTGATATGATAGGTTCGATCTACCATGCAACTTTTTATGTTTTGATGAGACGTCTCATGACAGCTGTGTGTAGTGTGCATTCGCTCATGACGATTGCTGCACGAGAAACGGACAAGTCATAATCAATACTCTAGACTCCTCGAGGATGGAAGCCAAAACACAATATGTAAACTAATATAGGTAATAAGTAACGGCACTGGATAGTATTAATATCGAGTGATTGTGCTACAAGGTCTACGTCGCCATTCACAATGAACGCTAAAAAAGCTTAGCCCAGGCAAGACGGGAAACTGCACGGGGAGGAGGCGTGAAAGTTGAGCACGTGCAGCCAGCCCTTCGTTATGCTACCGTATATGTAGAAATCCGTACCAAGGGCGATGCCAGGACCGAGGGCTTGATATTTCTTCTTCTTCTTCTTCTTCTTTATTGCTTCAAGGTGGAATCGTTCACACCTGAAGTCGTGTGTCACTACCTAGTCCTCGGTAGCGGTGAGAACAGTCATGGGCACGTATGCTAATATCCTCTAAAGGCTTGTTTTCAGGTGTCCAATCTTGGTCTCACAGCTAGAAGTTTAATTGGCTAGCCACCTGGACAGCTTCAAGATAGCAGGCAATTAAGTTGGAAATGGAGGCTACGTAATCAGTCGGCCGCGTCATAGGTTAGGTAATCTACATGCACGACTGAATCGGACTCCTCGGTGTATTAAGCAATAGCCACGGGTCATTGATGATAAATGAATGATTCATGATAAGTAGATGGGTGGCCAATGGCCTCGGCTGGATATCTCTGCTCGTCGGCGTCGGTCAGGTTTCCAAGTCTTGGACAGAGCAAGGTGCCACGTTCATCAACAGGCTCAGCCATGTCCTAACAATAACAACAACAATCCGATCAAAGCAGTAAACACGCCGAATCATGGAATGAGAAATTGAAAAAGCACCATTCCAGAAGACCAAAAAAATCGAAAACTGCCGCAAACTTGTTATCGTGCCAGACATGCCAGACGGTGGCGGCCTCCCGCGATTGGACGCAGCTATGCAAACCCCACAAACAAACACGCAATAGCCAGGGCTGCCGTCGTCGGATCCAGCAACAACAAAGACAGGTCGGATGCGTCTCGATGGGTTTCTTTTTATTTGTGTTTTTGTCTTCGCATGCACCGATGCAGTCGGTTAGCCAAGATGACATTGGCACGGATCGTACCATGTAATCTCCCGCGGGTCGATCGATGATGCGACTAGGGACTGCTAGCCTCGTCGGCTGTAGTAGTACTAGCCTACTCGGGCTCTCTAGTAGTGATCACCCCGTCAATTTATGCACCTGCCCGGTGGCGACGCATGACAATGACAATATTGCCATTTCATATTGATAATTCGTGCAGCGATGCTTTCGAGGATACTTGCCGGCTGCGCGCACAGGGTCTGGTGCAATTAGATGTTGGATGGTGAATGTCGGGCTAACTGGGTGTCGGACTGTACTGCAGGTGCAACTGTACCGTTGGATGAACTAGAATAATACAGTGGTGTACGTAGTAATAATAATATGGGGCTGCCCAGTTTTTGCAGTGGCTTCCCCTGGCAGCAGCCCATTCGAGTCGGGCTAGCCTCCACTAGCCCCGCCCTGTCTCTGCTCGCGGCGCCCCCATTGGCCCCAGCCCGCTCCTGCCTCTAGCGTGCGTTGTGGTTTCGCCGTGGCAGTCAGTGGTGAGCAGGAAGGAGCGAGTGCCAATGCTGCTGCCCCCGGCACGTAGAAAGCCCGGCCAGTCCCTTCCTTCCGTTTTCCCTCCTTCCCCTTTCTTGTTTTTCTCTCTCCTCACACCTCTGCGAGAGCCCGGAATACCCATCGCTCCTACCCCAATCCGGCGTGCCTTCTCTCGTTGAAAGTTTTCTTTCTCTTCACTCGTTCACCTCCCTTTATTGCCTTCCCGCCTCCCTGCAGCCTTTTCTGCTCTCGTGCGTGGTTTGCTCTCTTCTCTATACTTGCTAATACCCTCGTATCCTCGCTACTCATCTTTTAGTAAGCCTGCCCTCCCTGTTGCTGCCTGCCCATGCGTGGCCCGCAGGTGACGACGAGCGAGATCAAAGGGGTGCAAGAATAACAATGGCGACGAAGAAGATCGAGAGAGAATGAATTGTGCCGTTGTGATCTCGCGACCGTGTCACCTCGGGAATGCAGCTCCCCACTAAGCCAAAACACAAATGCAACAGTCATGATGACCTGGCTAACACCCGCCCGCAGATATTCATCATCAAGAGAACACGAATTATCTCGCAATGGCTTTGAACAAGTACCTCGTATCTGCCTTGATGGCAACTGGCATGGCCGCCGCCGCCTCCAGTGAGTCACCATCACGCGATCGAGCTACACAGGTGACGTTGCTAACCTTGGAATTGCTTAGACGACGCGTGCTCTGGCACTATCAAGATCTCCTCTCAGAGCGACGCCGATGCCCTCCAGGGCTGCCAAAAGATCTCGGGTGATATCGCTATCCAGTCCAGCGTCCAGACTCCTCTCACCTTCAGCGGAATCCAATCCGTCTCTGGTAGCTTCACTGCTGCTGGCGCCACCAACATCAGCTCCATCTCGGCTCCATCTCTGACCAGCATTGGCGACGAATTCTCCTTGAAGCAAGTGAACCAATTGACTTCGCTCAGCTTCCCTAAGCTGACTTCCGTCGGCTCTATCACTTTCGTCACCCTCCCGAACCTGCAGCTCTTGGGTTTCAACGATGGAATCAACTCCGCCGGCTCCGTCAGCATCACCGACACTGGTCTCACTTCCCTGCAAGGCATCGAATTGGACTCCGTGGGCAACTTTGATCTGACTGCCAACACCGCCCTGGTTGAAGTCAACGTCAACAACATCAAGAACATCTCTGGTCTGTTGACCATCTCCAGCAACAACAACAAGTTGGTGATTGATTTCCCCAACTTGGTCAGTGCCCAGAACATGTCTTTCATGAACAGCAGCACCATCTCGGTTCCTTCCCTTGCCAACCTCACCGGTTCCCTTGGTCTTTTCGGCAACTACATCTCCAACTTCTCTGCCCCTAACCTGACCACTTGCGATGATCTTTCATTCGACAGCAACGGTGAGCTTTCGAAGATCAACCTGCCCAAGTTGGAAACCCTATCTGGTGGTCTGTCTATCTCCAACAACGGCAAGTTGGACACCATCGATTTGCCTGCCCTGGCCACCGTCCTTGGTGCCATTGACGTTACCGGTTCTTTCTCCAAGTAAGTGACACCATGCAGTCTTGATACTCTCTAGCACCTGAAGCTAATATGCTTGCTCCAGCCTCACTCTTCCTTCCCTCAAGTATGTGAAGGGAGGTTTCAACGCCCAGAGCACCAACAACTTCAGCTGCAGCAACTTCCAATCAGAGGCCAACGGTGGTGACATCATTCACGGTACTTACAACTGCACTTCGACAGCCACCCCAACCACCATCGATGGTAGCTCCGGCAGCAACTCCACTTCTTCCGGCAGCTCTTCTTCCTCTGCCACTTCTAGCGGTGCCGCTGTCGGCAACATTGTCGTTCCTACCATGGGCTTCACTGCCGTTTTGGGTGCTCTCCTGTCTATGTTGATGTAAAGAAATTTTTGTGTCGGTAATGCTTGCCCTTTCTCTTTCCATCCCGTGCAGGTCATTCCTTTTGAGGTCTCGTAAAGGCTTGTGACAGACGAGTTCGGTTAATTTTCTTTTTGATTTTATTATTCTGCTTGAGATTGCGGAAAATTGTCCTTGCTCGCGGTTGGTTCATGATAATAATTCATCCCTTTCTAGTTGAGCGCCTGTCCTTAGCCATGCTCTCTTTGTACTCTAGAATTCACGTGTCTATCTAAGCATCTCTTACTAGATGGCTCTCCAGCGTAGAATCTGCATGGCACCCTGTACTTGGCTACATATTATCTGAGAAGTCAGTAGAGATCCTCCACTGCTTAATTAGGTGGGAAGCTGGGATTCACATATGCCACCTGTACGGGCCTTCGGTTTGCAGCATTGTTACATACTACCAGTGATAATAATACTTGTCCTTTCTATTTACATCCAGCTACATCTTTCAACCCTCCATCAGGGCAACTAGTCGTGTGGTTTGAGCTTCTTAGTATTCAGAGGTTTCATGCTGCCTACGTAAGCAGCCCAGTGTGCTCGCAGGAGGGAGAAACCGCCTGCTTATCGACAACAGTTGCGGGCAGGCATTGCAGATAGAATTCGCACAGTTCATTATCCACTCACTACTAGCACTATTATGAGGTCTACGACGTGTCAACTCTCGTCCCGCATTTGCCATGCACAGCAAAGCGTGCCGAGATGTCCTCAACTCTCCGGACGTCCTATCAAGAACCCCCAACCCCAACCACTTCCGAACCGAATACGATGCGGCGTTATTTGCTGGCCCAGGCTCATTCAACTGCTGCCTTAGTTGCCTCGACTTGTTCGTGGATGCCCTGCTGCTATCCGCCTTGCATGCCGCGATCTTGCAGTGGCGGGACTCCTGTAGGTTTGTATCACTACTGTGGCCTTCCTCAGGAACCCTGAACGTGACAATGCATGGGTTAAGAGCCATTTGGATTCCTACATCATATAGTGAGATATTGAACAGACTCCATCCTTGCAATCTGAAACTTTATATAAGAAGCACAGAGATATCCCCGATGGATGGACGTATTCTGGATTTTGTTTGTTACCTGTCAATCTCACTGTGTGTCATCAGTCTAACTTTTGCAATGCTGAGACGGCGACTATCTAAGTGTACCAGTTCCTTGGAGCTCAGCTAACTTTGCAAATCCCGGGTTGCCATTTGGAGAAGATGGTTCATGCTAAGACTGACGATCCATAAATGATAGAACCGGAAGAATTTGGTTCTCCCCGTAAGCGATCGTGGCCGACGAATTTACCGAATAGAACCGGAGCACTCGGACAAATTCATGCATGTATCAATCATCATGAGTGGCTAGCAACGGACACATTCGGTTCTTCCCTACCAACCTTGTTGAGAAGGGGATGATCAAGAGCTAGCGAGCTAGCTGATCCAGACAGCCGGTTTCGATCTTGGTTAGTGATCGATTGAGAATTTCAGTGGTTGAATAATAATAATCATTATTATTATTTAGATTTCAGTTATGCTTTGCGCCAAAAAAACCCCCCCGAAATAGTGCCAGCCTGTCCTAACGTGCGGGGTCCTTTACAGGTCCCCGTTATACGCTACGGAGTACATAAATAAGGACGTACGTATGGCTATTGCCTCGCGACATCGTGGCCGTGGCCCTGGTCCTAGCGGCAGACGCTCAGACGCTAACCAATGCCATGCCTTTTTCTAGGTTTAAAGGAGGACTCCAAAAAAAGAGAATATGACAGCTCGCAATGAGGGGCTTCTGGCCAGTGTAAATCGACACCCGTCAACATTCTGTGAATTCCAATGCCAACATTTCAATCTCTCACCCAGTGAACTACTTGCTATGCCGTCACCACTTTTGCAGTATGACTCTCAAGCCTCTCCCGAACTGTTGTCCTACTGGGAAGGCCCCGCTCATCGAGATCCACGATGTGCCTGGCTGATTTGCAGATGTTGGGCGACTGTGGCTCGTTCTTCGTGCCCCAAATTTAAAATTTGCCCGGTATTTGCATCAGATTGAGTGGAAGAACTGGGGTTCACTCAATCACTTGACTGGCGAGCGAGGTTTTACAATGCCTTACTTGGTATCAACTACGATTATGTCCCAATAATGAATGCCTTACATATAGCACGGCACCATCATTTGTCTTCTATCCCTCGCAGGAGAAGGCAACAGGACTATTTGGTGCCAACCAACTAGGCGATTAGTACGTACGTTAGACGGTTCATAAGGATTACCTGCATAGTCCCTAGTTTCAAGTGGATCCATCCCATCAACCTTTCTTCGCGTTCGCAAGGACTCCCTGGTGAGTAGGAAAGACTACTGTGAAGCAGTTCAACGTCTGGGCCTTCGGCTAGCAACGCATATGATACATGTGCACATGGGCCTGTCGATTCATAACCATGGCGAACGTCATCAGATCGGCTAGGATGAAAGGAAAACCATATTGCCACGGGACCCCGCGCCCATGTGCAGTGTAGCATTATTGGGAAGTAGAGGGGGTTGAAGATCTTGCCACAGCAGCTAATGAGAAGCTAAATTTCCCGGGATTCGGATTCCTATACATCTATCGTCTCTCCAAAGGTGCGACACCACCAATCCGATTTCCCTTAGCACGCAGATAACCCCCAGGGAGGGATCACTAGTTTTAAGACACTTAAATGGTGGAAGCGATGGTTATAAGGAGTCTGATCTGTGGCTATCATTGGTTTCGGAAACTATTGATGCAAGGGGAGACTATAATAATCTGCAGGACCCAGCGCAACCGGGCACGAATCATGACATGCTCCATCTAGAACGCATTGCTAGATCGTGCCACACTAAAATTTTCCTGTTGTGGATCTCCCCTCTTTTTTCCTAGCAGATGCTACGTTCTAATAGGAAGATGAGGAGCTTACTATCAACCGAAAGAGGTTGCCGTTCTCTCCTACGGCTTCGTGTTTTGGATTCCCCGTCGACGATGGAGCTGCACGAAGCTGCAATAGTTGCAGAAGCGTCAGCGTACCTCACATTGACTGCATTGCGTGGTCCTTTTTATTCTCCCCTCTCTAGGCGGCACGCAGATCGCATAGATGATACATCCAGCTTTTGCTTACAGAGCAGCCTCGATCAAGAAGCACGAAGCCATTATACTCTTATCGGGAGGCCAAAGCGAGGGGTAAGGGGCTAGACGCATGGGCATGATTAAGGTGACCTCAGGGATATATAACTTGTATGCATGCTCGACCAACTCGTTCGTGGTTTTGTCCTTGTGCCACGTTTGTTGGGTTCCTCGACCAAGGTCATTCTCTCCCGTGCCTGTGTGCATTGTCCATACCCCGTATATAGATTGTATCTTTTATTCATTCTGCATTTCTCGGAGGCTCTTTTCTGCACATACTTTTGATTCGACTTGCCAATCCACACACACCATGTTTGAAGACACGTGTGATGTTGATGGTGCACGGCGTTGCTCGTTGCCGTAAGATGCTCTCATTTCGTCTTCATTGAACTGGCAACTGACTCGATACAAACAGCGCACTAAACTCGTTTACCTTCCGCACTCAAGTTGAAGGACAAGAAGATCCGACTATGCGACGTTTGCCGCCATTGCCTCGCATTGAACCATTGCCTCCGGGCCCATTCAACCCTTTCACTGCTACTGCATATGCTCCGAGCCCTCCTAGCTCCCAGGACTCCTTCCCATCCAAGTCAACATGCTCAACAAGTGACCATCTCATTTCACCTCCTTCTCCAGCCAGCTCGGTGGACCTGACTTTGAAGGATACATTTTCGGCTCAGAAGGCCTTTGGCTGGCCTAATGATCTCTCGTATACAGAGATCATGTCCTTGGTGGCACCCCGTAACATTAACCGGAAACCTCCACTACAGCAACTATGTGGGCGTAAACGAAAGAATGACATGGTTTCGAGTGACCAAGATGATCAACGTGAAAAGCATCGTATTGCCGAGGGCAATCGACGCAAAAATCTGAGTCAACTCCACCGAGAGTTGGACAGTCGGGTTCATGACTTTTTCCTCGAAAAGGCTGGCTGGAACCCTAGCAAGAGCCTACCTCAGTCCAAGGAACACATCGTCCAAGGGGCAATCTTCCTCCTCGACTTTATGCTCTCCATTATTGTCCACCTCCTGCGTCAGGAGAAGCATATCCCACCACACCTATCTGAGAATCTCCAAGGCCAGCTCCGTTGTATGCAGCTGCAACAGCTGGTTTCCAGCTTACAGTCCCAGAACCAAGCGACACAACAGCAGATGCGTGCACTCAAACAGGAGTACGACGACCTCCATGATCGTTACCGCGCGCTTGAGTTCAAGCTCAAGTCCTATGACCAGATGTTTCACTCCCCCAAAACCGAGGTCATCACACCCCCTCCACTAGCCACCATCCCAGAATCTTCCCAAAAGAAGATGCTGCCTGGCCTTCGAGTGTTCTGCGATGAGGTCGCTGCTCTCAGCCCCGATCCTGAGGCCACAGCAACCACGAGCTCGACGATGTCGCACAGTTTCGGCGCCGTCCTACATAGTACACCACCAGCCACCAACCCATCATCGCCACTCTGTCCTACACCATCCTTTCCCCACACTTTTTTACCGTTCCAACGTGGATCTTCCCACACTACGTAGGGAATGCTATCACACGTTGCATGGGCCGGAATAGAGAGGCACATAACGAGTTACGATGAACACTTTAGAATGAAGCACGAAATTTGCAACAGGAGTATAACTAATCAATGACTTACTTCCCACTCATGATGTTACGCCGCATGTTGCTTCATTTGCGCTTCGATTGGAGGGCTATTATATTGACGATAGCTCGCCGTGTACTACTAGGATGACGACAGCTCTTTTTCTTAACTTCTCATTTGTCTATTTCATTGATACCGAAGGTCATCAATACGGAATAGGCGCATTTTGCCGCTTTTCGCTTTGGGTATCCCATCCCTTTTACAAAATTTCTCTTTCCTTGGATCTATTTTCCAGCTGATTTTCTGTACTTAATTTTTGTGTCGCTATTTCGGTTTTATATATATTTGCCTTTTATTCCCAACAGCTACTACATTATTTGTCGTGTGGATACATAGTCTAATTCAAATTCAACCATGATCGCTCAAAGAGATTCTCTTCTGCTCCAGCCTAGAAAATATTCGTGTACTCCATACAACATTGACCTATGTATTACCTCTATCATAGTCCAGGTTGAGAAAGTGAGGAGTCACTGAAGGACGCGGGTACCTTGCATTGCCACGCCCTTACTGATCGACCTCGATCTTCCCACTGATATAGTTTCATGCCTTTGCCAATTGCAATGGATTCTAACCACGACTATGGCCCCGATTTACCTTTCCCAGACCCTTCGCTCGCTTATTATCCTATATTATACATACGTGCACTTGCCCGCTGCAGGGGCAGATGTCTGCTGCATCTTGAACCCTGTTGATCCTCACCCAGCACCTCCACAATGGCAACCATTTTTTATTTCAATCGTCTATATGTGCGTCTGGTATCTTGTTTGGTTGTTACCCCTGACCATTACGTGTCCGCGTGGCGAGAGGGTTCTGATAGGTAGTGTACGTAGGAGGACGGTACTCCCTTGCATCGGGGCCAAGCCCATTGGAGCAGCCTGCAGAAGTTCATTTTGGAATAGTGCAGTTATTATCCGAGTAACAGTTTCTGAGCTGAGCTTTGGGATCTATGGAGATTCGTTTCATGCCGGTATTAGGTGCCTGAGTGGCAATGAGAAAAGACGCACAGGCACGATGTTATGTATCATAAGAATATAAACACATATATCACGGGCTCTCTTATTGCTGTTGGCTGAAAATTAGACATAGGACCAGAAGTTCTTGGCGAGGACTGTGCATGGTGTATGCAATAAGGATAGAATGTAGGTTGCAGTACACGTCTTACTTAGTTATACTACTATTATTATGATGATTCATTAGGCCCATTCCCCACGGGCCAATCACAGGCCGTGTTCAGAAGACGTAGAGTATCAGGAACACAGGTTACAATGCCTTGTGCCCTGTCTTTATTCCTATAATTATCGTTGCTAATAATACACTGTCGATAATCTCGTTATTTTCATTTGTCCCGATGCAATAATACATACATCAAATGAACATCATTATAATAAATAATGGCAGCCAAGAGCCCTTATCGCTGTTGTCTGAGCCGGGCCGCGTATGTAAGCCAGCGCGCAACCAATGGGCACACGCCGCCCGGCCCAGACTCGCCACTGCCGCCAATGCCACAACCTAGTTAGTTATCTCGCTGCCACTGCCAACTTCTAGTCTCCCATCCAACATATGCTGCTCCCTTTCTTCCCCAGCTCCGCCTCCCCCCAGTCCGCCGCCGTTGTTGTCGATCAGAGAATTCTCTTGGGTGTTGATCCCATTGTCACTCGCTTGAATCCATTCGAATCGGACAGCCTTTTTTCGCTCTACCCTTAGCTCCCCCGGTACGTGGGTTTAGGGGGGAAAACATCACGACAAGATAGTCGAAATCCCATCCCAAACCCACCCCCCCCCGAGATCTCGTCACCGTCGCCATTGCTGTCCCCTTCTGTCCGCTTGTTTGCGACTGGAGCTAGTATCCATTGCAATTAATAATAATTGCCTTCGCGCCATACAGCCGCCCAGGCATAATGCTTCTTCCGAAGGGAGGTGTCACATGGAAGTCTACCCGCGCTAGGTTCCCTCCATGGCGGGCCATCCTCGTGTTGTTGACCAGGACACGCTTCCTAATCTCAGTCGCCGTGACGGGCCTGGTGGTTCTCCTATGGCGCGGCATCAGCAGTTCGGCCGCAGAGATGCAAAGGTAGGAAGAAATATATACGCACCGTGCAGGAAAGCGTGGGGACAGCGGAAGGGAGTAGATGATTGATTACTAACGATAAAAATCGAATAGTTTCTACTGCTACGGACCGTCTACTTCACCGATGAAAATGACTATTAATGAAATGAATGATTGGAATGCGCACTTGCAGACCCCAGTGAACTTCAATCGCCATGAGGCCTTTGATGTGAACTCTCCCTCAATCTCTTCCGTCAATCTCAACCCGATCAAGTCGACTCCCAAGGCTGCCAGCAATGGAGAACGTGTCTTGATTCTCACCCCGCTGCGTGACGCCGCGCCATACCTTCAAAAGTACTTTGACCTATTATCCGAATTGACATATCCCCACGACCTCATTGACCTGGCTTTCCTGGTCGGCGACTCGACTGATGATACATTGGCTCTCCTGAGCTTGGAGCTCCAACGGATCCAGGATCAGGTGGACGAGAAAATCGCCTTCCGCAGTGCTCTCATTGTGCAGAAGGATTTCGGATCGGATATTGAGATGGATATCAAGGAAAAGCATTCGTTCGAGGCCCAGGGCCCCCGCCGCAAATCCATTGCGCGAGCTCGGAACTTTTTGCTCTACTCTGCTTTAAAACCGGATCACTCGTGGGTGTACTGGAGAGATGTGGACATTGTCGACAGCCCGAAGAAGATATTGGAGGATTTTATGGCGCACGATAAGGACATTCTCGTACCTAGTACGTATTATTATCACCAGTACCTGCTTGGTTTGACTGACTCGTGGCAGATATCTGGTTCCATCGCTATGAAAATGGCATTGATATTGAGGGCAAATGTACGTTGATGTGGTCTGCTCCGGAACAAGTCACGGCTAATTGGTATATGCAGTTGATTACAACTCTTGGATCGAGTCAGACAAAGGCCGCCGGTTGGCTGATTCTCTCCCTAAAGATACGGTCCTTGCCGAAGGTTACAAACAGTACGATACCGGCCGGACATACTTGGTGAAGCTCGGTGACTGGCGGAAAAACAAAGACGAGGAGGTGAACCTGGATGGAATTGGCGGTGTGAATATTCTGGTCAAGGCCGACGTTCACCGAGCCGGTATGCTTGAAGTGTCGAGTCTTGGTTGATCAATACTAATTGTTATCCCAGGTATTAACTTTCCTTCTTATGCCTTTGAAAACCAAGCCGAGACCGAAGGGTTTGCTAAAATGGCCAAACGAGCTGGCTATGAGGTGGTTGGTCTCCCCAATTACGTTGTGTGGCATATAGATACGAACGAGAAACCCGGTAATCTCGGCGGCCGCAGAGCATACTGATCGTATTTGTTGCATCTTGTCCATTGGCTTTCTCCCCTCTTGTCGGTTTCCGGTATATTTGATGATACATATCCACATTACCGATGAGTGAAAAGACAAATTCTTTATTGTCTATCTTGCATACCCGTTGTGCGATATTTCGCATTTTACACAAACCTCGCGGCTTAATGAAACGGTTAATACTCGGAGTCCGTCTCAGACCCTTGGTTCTGTGCTTCAAGGATCTGGTATTCTGGCGTCTTTTCTTCGGCGTATCTGAAGGCATGGCATTTGAAGTCTTGTATCTTATGATGGTGTATAGATCCGATTTCTTTTTTTCTCCATCTTTGTTGAATGCTCGGATGTCTTTTTTATTTTCATTTCTTTTGGGTGTTTTATTCCATTTTCTCTCCATTTATAATGACGCATGTTTGGGCTCACGCTACTGAGATCCGGAGTTGAGCATCTCAGCTTTTTTTCAACATGCACGAGCTCGTATCCCACCTAGAAGACAGACGGGAAGAGTAGGATGGGATTCCTTTGGGGAATTATAGTTGATGACCTGGACTTCTTTTGTCCAGGGAGGACTTTGAAAGTCCATTTTGAATGGCTCTACGGACTGGTTATTCTTTTTAGTCCGACTCGGTGGACAGGCAGAAAGCAATAATGTAATGTGTGGGATTGGAAAAATGACACTGCCTAGCCTAGGTCTGCGTCCGTGCTTGTACATATTTTTTACTTCATTATTGAAATTGATTGACAGTCCGGCATCATCATATGTCAGTTCATCTGTTGTCAGACCAATCACTAGGCTTCGTACTAGCCCTCACCCCGCTTACGCCTCGCGGGTATTGTCGGCATTCGCTATCCCTCTGGGCGCAGCTATATATTTAATAATTGTATACAATTCCGCTGAGTTCACTGTCGATTGAGGAATGTGTATGGGTCTAGAGATGCAAAGAATGTTCATTGGCTGTCATAAGATCTAGCATCTAGACAACATATAAACCGAGGATAACAACGGCGTGAGATCTTCTCCAATTCTCCCCATTGAAAACACTATTTTTGCTCCTAAAATTCCCCGCACCAACAACACCCACGCAGTATTGTCAAATATCATCAGCATATATAAACCCCACACTCGTCTTACGGGAATCCCCATCCATCGTCATATTCTAGCCTTCTTATCTTGCTTTCTTCTGATTTCCTCTCAATCCGACACCCTGGCTACCCTTCGAGCACTCAGGCCCATCCCTCCCACATTCCCAGCTCTATTCCAAAGTACGCCTCGAGTTCACCCGGAATTTCGTCCTTATCAGTTCCGTACGGCCGCTACTAAAATGTCCGCGAAATTGGAATGGCTGTGCATTGTCCCGGACAAGCCCGGGATGAATGCGAAGAGAATCGAGGTTCGGCCGTGAGTGATAGCTACTCATATTGTTTTACAACATGCTGAACATGAATGTACGCTAATACGGGCAATGCTGTGCATGATAGAACGCATTTAGCAAACCTGGGCCCTCTTCTTGAATCCAAAACTATCGTGGCTGGTGGTTTGTCTCTCTTCCCTTTGCAGTACACATGTAATACAAAATAAGGCCAATAAAGGATGGTATTAACTCAGCCTTGCAATACAGGAGCAATGTTCACCGAAGCACACCCCACCGAAGGCTCCACGCCGCAATTCAAGGGCAGCATGGTGATTATTCAGGCCGGCTCGCTGGAAGAAGTGCGTGGCATCTTGAGCAAGGATGTGTACACGCAAAGCGGCGTTTGGGATTTGGAGAATACGCAGATCATCCCCGTAAGTTGGTGCATTAAATGTTATATCGTGTGGATATTGGTACTGACTGAGGGTAGTATAAATCGGCTGTTCGGTTGCCTATGTGAAGCTGCGCAGAGATGTGAACTTAGGCGCTATTGTATGTTTATGCAGCAACGCTCAGATGAATATATCTAGTTATACATGTGCCCATCCAATGGAAACTATAATGTGCATCTCATCGATCAGGCAGAAATCTCCTGCCTCGACCCTCTTCTCACCGGGCTTTTCTTTTTGCCAGTTCCGTAAACGATGGAAAACTGTTCGGAACTTCACCACATCGGACGTCACCCATCGCCGTATTCGGCTTTCCCATCTTCCAATTAGTTTTTGCCAGCTCGTTATCCATTCCCTTTCATTTGCTGGGTGGACAGTATCATAGGCTTTGCCGTTGTAGGCAACCCGGACATTAGGGTTCAGCCACACTCCCTTTTTGCCTGACAATGGATTATCGGCATGGATGAGGCAGCATTCAGACCCTTCAAGGTGCTGCATAGCTAGACTGTCGGAAATTCCCCGGAAGCGAAGCGGGGATACCGTGTCGTAGAATGGAGTTGCATCCATTATTACTGTGGATGTACACGGTTAGTAGTGCTGATTTGCTAGGGTTCGAAGAGCAATACATACCCATGCTGTTCCAACAGCTTTTTACAGGGACTATGTCCCCGCGCTCTAGTGCATGACGAGACTCGTCCGCTCGAAAATACGGCCATGTCTGCATCATAGCCTCGTGACCTTCGCTATCTCGAAGGGCAAAAGTATCGTAAAATGCAGGCGGCTTAGAAAAATCTAGTGCACACGCTGCTGCATACGAGCCCTGATTTGTGTCGAGAAGAGTGAAGAAATCGTCATTCTATGTTCTCCAATTAGCTAGGGGACCACACGACTTATAGAAAACAAGTCAAACTCGCCGTGAAGACAATATCATTCAAAAATAATATTTTATCGAATCTTAAGCCAATCTCCCTCTCTAACAGGGCAAGTGGTTTCAAACTCTCGTTTCTTTCCCGAGATAAAAATGGTATCCTTCTCAACTCTTTGCGTCCTCTCGGCGTCTCAATCCACCCTTTCTCTCCTTCCTCTGGCTCGCGCATGATTGCATCTTGATGTGTTGCCTCACTTAGACTGATGGTTCGATTAATCTTCAATTGTCCAAGATAGTAATCTAGTTCCAACAGAGCACCTTTGGTGTTGTCGTAACTCCCGCTCTCCACAATTGACACGTAGACATTCTCTGGTCCCAAAGAGGCGGCCAGTTGAATGACGGCTGCATTCCAGTGAGACCGAAGCACGATCTCGTTATTCCAGTGGGTGCTAGCAATGAATATACGCTCTTTAGTCCCGTGAGTCACCTGGGACTGAGGTGTCTGTTTTGTGGCTGTGTACGCTTGGGCACTCTGGCTCCTTAGTGCCGGATCCTTGGATGGGGAGGATCGATAGTGGAGGAAGGATGCATCGAGAACAAAAAGAAATAGAATAAAAATAAAAATTCTAACGAGATGCCGTCTTATACGCGGGTTCAAGATGGGCATCTCGGTGAGTTGTTTGGTGGGCGAAGGGGCTGCGCTGGAGACGTATCATGAAACGCATCAATAAAATCTGAAATAGTGGTTGATAAATATAAAATATATAAAAATACGGGATATATGGCAACCAACTGGTTCTCGCCGAGATATCAATGCAAGTCTAAAATGAAAAGATGAGACTTGACATAGGTTTTTAGCTACATAAGGAAGGGATATATGTCCTTGTAGTAAGATTAGAGGGAAAATCGGTTTAAATATTAAAAATAACAAAAAATTTAAAAAATGGGGTGAGCCGGGATCGAACCAGCGACCTTAGCATCTTCAGTGCTACGCGCTCCCAACTGCGCCATCGCCCCGCTTGATATGAGAGGTACATTCTATATCGTATATGAACTAACTTCTGAACTATTTCAATATCTGCTTACTGAGTTTCATTCTATTGGTTTTTGATGAAACTTGATATAGACCAATAAAGAAAGTTCTAGGTATTTTAATTTTCACTTCCTCTATGTGTCATGACTGCGTAGGCCGGAATTCGCTCTGTAAGCTGCTGCACCAAAAGGCCGGAATATTGGGGGTGGTGAATTCTCAGTACCACCCACTCATGTAGTAAGGGTTGCTAGTATCGTCACACTCTATCTTCAGTAGTGGAATAGTACCAGATCTGATTCGTTTTTTGCCTTGCTTTCACACCCAAGGTGAACAAAAAGGGGGAAATGGTTTCATTGGTGAAATATATTATGGATTCAGAACTTCCGCATGTTTACTGTTAGCCCGTTCATCGACGGATTATTGTTAAGCTTTTACTCGATACTTAAATCGAGGTGTTGAGGATGTAACTGTATAGCTGCCTTGGTTGGGTAATTCATCAAAAATCAGACATTCGAAAGGTATACACGACAGACCAACACTAAAACACGGTGCCTCATTGCCGCACTACCATAGACTACAAGGCAGCACGTTCACTAGAGAAGCGCAATAGATTTAGAAGCCGTCCCCATATAATATATTATTTCTTCGTTTCTTCGGACTCTTACTAGTAAAGATTAGAGGTACGCTAGGGTGTGTTCTACCTACAAACGATTGGCACACAGAGAATCAACCGATATATATTTTAGACGAAGAATATCGAGGGGTTTTCAGAACATTAATTTAAGTGGCAAGCCTACTGCTCTCATGCATTTATATTGTGATCTACCTTGGATTGTTTGGATACCTGATTTAGATTAGCCACCGAGGCAGTGGTCTGTTCATGGCACATCATGATACACGAGGAAAGCTTAGGAAACCGCCCCTTTTGGGAAGCTTGGACGCCCCCGTTATTCTGATGAGACAACAGATCACGCCAGTGCAAGCGGGTTTGTGGGCTAATATCCCAAATTTTCTCCTTCTATATTTTAAAATTGCTTTCCTTCCTTAGTCAACCTAAATTGAGGTGGCCTTGACACGAGTCTTCTTTAGGACCGTCTCGGAACTTCCAAGTTCGGGAGCATGAAGGTTTTCCCGATTGTTTAGATAGCTAGTCCTTGCTCGATGACTTTAACTGCGAGGGAGGGCGACTTGGATGATTGCGAATTCAGCGCAAGTGCTGGCCATAATGACCCCTCTGTTAGAAATATCAAAAGTGTCGAGAAAGCTTACCAAACAGAAACCCCAATAATCGCGACATTGACTAGCAAAGATATGGATACATTTTCCGCGGACACTGAAATGGAGAGAGAGTGAGTTTATTTCAACAAACGGAATAGTACGGCTTCATCTCAATCGTCGCAAGCCAGGTCTTCAACTCAGGGCAAGTAACAGTGCAGCGAAGAAAATCCGAGACCGAGGGGGTAACTCTACGATACATTTTACAACTAGCACTATTATGCTGAAAAGAGTAACTGAGACTGTGTATAAGAAAGATCTAGGAGCTTTGGTCAGCAATTAGAAGTTTGGTCAGATGTGAAAGGTCCAAATTAAGAAAAAGATCCTGCATTTACAGCACCGGTGCCTTTTAGATTAATTGGAATTTCAACGATGTATCAATACCGAAAAATATAACTCAAGTCGAGAGTATAGTTGTAAGCAGACACCAAGTAATAATACTGTTGTTAATAGGATATGTAAGAGCTATATAAAGCAGGTCTCTGTATTATTATTGTTAAGTGGCTGGACTGGCTGTTAACATATCGTCAGACTAGTCCACACGTTTTTCATATAGCACAACCGAGAACCGAATCATTACAGGCCTGCTGGCCCAATGGCAAGGCGTCCGCCTACGGTGTGTCAAGCGGAAGATTGCAGGTTCGATCCCTGCGTAGGTCAATTTTTTTGTCCTTATTTTATGGTAATTGTCCAATGTTTTTGCCTGGAAAGTCTACATGTCATCACGTTGATTTGCCAGGGAGCCGGAACTGGAGCGGGATTGACTTTTTCTTGTACTAGCTAGATGCGGAAGACATTGACATCTCTTTCAATTCGCTGTAGACTCTCAGTAGTAGAAGATTATATCTAGGAAAATGAGTATTGCCAAGTCAGACCACCAGATAAAAAACGATACAAGCTTGGCTGATTTACTAAAATTCCAATCGCAGTTATGACACAGGTGTTTGACTCATTGTTTTTTACGTCTTGGGCCTACCCTTAACCATCGGTTCCGCAGCTTAACTTCACATTTGCATCCAGTGCAGCTTACCAAGCTATTATCGATCGCAAACTTATAAATTCTTATAGACAATAAACAATCTTTAATCGAAGGAGACGGGGGCGAAGTCGTTGCGAATATGAGGCCATCTGACTTTTGCTTATTACCTATCAGAAATAAAAACTGGTCGTTGATTTCTTATAGCACAAGCTTGTAATAATTTGATTTCGTATATCAAACTGATATCAAATCAACTTATAACAATGCTCTCTTCACAGTTTCAGTAAGTCCTGCTCACTAACTATATTGCTTATTTACAGGTATGTAAGCTGAGGTCGGCTCTTTGTTTTATTATCGGTAGGCATCAGACTTCAATATCTACCGTTTTTGGAACTGAAATGGGAGATAGTCAATATTATAGGTGACATGGCAAGCCAGAGGGTTTATTCAATAACTACAATGCAATTTTTTGATACAAAAACCATGCGCTATTGCTTATTCCTGGCTGGTTACATTGTCTACAAGACCAAACCTAAACTTTCACAAAGAGCTGTTATGGAGGGAGCACTCATCAATACGCCTGCACATAGTATATCTCTTTCATAATTAGTCAAAATGTAGCCCCATACTTGATGGTCTTTCCGTCTCAGCTTCATTATCAGTAATAGTGTCTCCAGTTTCCTCGATGGTATGGGAATCCTATGAACACGATGGCCAATCGTCCAACAAAGCGGCCAAAATCACATTATCGTAGTGTTGAAAGCAGCGAACAAACTTAGTCAATGATCTTGGGTTGATAAAAGGAATGTGTTCATCGACTGGAACTAGTCGTCCCCCTCTAGCTCAGTTCTTGCAGCGAGTAGTTGCAGTAACGTATAATGGGCGTGACATCCCAAGTGTACACCGGGCGTTCCCGTCGACGTGAATTTTAGTAGATCCCATATTTGACTTCTCTTTGCAACGAGAGCACCAGAGATGGACTACTGCTGGGCGAGGAGGGTATCACCAGGAAGCCGCAAGACCCTATGGTACAGGCCATCTCTTGTTTTGAATGAGTAGCGCGTAGAGAAAATTTATTATTCACTAGCGATTGCATATGTTTGGAGATAGGCTTCATAGACTGATTTTTTCCTTGATAGATGGGCTGTGAACAAGCTCCACCAATGCCTGATAATGTATGCGCCAGGTCTATCGCAAGAGAATCGTGGTTCATGATCAGTAAGCACATGGAAGCCGCAAGGGACAAGCAGTTTCCATGGTGCTTTTATCAACTCGATTGAACACTAGTTCATCCTGTACACTGGTATTACTCAAATCAAGGTTATTTTGTTGCATCTGCATAAACTGAAGCAGTATATTTCTCCGTTCCGGCGGAGGACATATGATTATCTTCAGTATCTCACAAAGATAGCAGCTCTACCAAATCGCCAGTCGTTCTCTTGAGTTTCTCGGGTCTCATTCGTCCTAGGTCGTAAACAGATGGTACATGGGACCTCCAATGTTGCCTTTGGTAATATTCGCAGTCAAACGCAACCTCCAGCGCCTCGAGATGATTAGCAACCTCAAATACTAACTCCTGCTGAATTGATATTCTACTTCCCTTCGGTCCATAGAAAAGATGTTGGAGGTGTGTTGCGAAAAGTATCACGCTCCTGAACGAAAGCGATTTTCTTCATTATGAAACTTGCCCTCATGGTCTAAGGCAAGGAATACGCCTTTGCAACGCCCCCAAAGAGGTAGAAGGCTACACTTCAATAGTTGCAAGATCCGCTTCTGTACGTGGAGACCGTAGACTGTTTCAAATTTAGCAGCAGAAGATGCCATCATGAGGTGTGTCAACTCTTCGTGAATTATTTTAATAGGTTCTGGGAATGGTTTGGGGCCATTTGATCTAGCTGATTGTCGATGTAAATGATCAAAAAGAAGAGTGTTTCGTTCTTGAAACCTATTGCCCATAACCATCGCTATACAGCCATTGCTTGTATCTGCTGTGGAATGTTTGTCTCCTGGGGCATTTGTTGTAAACGATGGCTGATGCAAATGATGAGTGATGGGGCTGTCAAGATGACCCCGAAGGCGGGATTTAATGACTTTGACATTCAATCTGTACTCCTGAATTCCTCCAGGCATGTATTTCGTCCTGTTTGAACTTCCCGAAATTGTAGGCATATATCAATCCTATTAGATAATTCTACAATGTAAGTTAGCCTGGAAGGTGGAATTACTCTGATGAATTGTAACAAGACCTTGAAGATTTCGACTATCGAGTTTCTGGAGATGAGGCAACAGATCTGAAATATTTTGTGTAAAGGCAACTTCAAATCTTTCAGTTCGTGGATTTGGAAGCTCGAGAGACCCCATAAGATGAATACCCTAGGTATCAGCCAATGTCTCAAAGCCATATAGTTATGATTTTGGAGAGTCTATCGATAAACACGCGTTTTTAGTCTCTTTTATTAAGGGTAGAGACTTGAAGGGTGCTCGAGAGTTTGCACTTGTGATTCGTTGTTCCTTATGCAAGACAGGTTTCGGATTTCTGTGATAGAGGGGTCGACAGAAAACTTGACGATATCTTTAATAAGCTACTGCAAACGCTTAGGGTCTTTGAGAAGATTTTCCAGGTCGAAATTTCGCCGAGGCATTCTGTTTCTTATTTGACTTGTGTATTGAAAAGAGAGGAGGCCTTGGTAAACAGTAAAACTTACTTTGTCTGAAATAGAAAAACGGCGGATTGGGAAGGTTTTTGAAGAGACCGAAAGGATCAACATGCCTCAGTGTGTCCTTGACTTGGAGAAAATGCGGTATCACTTAACAACAATGGCATTATCAGCAAGTTACCGCCCAGTATTGCCGTTAGCCTTATAATCAAAGCGATACGACTGAACTGAAGAAAAACCTTCAATTCTGATAAATCAAGGCTGTTTAGATTTATTTGATAATCTGGTGACATGATCAAAAAGGGCAATATGATAGAGCCGGCAATAATATAATCCTTAAATATAAATGCTGAGTAGTAACAATCCCCTCCCAGCTACATGAGAAAGCAATGCGGTTTAGACGTGCAAAAAATTAAGTTGACCTACGCAGGGATCGAACCTGCAATCTTCCGCTTGACACACCGTAGGCGGACGCCTTGCCATTGGGCCAGCAGGCCGATAGTTAATTTTCCAATTATTTAGATATTAAGAAAAATCAGAAAATTAATATTAACATTGTATAGGCCCCATTAGTTATATAACTGTATCATTTTTAACTAAATGTGTTCATTTCCGCTCCTTGGCTCTCTGTGAGCGTATAGTAAGTTATATTTGCCGCCAGTCTATATTGTGACGGCTCTGATAACCTTACTATATGAGAGAGAGAAGCGAGGATTCTCCATCCTCAATATTCAAGTCCGCTGGCGCAAGCTTGGTGGGCGAACCCGCTACGAGGATGTGATACCGCTCGCCGCAATGCCAACATACAATAATAACGTTGCAAGAATTCCTCAAGTCGGTACCTCTCTTTATGGCCTTTTAATTCGGAGATTGAGCAGGCAGGTTTTTAAAAAAAAAATCAAAATTCGATTAAATTAGAAAAAAATTGACCTACGCAGGGATCGAACCTGCAATCTTCCGCTTAACACACCGTAGGCGGACGCCTTGCCATTGGGCCAGCAGGCCTCACTGGAAGGTTGTTCTCATTTATGTGATATACATATTCGCTACGCAAGAGTGGACCAAGCACGTGATACTCAATCCCCATTTCGCAGCTTGGCGCTGCGCATTATTGTTTATCTCCCGCCTAATCATTAGGAGACAAAGGAGGCCTAAGCAGTTAATACATCGGCCATTGGCCCTGTTTTAATCACCACATATTCGCCTGGCTGGTATTGTTTTTGACACATGAATACCCTGTCCATGAAGGATCCACATTGAATGACAGTCAAATCAAGTAAAAGGGCTGTCACCATCTACGTGTGAAATTAATCGACATGTGTGTGGTCCGCCACCATCAGGATTAGAAGTGCTGCTTATCTTTTGACTCTTGTCCTCCCCCAAATTGAAGTGAATATAATTCGCCGCCATGTTTTCGTCCGCTTTAAAGTCATTCAGTTCCAACATAACTTCTCATTATCAGATTTCTCCCGAGCCAGTTTTTGTCACTGGTCCGTGGAAGGTCCATGATGGCAAGAAAAAGTCAACTGACAGTTCTGCCTCTATATTCATATTTGACCGAAAACTATTGGACCCCAAGTCGGGCGGCTTTGGCAGCCGATCTAGTTCCTCGTCACTCAAAAAGGTCCACGATGAAGTGGTAGAAAGACTCAAAAGAGAGGTGAGCAGCCTCACACGTCTGCGCCACCCTTCTATTCTTCAAGTGATCGAGCCTGTCGAGGAATCTCGTAGTGGAGGCTTGATGTTCGCTACTGAGCCTATAACTGCCTCTCTCGCGGGTCTGCTGCGAGAAAAAGACGCACAAGAAGGGGGCTCAAGATCTAGTCGCTTCATGGTGGAGTCTGCAGATGGAACGAGAAGACGACGAGAAGTGGAAATTGACGAGCTCGAGATCCAGAAAGGACTCCTTCAAATCGCAAAGGGGCTTGAGTTTTTACACGAGTCTGCGAGCTTGGTTCATGGTAATCTCAATCCCGAAGCTATTTATATCAACGCCAAATCAGACTGGAAAATCGCGGGATTGTCATTTGCTGGACCGCCCGACGGCTCAACAGCACAATCTTCTCTTTCACCACTTGCGCTTTCAGAGGTCCTCTACCAGGATGCCCGGATTCCTGCTTCTGTCCAGTTAAACTTGGACTATACATCACCCGATTTTATCATGGATTCAAATGTGACAACAGCCGCCGATCTATTTTCTTTGGGGCTGATCATTGTCGCTATTTACAACTCTCCACCTGTGTCTCCTCTTCAGACACATTCTAACATTGCCACATATAAAAAGCTCCTTAGCGCTCCTTCAACCACCCCTTCTCAAAGTAATAGCTTTCTTTGCTCACGGCCTATCCCGAAGGACCTTCTTTCTCACGTTCTCCCCCGACTCATTACCAGGCGACCTGCTCAGCGATTAAACGCACGTGAATTCCAGCAATCCCCATACTTTGATAATATTCTAGTGTCTACCATTCGATTTTTGGAATCCTTACCCGCCAAAACTCAGAATGAGAAATCACAATTTATGCGTGGCATGCAGCGCGTTATTCCTGAATTCCCTGCATCTGTTCTTGAGAAGAAAGTGCTCGGAGCTCTTTTAGAGGAAACTAAGGATCGTGATCTGCTGTCGCCCATCTTGCAGAATGTTTTCCATGTCTTGAAAAAACTCCCAAATGGCCGCCGTGTTTGCCCTGAAATGATTATTCCAAAACTTAAAGAGATATTTCTCGGAAGTGGCAACAAAAGTGCGTCGCAAGAAAGGGACAGCAATAGGGATGCTGGCCTTATGGTCGTTCTTGAAAATATGAATATTATAGCGGATAATTGCTCAGGAAAAGAATTCAAAGAAGGTTTGGATTCTGCTAAGTGTATTATTGGAAAGGTTAGCTAACGTTGGCCTACTAGATATTCTTCCCATTGTCCAACTGGGTATGGAGTCTTCCACGCATTCTTTGAACGATGCAGCTATGAAATGCCTCCCTGTCATGCTTCCAGTTCTCGACTTTAGCACCGTCAAGAATGATATTTTCCCCCCTATTGCTTCAACATTCAGTAAGACCAACAGTCTTGCTATCAAAATCCGTGGCCTAGAAGCATTTGTTGTACTCTGTGGAGGCTCAGCCGGGAAAGCCGTAGAACAGGAGAACGACTTGTCAGGTGTAATTGAGAGCAAACAGACGAGCAGGACAACACCCACTTCTATACTCGACAAATATACTGTACAAGAAAAGTTAATTCCGCTTTTGAAAGCCATCAAGACCAAGGAACCAGGAGTCATGATGGCAGCTTTGAACGTTTTTCGCCAGGTTGGAGGAATTGTCGACACCGAATTTATTGCTATGGAAGTGCTTCCCATACTGTGGGCATTTAGTCTAGGACCCCTGCTAAACCTACAGCAATTCGAACAATTCATGGCATTGATAAAATCTCTTTCAACAAAGGTCGAACGAGAGCATATGCGGAAACTTCAAGAGCTTTCGTCTAGAGGTGAATCTGCAACCCCTCGCCAATCTATGTCGGGCACCCTTGGAAGTAGCCAAGTTTCTGGTGTAAATGAGACGTCAAATGATTTCGAAAGACTTGTTCTAGGTCGCGGTGGGAGCAACGGCACCAACACAAACGGAAATAATGATTGGGATAACTGGAACACCGAGCCTGTAACTACAAAGTCGACAAACCCAGTAACCTCACCGACATTTTCATGGACATCCAATTCATTGCAGCCAACCAACAGAGCAAGTGCCATTGGTATATCGAGCGCTTTCTCATCAGCAGGACCGACTTCTAGATCTATAACCCCCGATTCCAGTATTAGTGCTTTTGCTTCTCTTGAACCAAACCGGCAGGTATCTTCTAGGAGCTCCGAGTTCCCTACCTTGCAACCGTCAACCTCAAGTTGGAACCAGTCACAGCCAGCAAACCGTTCTTCACTTTCGAGCTGGGGAGGCCCATCTCCGTCTTCTACTGGTTTGAGCAACCAGGCGTCTTCTTCTTACGGACAGACTGCCCAACCAGCAGTACCCAACTACTCATCCTTTTCAATTGCCCCCCCTCCTTCTATAGGCCAACCTCAGCAATCGCAACAACCAGCCCAGTCAAACCCATGGGCTTCAGCTGCACCAGCACCACCGCCAAGTTCTGCACAAACCCAACCAGCTGGGCAGCAAAGTCAGGGTCTGGATAAATACGCGAGCCTGTTATAATAGGCACTTTCATTGTAACTACACTGTATATGAATATATCATATTCTACCGAATCTACTAAGCAGTTAATCAAATACATAGCCAATTAAAAAGATCTATTGTGTAGTCTCCAAGCAAGACCGAAGCTAAGCGCAAATAAGCTCCCGCGTCCGTTGTTGTAATCGGCGCAGGGAAATGCATAAGCAGCAAACACCATACCCCTCCAAAGCCAACCGATGACCCCTCTCCGGAGTCAATTGACGACAGCATTGCGACGTCTTTCAACCCTTCCGCTGCAACAGCAATTCTCTGTCCTTCCTCGGCTGTTACAAATTCGGGGCCATACCACTCAGTCCGGCGCAGCTACACTTACCCAAACAGCATCAACTGCCATCATGGATCCCAAGGTCAAACAGCATTACCTCGCAGACTCTCCACCCACGGTCGTGAGACTGGAAATAAAACCTCACTTCGAGGCTTTGAAGGATGAAAAGGTTAAACGCTATGCTCACTTTATGAGCAGGTAAGTTCATTTGCATTGTCTTGTTACAGCAGCTACACAAAGAAGCTATATTATAATGTCAGGCGTAACTAACGCGATGGAATTGTTTGCTAGGGCTGCATTTGAAGGTACTCGAGTTGCCTTGCGCCAAGTTTCTCCTGAATCCGAACCTATTTATGACTTGATCATCTCCCTGTACAAGACAGTCAACGGCGACTGGAATAGCCTTGCACAGAAGACCGGAACTAGTGCTCAGGATCTGCAGTACTTTCTAGAGTATGCCACTCAGTTCCTCGGAAATTGTGGAAATTACAAGGGATTTGGTGATACGAAGTTCATCCCGAGACTTGACGCCGGTGCATTCAAGACACTCGCATCTGTCACCCCCGAAACGCAGACCCTTTTTGAGAAAGCGAGTAGTAGCGGACAAGGAATTTATGAAACAACTGAGGTGGGTCTGATGCATCTGGGTTATACAGATAAGGGCCACCTGACCACCTATTACCCTGACTCGCCTGCCATTACGAAAGATGAAATTACAGCGGTGGGAGACTTTCTCGAGAAGAAAGGGCTTCCAGTGGAAAACACAAGACTGAGGAAAACAGGAAGCGGGGACTTTGAACTACTTATTGCTTCTGCTCTGTCCTCACCCCCGGCTCACGACAGAGATCTGGGAAATGAAGACTCCTGGCCATTGGATGGTGCTTTGACTGGGAAGAAATTGAGTTTGGTCTTTGGGGATTACCAGAATGAGATGGCAAGGATTGCCCACAGTGTCAAGCAGGCACAATTGAACACGGAAAACGAAACTCAGAAAAAAATGTTAGAGCAATATGCGAAGTCCTTTGGAACTGGATCGATCGAAGCCTATAAAGAAAGCCAGCGTCTATGGGTCAAGGATCAAAAGCCTCCTGTCGAGACGGATCTGGGATTTGTTGAGACGTACAGAGACCCCCATGGAGTGAGAGGAGAGTGGGAAGGGTTTGTGAGCACGGTAAGTAAAATGCTATAGGTATTGAATACCTACTAACTTTAAATAGGTCAACTTAGTCCGTACCAGGACATTCACCGATCTTGTAAACGGTGCAAAAGAATACATTATCCGTCTACCTTGGGGCAAGGATTTTGAGAAAGATCGTTTCCTCAGCCCTGATTTTACTTCTCTTGAAGTTTTAACCTTTGCTGGATCAGGAATTCCAGCTGGTATCAACATCCCTAATTACGACGATATTCGGCAGAATCTTGGTTTCAAGAATGTGTCATTGGGAAATGTCTTAAGTGCCAAAGCCCCAAACGAGAAAGTACCGTTCATTGCTGCTAAGGACCTCGAGGTATTTCAAAAATTCCGAGACGATGCATTTGAAGTCCAGGTTGGCCTTCACGAGCTGCTAGGGCACGGAACTGGAAAATTACTTCAGGAAACGAACCCGGGCGAGTTTAATTTCGATAATTCAAACCCACCAACCAGCCCAGTTGATAATAAGCCTATTTCTACCTGGTACAAGCCAGGTCAGACGTGGGGCTCAGTCTTTGGAGCTATTGCTTCTTCCTACGAGGAGTGCCGTGCGGAATGCGTAGCCATGGCCTTGAGCTGCGATTTCGATATTCTCAAGATTTTTGGATTCGGTGATGGCACTGAAAACCTGAACAACGATGCTGGAGATGTGTTGTACGTGGCCTATCTGCAGATGGCTCGAGCTGGCGTCCTTGCTCTCGAAACCTGGGACCCTAAGAGTCAGAAATGGGGCCAGGCTCATATGCAAGCAAGATACAGCATCCTACAGACGTTCCTTGGTGCTGGCGACGATTTCGTGAAGCTGGTCTCCACCAAAGAGGATCTATCAGACCTCGAAATTCACCTCGATAGGTCCAAGATCCTCACACATGGACGGCCTGCCGTGGAAAAATACTTGCAGAAGTTGCACATTTATAAATCTACCGCAGACGTTGCTGCCGGTACCAAGCTTTACAATGACATCACGTCGGTCAACGAGTGGTTTGGCACCAAGGTACGAGATGTTGTGCTTCAAAAGAGGGTCCCCAGAAAGGTATTTGTTCAGGCCAACACGCAGCTGCAGGGCGACAAGGTTGTTCTGAAGGAATATGAACCAACCCTCGAAGGAATGATCCAAAGCTATGCGGAGCGCGACCTGTAAACATTTCTGAACTCGACAAAGTATTTCGAGTTTGTATTGCCTGGATCTAGATCCTAATAGCTTGTCATAAGAAGAACAACAGTATTTGAGGTGTCTGGGTATACAGCGCAGTCTCATCGCATTTCTAAATGGTCGACTAGGAAACTGAGGGTCAACTCATGTGTAAAAACTCGTGTATGAACAGTAAATAATAATCAATGGAATAATTAACAGGCCAGTCATTGTAGTATATAATAATCATGTTAATAATTAATTACTGTACAGTGTCAAGTGCCGCGGGCCAAGTCGCCCACTCCTACTGGCTCCCTTAGCGCTCACTAGCATACCTGATCACATCTCCTCCTCCACGAACAACTTCAGCTTCCTAGATCAATCCCCCCTGCGCGAATCCGGAGAAAAGAACGCCTTTTGCTACGTACCCGTATTCGCATGCATGTAGCCTGACGTTGTTTTCTGCTATTCCACGTCGATCAATAGGCGTCCGGTGCTCATGCTTCAGTAAGAGCTCGAAACGACCCCTTATCGTCCGATCCAAACAAGTCGATTGGCGACAGCCAGCTCCATTGATCTTTTATCGGTAAACAGAGTCAACCGCTTTGACGGCTTCACGCAATAATAGTGGCACGCCTTCCACGGCGCGGCCTTCTTTGGAAAATCTAGCCATCGTGGAGGACGATTCGTACACCTCCCCTCCAATCCTCCCTCCACTCTCCGAGGCGTCCTCGTCGTCATCGCCCGTCTCGTCTCCTTATCCCCCGCCTTTTTCATCAATATATTTCGCGCCAGAGTCGGAAGTCGATTGTTCGAAGGCAACGGTAACTGCAGTCGCCGGCGCTTCTATTACAACGTTTGCTTCGCCGCCACCTCTCGAGGACTTCCCGGAATCACAACCCGAATCATCTGTTGTCGCCGATACCAAGGCGGATCTCGAAAACGGAGACGGCAAGGGTGAATCGTCAGGAAAAACTTCAGACGACGGAGAACCCCCGCCTCCCTATACTGAAGGCTTCAGCCCACTCGCATCTTTCTCGTACGTCATGGCGGCCGCAGGCGGTGCTGCCAGTATCATTACCCAGGTTCAGCAGACGGGTGGCCCTCCGATAAACACACTAGGAGGTACGTACCAGGCAGATTGACGACGCTATTTGGAAGTTTCTAACTCTTTATCTGGTAGATGTAAATGGAGATGAACATATAACACTGGACCTCAGGTAAGACACTACCAGAGCTTGTGGCTCGTGAGTTTAAAGCTGACATGGAATTTCATTTCACAGAGGCACTCGATTCACACTTTCTCGCGATGAGCTGTTGACGTTACCAGAATTTGTGCTGTTGTCCTTGTTTCCTAATGGACTGCTACCGGATGGCCACATGGGCGGTTTCCATGAGGGAGATATCTACCCAGTAGACGTGAGTACAGAACGTTATTGCTACTTTGCGAGATAAATCTAACCAACCTATTTGCTTGTGTCAGTATGATCCCAACTCCCTTCAATACATGTTAGATTTCTTTCGCACTGTGGCGCAGTCAATACCATCAGCGTCGCCCTCGCCCTCTGGCTCTCCAGAAATGGATGCCAGCGACTCGATGCACAGCTCAACGCGAGATATGCTACAGGACCGCGCAGGGATCATTGTGCTGCGGGAAGATCTAGATTTCTATGTTATCCCACCACGCCCTGGTATAGAATACCGTGAGATGATTGAGGTCAAGCGCGCCGCAGCGCGAGTTCTGTTAATGCAAGATGGTATCTTCTCTGGTCTTCGGAAAAGTGATGAGGTGGGCAGTACTGAACAGCATCTCATTGAGATGCTAACCGCAGGGTAGGTCTCTTCTGCCGAAGTAGCTGTGGATAATCCTGCTTACAGCTCACAGTGGCTTCAACCATGACGATTCTTGGGGACATCGTGCCCCAGAGCCCAATAAAGCAGTTATCTGCAGTCTGGCTCTCGCGAAGCTTCGTACCGACATCAGAGGAGATATGAATGCCAATCCTTCAGCGGGAATGGCTCAGAAGCTCCTTCTCTTCTGGAGAAAGCCCGCTAGGCGTTGTTGGTGGGAAGGTATAGAGCTGGAGAACGTGGACGGTGTGGAGGGTAAGTTGAAAGTCTGGATTCGCCGAGTGTGGACTTTAGAAATGGTACGTACGAATCTTTTAGGTTTTGGACTATCAGTTACTTATTTTTCTCAACAGAGCGTTATCGGCTTGAGGTGATGGTGATTCTTCCTTCGCACTCTGTTCATATCATAAACATCTCTCATTACTGTCATTACGCGCTCGTGCCCTTTCGATTCTCGAGTATCATTTTCATTGCCTGTTTTGCCTCTCTCGCCAGCCTCCGTGTTCTACGATATCCCATTCTTTCTTTGATACTCAGTTTCTTGGTCTTCTTAACATCTCTTTGAATCCCTGGCAAAGGCAGGCGTCTTGCGAGCATATAAAGTCGTGTCCATTTTTCTCATTCATTTTTTCAAAGCCGAATTTGGAATATCATTGCGTAAACATATCTAACGAGGAACAAACATGCAAATAATACCTCGTCTCTGGAATCATTGACACGAAATTGTCTTCTTGCGTATGGATGCTACTAATAGAACGGCACTAGTTATGGCGGTCTTTAGCCACGCGATGCCATTAGGGGGCGCATTATCGCTGCAACCATTATCGAAATAAACTGTAATTACTCTGTGTAGATTCTGTCAAAAATAACTTTCCCTATACTGTTTTATTTTCTATATATTCCAGTTCAATCACGTGAGGCGACCCTGAATCGCCTAGCCCGGGGACCCACCTGGATGCGCCTTTGTAGGAAAACACGCGCCACGAGAGTGCCAGAAGGTGAAAAGCCCAGCGCCGTGGAATCAGCCTTGGATTTCTCGCTGTCCTTTTTATCTAGCAGCTGCTAATCTAGTCCCGGACTCTTTCCAATCTTATCGACGTTCTTTTCCGTTTCTCAACAGCTACCGCTCAGCTGGGGTCAGGTTTGCGCGGGAATACTTCGCTAATTCAGACAAAGCGGCCTTGCGCAATCGGAATTCCAGCTATTTTGACCTCAGCTATCAGCACAGGGTCATGTTTTGAATGGCCCTGAGCGCCATCATGTCTCCGGTTAGAGGCTACATCACCTCTTATGCTCCTCGACTCAGGCAGTACAGTAATGCGTTACTGACTCCGGTTATTCCCCCCTCGCAAGTCGGTCCGTCGCGAACTACGAAGCGTGGTACGACGGCAATCAATTACGCGGAAGACGGATTCGACGATGAGGATTTCGATGATAGCGAAGGCCCACGCCGCCCTACCGGCCTGCGGAGTCTTCGGAGAGAGGACTCCAGTGTAGACAAAGTCCCCTTGTCAGAGAAAGTAGGGAAAGAAATCGATGCCCCGGTTGATATCCAAGGAATATTTAGAGACTGGATGATAAGGAGGTTACTTCGAGCAGAGTAAGCATACCAACTCTTCTCTTGACTCATTGCGGCGTCTATAGTCTCTCCAATTGTCTGCTATGCTAGTTGCTGACTCCATTTAGTTGTTCAGACCAGTTACAGGTGCAATCGCATTTACCCTTAACCCTCGTCCCCATCAGAATCGACCTTGAAATTCCAGCCCATCAACCTGCTGAACCATTTCCTTTCCCCCGAAACGCTACAGATCCAGCGATCAACCCAGCTCTTCCCGGTTATCGACGGCCAGAGCCTGTACCAGGGTATCGAATCAAAGACACGTTCCTTTGGAACTTGCACGAAGCCCTTGCAACTCCAGATGAGTTTGCCATTTCTTTCGTCCGTGATTTGGATCTACCAGACCCGGCTAGGATAGCCGTTGCCATCTCCACCCAGATTCGGCAGCAACTCGAAGAGTACGCTGGTGTAGCATTGCATCCTTTATTTCAACAAAATCAACTCGCCCCAGCTACGAGACTGGTAGAGCCAAGTAGTGGCTTCTCCCGTGATGTTTCGTACACCCCCATCCCTGCAAATGTTGCGACACCGGACAGCCAAGGTGGAAACAATATTGTGACCGTTACTAAGGATCCTCTTATCAATGACAGTCTACTAAATCCCGACGACGCATACCGCTGTGTTGTAAATTTGAATATCAATCTACAGAATAAGCTCTACACAGACAAATTCGAATGGTCTTTGCTTCACCCCCCTGGCATGGCCGAAGAATTTGCCAAGATCACCTGCGCAGACCTTGGTTTGTCAGGTGAATGGGTGGGTGCAATTTCACACGGAATATATGAAGCAGTGCTCAAACTGAAGAAAGAGGTTTGCGAAAGTGGTGGGATGGTCAGCGGCCTTGGGGCTTATGGGAACGAAATCGATAACCAAGCTGCCGATGGTGCAGAAGCTGGTTGGCGGTATGATCCTGAAGGTTTAGGCGATGAATGGGAGCCAAAGGTCGAAACCTTGTCCAAGGAAGAAATTGAGAAACGCGAAGGAGACAGGGAACGTCAGATTCGACGCCTTCGAAGAGAGACAGCTAGGTTCTCATCCACAGCCGGCATTACACCAGAAGTTTCCAGGACGAACTACTTTGATATTGACAGCGAAACACCACTTGGTAGAGGGGAAAGAAGCAAGCGAAAGCGACGCTTCCGCAGTCTAAGTCCATTGGCCGGCTCCGGTACTCCCGGCGGCCGTGGTACCCCGGACACAGGATTTGGGGCAGGGTATGGTGGTGGCGGTGGTACGCTTATGGAAAAGTACGTTGTAGTAAACCCGCTATTCAAAAATGGCCCTGAGTGCTAATTTATTTTCTAGTGAGCGTCCTCATTGGAGATGTTTCAATTGTGGGATTTTTGGCCATGCAGTTTGGACTGTACGAGATGGCCCTGGTGGCCCCAGAGTAAGTGTTCTTTAAATCTCAGGAATCATTCTATCTAACGACATCTGCAGACTCTTTGTCATAATTGTGGGCTCCTATATGAGCGAAACAAGCTCCTTCCTGAATGGTCCCGAGGTCTTCACAGACACGACATTCCTCTGAATCGACATTTCTAGATTCCTACTCATTGTCACTCATCCCTGAAGGAAAGTGACCCACTGGAAAAGTTCGATTGCATTATTTCCATCTGAACTTCACTGATCTGTATAACGTACGAATTATCTGGCTTTACCTCATTCCTGTAGCCTGTTTGTTCTTTTTTGGCTTTATTTTCCTACTTGCTTTCTTATCCTCACCTGGGATTCTGTACTTTGAAGGATGTCTGGCTGGGTCGAGTTCTTGTATCATCAAGAAATACGGTGTGAGGCGTTCATACAAAAAGGCTCCATGTTTGTTTTATTTTACTTCTTCTAATGCTACTATATTCTTACTGGGATCATAACGGCATGTATAACAGGATTGATACTCAGGCTCCCTCCACCAGTCAGTCCTGTTTGGGTGTTTTTCTTTCCGAGGGGTATAACAAAACATGTATATGTTTCCAATGTTTCAATATTGTGGTTGAAATATTTAATTCTTTAGAGTACTGCTATCAACTGGAGAGCTATTTTATCATATCAACAGAAGAGTTTATGAAACGCCACCCATGTATGAAGCAAACCAGCAGGTAAAATCGTGTCAGGTGATTGACTATCAATATGTATATGTACAATGATGAAGACTAACGACGTCTCGCAACCAAAGTCGCTGATCAAAAGGGTATTGCGCAAAATTCGTATGTACAATTCAAAGAAACCATTTCGCATTTCGACAATCTCGTAGAGCCTGGTTCACTCATTCAAATACCAACCTCTGGGCGGATTAGTGAGATCGCAGGAGCGCTGATGCGACCCTTCGTCATTGTCTTTTCTGTGAAGTGACCTCACACGGAAGATATTAGTTGTTAGAACCTAGTAGCCGAATTTACTGTATTACTGTAGATCTAGAGCTTGTTAGAAAGGTCGATAGTGACAAGGTAAGCCACGGATGACCCAAGGTAAAATGGTCGACTCACTTGTAGCGCTGGGAATGGGACTACTGCCATCACCAGCATTGAATCTACTTTCTTCGGATACTCTGGGGTAGCCTCTGCCTCCTGGGTGTAACGGTTGTGATGTCTGCAACACTGATTAGCAAGGCGATGAATCAAACAGACGATTAATTTTGTACCGGCGTCCACGCCATTCTTCCGAACTGATGCCGAAAATTACGGAAGGGTACTGACTTCGCGGAATTCATCACCCTCAACATGAACCTCACGATCCCGAATTCGGCGCATGAGGGCGAGGAAATTGCTCTCCTTGAATTTCTTGCTGTTATCATGGCTGAGGCTATCGAGTAGGTGCCCAGCAGTTCTTGCCAACTCATCGGGGTCTTCTTTCTGCTCTTGAACATTGGCATCTGTGGTGTCTACGATAAGGTCGGAACCAATTCTTATTTGCTGGGTATTTTCTGGCTGTAATTCCTTTGAACTTGACTGGTTTGCGTCGGATTCCGCTTGTTGATGTTGCTCAGTACTTGCCGTCTGCTGTTGGTCGATATCGGCCTGTGCTTGCTCGAATGCCGCCTCAAATGCACCTTCGTCATATGTGGCAGACTCCTGATTTGAGTGTGACTGTACTGTTCCCTGATCGCTCGACAGGGGTGCTGCCATTCCAGCTGGCATCTGGTAGGTAGGCATAAAGGGTGCCTGAAAATTTGCCATGGGAACTGACCGGTTCATGAGATTCTGGCTATTTTGTTGTTGATGTCTAGTAAACTCATCCTGCCAATTTGCTGAATGCGACCCGTTTGACGCCTGGATCGGCCTATTATGATGTTGATGCAGATTTTGGGGAGGACCAGATACCCTCAAGTTCTGAAAATCCGACGCCCAGTCCCCAACATCGGGAGGCGCAAAGGCGGGGTGTGTCTGAGCATGGAGTGGAGGGCCGAATGAACCCGGTCGTTCTAACATAGGAACCACATTTCCAGCGAAGTTGTTCTCGAAAGATTCGAATTCGGCGTCCAATATATTCGCATTAGGATTCTGTGAGCGAAAACCCTAGAGGATTTGTCAATACCAAAGCGGCTCATGACATCTCGGCCAGCAAACACCATGCATACCTGTTGAGCAGAAGATTGGTGATTAACAAGTCTGTCCTGCTGAAGTGTCCTATCGACAGCTGTATGTTTCTGGAAATTCTGAAGAGCGTTTGACGGTCCACATAATGCGTCCGCCATGGTGCTGCAAGCTTCTCGTAGCGACGTTTGTCACAATGGGGTTGACAATGGCGTCGCCTGAAATCAAGTCAACGCAAGTAGGAGATAGAAATATCGGTAGTTCTCGGTCAAAGCCAATGCAGGAGAGTTGCTAGATGCAAGACGACAGCGACGCTGGGCGATGACAGAGCAGGGAGTGTAAGGAACATTCGAATGGTCTTGCCGGCGGCTTCAACCGAGGCACGGCAAGAGGCAGGCGCATCGTGGCGGGCCGCAAGACCCGATAAGATAAGCGGAGCTTCCTGGGTGCCTCACAGATCAGGCACCAAGCGCAAGCATGCGTGTTGGGGAAAGTGCGGCCAGGTCGCCCGCATGCAATAATAGCTAAGACTAAGACGAAGACTAAGAGTGACATGGCCCATGTTGACACGGACAGCGACCGTGAACAACGCCATTCTCCCTCGCCTGACCCCTCCTCTCCATTCCGCAGACTGATTGCGAACGCATTTGCAATTTCTGTCGTGCCCATCGTCAAATATGGTCCGTGGCAAGCCCTGATATTCTCCATAACGTCTATCTGTCCGAAACCTAGCTAACCGTGCGGACCACAGGCGCAAACTATCTCGAATACCGGCCACGATGATATGATTGTATGTCTATCGCTTCTTTTGCGAAATCACCAGTATCTCGGCATTACTACTTGCATGGTGTAAAACTAACTGCAAATGCCAGCACGATGCGAGTCTCGATTACTATGGCCGCAGGCTGGCGACATGTTCTTCTGACAAGACAATCAAAATATTCGAAGTGGAGGGCGATTCCCATAGACTTATCGACACTCTGAAAGGGTGAGGTCTTACGTTTGGCGTCTTTCATCCACCAAAATACTGATTGATGTACTGCGAATTACAGGCACGAAGGTGCAGTGTGGTGTATAGCTTGGGTATGTTATGTTGGCTTTGTCCATGGTGTTTCCTCTTCAAACCTTACTAAGATATCTGGCATCTAGGCACATCCGAAATTCGGCACAATCCTGGCGTCTTCTTCGTACGATGGTAAAGTGTTGATCTGGCGCGAACAGCCCTCCAGTGCACCAGCCAGTGGAAGCCCCTGGACCAAGGTCTTCGATTTCTCTCTTCATACTGCGTCAGTTAATATCATTTCATGGGCTCCCCATGAAAGTGGATGCCTTCTTGCTTGCGCCTCATCAGATGGCCAGGCCAGCGTGCTCGAGTTCCGTGACAACAGCTGGACTCACCAGATGTTCCATGCTCACGGAATGGGTGTCAACTCTGTGAGCTGGGCACCAGCTGCATCACCAGGTAGCTTAATAAGTGCGAATCCAGGACCGGGCCAACAAAGGAGGTTTGTTACCGGTGGTAGTGATAATCTGGTCAAGATTTGGGACTACAGGTACGTTGGTAGTATTATGCCTCAGAAAATTTAACAGGGACTAACAACTTGCTTCTTCTCACAATAGCCATGAATCCAAGACATACAATCCTGTGCAGACTTTGGAAGGACACTCAGATTGGGTACGAGATGTTGCTTGGTCCCCAAGCATTCTCTCCAAATCCTATATCGCCTCAGCTTCTCAAGACAAGACTGTTCGCATTTGGACTTCCGATGCCTCGGCTCCTGGCAAGTGGACAAGTACTGTCCTTGAATTTGACACTGTCTTGTGGCGTGTCAGCTGGAGCCTAAGCGGTAACATCCTGGCTGTCAGTGGTGGTGATAACAAAGTTACACTTTGGAAGGAGAACCTCAAGGGACAGTGGGAAAAGGTCAAGGACATTGAGGAATGATGATTGTGATAGTAATAGAAATTGGCTGAGATTTTTGTGTTTGTTCATTTCTCAACAGCACTTTTCCTACATTACTTTTTACATCTCTTTTCTTCCTTGTCATACCCGAATTACAAAACAAAAGTAATATCACATAGCGTAACGGATCCCAAATATCCTCACGGACGTTAATAATGCGCAGGACAAATTTAAAAGAAAACTAGAAAGCGCTCAAAAACCTGCTTAATATGTTGATTGGCAGAAGCCTCTATAATCTAGAAAGACGAGCTTTGGCCAATCAAAGATAGCCTATGGGGCGCTGGCCACGAGACCCGCCTTTCAGCAGCCGTCATGATACCCCAGGATAGAACACATTCAACACAACACATCATACCATGAGATAACATATTATCAAATTCACTTGGCTTACACGACGCCAGTGATAATTAAGTACTTTGCCTGCATTTGACCTCAATTTTCACATGTGCACTTAGGAAATGGATCCATGAGACCCGCAGTTCTTGTGATTTAGCTCTAGAGAGGTCTTTGAATAGAGAAATATGGAAGAACAAGACACTGTCGACCAGCCTCTTTTAGCTCATAGTCCCGATAATACTGAAGATTCTACCAGTGAACGCCATGGAGCAGCTGTCAACACCGCAGGGGGCGTTTTCGTCTGGGCTCTGACCTTCTCTGCTGGTATCAGTGGCCTCCTTTTTGGCTATGAGTATGAACCAGCAATGTGAAACATAATAATTTGTTTCGTTCGTACTAACTATATATTAGTACTGGTGTTATTTCCGCAACCCTTGTCTCCATAAAAGCGGATCTATCTGGAGAGATCTTGACTACTATGCAAAAGAGCATTATTACCTCCTGTACTAGTTTTTTTGCTCTGCTTGCTAGTCCATTGGCAGGGATTTTTGCAGATAAGGTTGGACGAAAGAACATTATTCTTGTGGCTGATGTTTTATTTACAATTGGGGCTCTTGTCCAAGGTCTGACAACTACCGTGGGGGGTATGGTTGTAGGGCGAAGTATTGTTGGGTTAGCTGTGGGAGCTGCAAGCATGGTATCACCTCTGTAAGGCAGTCCGTCTGTTGTTGGAGATCATTTCCGTGTGCTGATTCTATGACAAGATATATATCAGAACTAGCTCCATCGCAGTTGCGTGGTAGGCTAGTGACGATTTTGAGTCTCTTCATAACTGGAGGTCAAGTCGTTGCATACATCATTGGCTGGCTATTCTCATCAATGGATGGTGGGTGGCGTTGGATTGTTGGATTAGGTGCAATCCCGGCTCTGATGCAGCTCGCTATATTGATATTCCTTCCAGAATCACCAAGATGGCTAGTTCAAGCTGGTCGCAGTGCTGAAGCAAAGACAGTCCTTTGCAGGATTTTTGGCTCAGACCCGCGGAATGATCTCCAGGCAACTCAAGTACTCAGGGCAATTGAAGACGATATTTCTGAAGAAGTAACTGAGCTTGACAGCAATAAAACTAGCAGCTATGAAAGAGCTGTACGAACCTTGGTCGAACTCTGCAGGATCGGTGGTAACCGACGGGCCTTGATTATTGCCATGATGCTTCAAGGTCTCCAACAACTCTGCGGTTTCAATAGCCTGATGTATTTTTCGGCCACTATTTTCCAGTCTCTGTCATTTTCCTCACCAACCCTGACTTCGTTGACGGTTGCTGGAACCAATTTTCTCTTCACATTACTTGCTTTCTCGTTGATTGACTATATAGGCCGGCGCCGTATTCTTCTATTCTCGATTCCATTCATGATCCTCGCGTTAATAGGGTGCTCTTTTGCCTTTTCTCGACTAGATTCAACACACTTTCTTTCATTCTCTGGGCGAGACTCTGGTGCTTCTTCTGCTCCGCTTTTCGTTCTGCTTTTTATAACCCTGTACACAGCTGCATATGCAGTAGGCCTGGGAAATGTCCCCTGGCAACAGTCAGAATTGTTCCCTCTGTCCGTTCGCTCTTTCGGATCGGCTCTGGCGACAGCAACGAATTGGGGCTCTAATTTCATTGTCGGCCTTACATTCCTTTCTATGATGGAAAAACTCTCCCCCGAGTGGACTTTCATCGTCTATGCACTGGTCTGCACTGCTGGTTTGGTCACTGTATGGTATATTTACCCAGAGATGAGTGGTATGGACCTGGAGGAAGTCAAAGATCTCTTGAGTGAGGGATGGGGTGTCGAAGAAAGCCTGAAAAGACATCATTCGAGGACAAGATGATTTATCAGAGCTATTGCGAAACTGCTTTTTGGGTATCACTGAGTTTCAAACTGAAATAGAACTTGGAGTCTGAATATTTAAATGTTATTGATATTTGTCAACGCTAATACTCTTCAGAAATTTTTAACCTTGGTATTTTATGTGGTTTCACCCCTCATCTCTTTGAACGTAAGATAAATGGTGTTAGACATGTTCAATATGAACAAAGTTTTTATTTGGCTTTCTAAAACTCCTAACCAATATATGAAATGCGAAATATTTGCTTCAAGATGGGGAAAAAACTCCTAAGTACATGTATTTCTTGCTTTGTATGAACCCCATCCCTAGGAACAAGAGTCTTGATATGGGTTTCCTACATCTCCCAGAAAATAAATGGTCCACGATCACATTCTCCAGTACCCTCGCCTTGCATATCTAGCCACTGTCCCAATATGATTCTTCCCCCTGGCAAAAGAACGCCTTCGAATCCATAAATCGAAAGGAAATCCGAGTGTAGGTCAACCGGTGGCCATTGCTCGTCAGGAAACGAGAGATACTCATCGTGAGTGTTTTTATGATCAAAAAGTGGAAGAAATTCCCTGTTGGCATCATAATCGACGAAGCAGATACGAGTCCAGCCTGGGAAGTCTCCTTGTGCTTCGAGGATAGGTTCAAGAAAGCCGCGGACAAGATAAGTGGGACTATCTATCATGTCATGATACCTTTGTATGCCGCGAAAAAAGGTTCTGGATGGCGAACTTTCTGACATGGGAATGATAGTATTGAACATACCCGGCCAGTTCTGCGGGTTTTTACTGACACTTAACCTAAGAGACTAGAGCATATAAGTATGTTATGTATATTCAACCGGGACTGGATACTTACATTCGCAAATGTTGGACCATGTATGCCTAAATTCTCGCATGTTTGGTCTGATTTGAGTGCCTTGGATGTTTTGGGGTATGGGTGAATACACGCTGAGAGAATAGGAGTCAGCTTTCCTCTTGTCACTCAGGATGGCAGTAGATATGTAAATATTCGCCGGCGAGGGTATGTTGAAGGTCGAAAGGTCACTACCTCTGATCACCTCACTGTTGATTAAACTTACAATAATACCCCAGCCAAGAGGCCTTGAATTCATCATTGGGTTTGAAAGGGCTAGTCCATGTATCTGGTCTCTCAATGAGGGTTCTGTAGGAGTTCAAGAATGTGTCTTCCCGAGTGCTAGTGAGATGCCGTTGCCAAAAGTTGCGTATATGCAGCAAAGTTTGCAAGTCCACACTACTGTTAACGACAATTGGGACGCGAAATTGTTTACCGTAAGAGTAGACATGATCAATGTTGTAATCACTTCGTGAGCATAAGACGGATGTTTCCAAGCCGAGAGATAAATGGGTGAGGCACTAGCATAGAGTGTTAGATAGTCAAACAGTACATCGAGGCAGTGAGGTACTTACCAGCTGAACCACGCAGAAAAGGTCATATGGTTCCGACTGTGTCCGTTTGTCATACTGAGGTAGTGGGCGTTGAAGAAAATCGAGGTCACGGATCACTTCTTCAATCTTGATCAAGTTCTTTGAAGGGTATGAAGAATTGCTCCTTCTTGTATAAAAGTATGTTTCTAACAGGAGAGTATGCAAAACCTCAAGCCATAAGTACCCTTCTTCTGTCCCTCCAAGTCCTAGTGAAATATCTTGGGAAAGCACCAGGGCTCTTGTCTGATACTCGATCTTCAAATCCTTAGACTTACGAGTCCCAATTAAGTCGTATTGGTCTCGAAACTTTTCCCCCCATATAGAGGAGTGAGGGGAGAGCACTTGACCCGCGAATCGGCAGCAAGTAAGAGTAAAAGCGCATAGATCAGCATTAGGAAGGAAGCTGGCGATATGTTGAGTAAGCTAGATAGGGGTTTAGCACACCAGCTAGCGTAGGCAGGAGGTGATGCGTGATATCTTACCTCCAGTGGGAGTCGAAAGATGGGTGGGTTTAAGGCTGACATTATGTTTCTTGAAGGATTGCAGAGCAGATGAAGAACTGAAGGGTAGATGAAGGATTATAGAGTAAAGGATGGATTGTAGGGTGACAAAGGTTGAATATCGCACCACAAAAGTGGATGACCTCCCAATACCAGTTTTGATTAACTTATGTTTCAAGTTTGTACATTATCTACCAGTGTCCTTCCCTCAAGAACTCTATATTTAATCTGTATAAATTGGTGTAAATGCAGATGAAAGGTAGAAACTCTAAATACTATATCCAAACTTTTGTCATAGTAGTTGCATGTTTCAATTGATTCTAAGTACAAGTATGAGAAAGAATTGGTGGGCTGAAAAGAATGAGTTGTACGTTCGAACAAGCTCACATGCCACTTTGCATTATGAAAGATCTGCAGATTGGTAGTTCTTGCCTATTGCAATACCTAGTTAGGATCCTGAACTTCGAATCGTTTATCATGATACGCTACGTAGCCGGCTGAGGCGTATTCCTATAAGTATGTCTCATTCGAACTAGTGAATAGATTTAATGGGCTTTCACTACTCCTGCGGCATCTGCTTGGGCAGATATCTTTTTCTTATAGGCATTGACATCTCCGTCGAATTTCGCCACACGGCCATTGTCGCAAACCCAGAGACTCGTACAAACATTCTGCAACATGGTCACATCGTGAGATACCATGAGAACGCCTCCTTGGAAGTTCCTAAGAGCTTCTGATAGCGCATCCATCGCTTCGATATCCAAATGATTGGAAGGCTCGTCCAGAACGAGGATATGAGGGTTAGTGAGGGATAGACAGGCAAATGCTACTCGAGACTTTTGACCACCTGAGAGCAAACCGAGCTTTTGGAGACCAGTCATTCCAGTGATACCAAATCTAAATCACATTAGTCGACTTTACTTCTAGCAATGTAGTGCGGATGTGAGGAGAAACTCACGCGCCAAGATGTCTACGATACTCTTCGTCAGTTTTGCCAGGATATTGCTTTGACATAAATCCAACGGCGCTGTCATTCAAGTCCAGAGCATCAACGTGGTGTTGAGCAAAGTATCCCACTCGCAAGCGAGCATGTTGAGAGATTAAACCACTTGTAGTCTCAAGTTGGCCGATAAGTAGTTTCAAAACTGTGGTTTTTCCAGCGCCATTTGGGCCAACGATACCAATACGAGAATCAAGTTGCACATCCAAATCCACATCCCGCAGTAAAGGTTGATCTTTAGTGTAACCAAACGCAACACCTGTCATCTGAATGATTGGAGGAGAGAGTTTCTCAACATCAGGGAATTTGAAATGAACAACGTATTCGCTTTCCGGAGGTTGAAGAACAGGCATACGTTCCAATTTTTTGATTCTTGATTGAGCTTCCGAAGACTTGGCAGCATTGTAACGGAACTTGTCAATGAAGGCTGTCAAGACGTCAGTCAAACTAATCTTAGAAAGGAAAGAAGAGGTGTAGAGAGATGGATAATCAAAAAGCCCGAGACCTACCTTGTAAATGGGCTCGTTGTGCCATTTGATTCTCATATTCCCGCTTAGCATTCTTCCTCCGTTCTTCCTTGGTTGCGTAAAATGAGTCTGCGGTAAAAGTTAGAACCTTCTGATGAGAGGTAATCAAAAATGTAAAGCTCACCGAAGTTGGCTCCTTTATAGTAATCTAGTCGTTCCGAGTGCTGGTGAATAATATCGGTGGCCACCTCGTTCAAAAACGCACGGTCATGAGAAACAACCAGAACAGTACTTGGATAGGTTTGGAGATAGTTAGATAAGAATGTAATAGATGGGACATCCAACATGTTTGACGGTTCTATTTTTTTGTTAATATAGCCTCCCAAGTATATAGAAGCTCAGGCGTGCTTACCGTCGAGTAAAAGTAAATCAGGTTCGCAGAATAGTGCACGAGCAAGAGCCAACCGCATTCTCCAACCACCAGAGAAGGTTTTGGTCGCAAATTGTTGTCGCTCCGTTGAGAATCCAAGGCCGGCCAAGATACTGGCAGCACGAGATTCGGCTTTATCCGATTCCATTTCGGCGAGCTTCGAGTGAATATCACTAAGTGTGATATCGAGTCCATCTCTTTCCTGATCTAATCTAGCGGCATCTTTTGAAGTATCTGCCAATAACGATCTTTCACCGATGATGTCGGCGAGTTTCTTCGTGATGTTCTGCATGGAAATTAGCCAAATCGGCGAAGGGTTTCAAATGAATTCGGCAGAACTAACATCTTGCTCTTGCAGAAGGTGTTTCCGCCAGACATCGGCATCTAAGACGGCTTGGAGTGCGGGGGTATCATCACCAGTAATCTCAAAGAAAGGTGTTAGCGGTATATCAGTATGGCAAAGACTTGAGACATACCTCTTGTTCGACATGTAAAATGGATATATGTGTAGGAATTGCAACTTCTCGGCGACTCAAGGCACGGAGCAATGTACTCTTTCCAATACCGTTCTGACCGACAAGACCATACCTTCGACTATACGATAGTGACAAGGATGCATCACTAAGAATTCGTTGTCCACCGATGGTAATATCGATACCGTCGACCTTGATGTCCTTACTCTTGGACTGAGCTTCAGCTCCCAACTGCAAAGGATTGACAGCCATGAAGAATTCTTCATAGGACTGTGTGCTATCCGGTTGGTCGAGCAATCGTGAAGCCTCGTATTGTACATTTTTGAGAATCTTTTTGTCCTGCTTGGCTCTGATCTTTCGTTCGGCTTTTTCAAGCTTCTTCCTGTCTACACGGGACTCGACTTTGCGCGAAGTGGCCGACTCCAAATCAACAGATCCCCCGACCAAGCCGAGCGTTGAGGAGATGTTTCTTTGAGAGCCCACGTTGATCGTCTGGTCAAGTTTCTTTGCCGCAAAGGGCATTTGTCTCCGTTCAGCATCCACGCCATCAGCTGAGTTTAGCGATGTTATAAACTTCTCCACCAAATTGCGAATGGCCTTCTCGTTCTCCGGTGAAAAGTCCCCTGACGCCGATATGAGAATATCCGTCACAGTTTCGGCAGCTGCAGACAGCGGCGAGGGAGCGTTTGGGTCTACATCCTCTACATATGCATGTGAGGCATGAGTTAGATATCCCTGTTTGTAAGTAACAGCGAGTCTCAGCCTTTTTTTGTGCGTGTCATTTGGCCCTTCTTTTTACTTACAACAGAGTACTCGGATACGACATGGTCAAGACCAGGTATTTGTGCTTTGAGCTCCGCCTCCATATCGAACAGCTTCTGATATAAAGGCCGCAGCAAGACGAACTATCCAAGAGGCTTAGCATGACGTGCGCTCTCTGTTGCAGTTGTAACGCGGAGTATTTTCGTGGTGGGGTCTGAGTTGGCCAATCAGAAACGCCACGTTCGAACCTGCAAAAGTACATCTCTAGCAGGCCGCATATAATTATTCAGATACTAAATGCTACTTACTACGTGCGCATTGGCTACTCTCATCAGTAGAGTGAGCTGGGGATGTCTACTTCTGGGTAGAGACAACATGTCAGAATTCTGTGGTCGCCAGCAAAGTGATCTCAAACATAATTCAAGCAAGCGCCAACAAGTTGAGAGTAAGTACGGCTACAAGCTGCTTGAGTTACCCATGTGGATCAAATCATATGTGCGTGCAAGCCGGATGCTCTATGACAATAATTATATCTCACACAAGTAATCAATGTAGTATGTGACTCATCGGAGTGAAAGTGAAACGAAAAGTTATAAACCTAACTACGCCAAGGCCTGGCAGTCCCGGTATGTTCTCTTCGAGGAGTCACGGTTGTGGCTCGTGAGATGGTGAGAATTTAAAATGTCAGTCAGATGGAGAATCGGGAGGCCTGAGGGTGGAATCCACAGCGTGACGCAATTGAATATCAAATGCCAATTCTAGTACTGTACGTAGCAGTGCTTAAAACGTACTCTAGTTAGTGACACTAGAACAGCGTTGCTGAAAAAGTCGGCCAAAATTGCCAGTGGGTGTGTCAAGCGAAGCTATTCTGATCAACAAAGGTCATGTTGGCGATTTTCTCGCACAACATCCCGTCCAGTTCCATGGATAGCTTCTCCCTGGGTCCGCTTCGGTCTCGGAATGTTTCTCCACGAGATTGAATACTCTAGCTGGATTCGGGCAGATGCCGTGTGCACAACCGAATAAGATCACAGCAGTAATCTTAACAGCAGCGATGAAGAGCCCAGAGACGCCGAAAGGGCTGAGAGAGCGGGTCTCGGCCAAGGACGCGACATCATCGATCGGATCGTAGCTGGTAATTAAAAATTCAAGCCCCCAAGGCTGACAAGCCGGCGAGTTAGCTCAAGCAGTATCTAGTAAAGGACGATATTGTCATGGAATAACGATAATATACCATACCCAGTAATCTGCAGAAATCCTAGGCAAGACGTAGATCTCACCCGCAAAGCTCTGGTTTGAAAAGGAGAAAAGACAACAAGATCCTCCTCTGGGTCGAGGAAACTAGTCGGTAAGGCTGTGAAATTACATGCAATAATTATCAGCCGGCGGCCGCCCCTGTTGCGGCTGTGAGTTTAGCTGCAAGGGATAAAGCTGCTAGACAGTGACAGACACCATTAATCTCATCATTATAATCCCGGTATTATACACGGGGCTCGGCATCTATTGGATGTGGATGGAGATTCTTTTCTGATTGCGGAATCCCATCGGCTAGGCGCCTATGATGACTACTTTCATTGGCATATATTATTGCAGCTCTCTGGCCTTGTACTTGGCGCCTGCAACGTGGAATCGCTTCTTCCACAGAGAACAATAGTAACAGCCTATTAGTCGCTCGCTGTCTGACAGCGCCGTAGCCGTAGCCGTAGCCATTGATGTGTCTCACCGTTTCTCCAAAGCATGATCCTGGACAAACGCGGGTAGAAAAAGACTCGGATTATGCGATAGCGGCAGCGGATAGCTCATTTAACTAATAATTACCTGAAGCGTGATAGGCATCGTAAGTTTGGTAACAGTACATGGGTGGTTGGTTGCCTGGTTAGCGCGCAGGCAACGTCGATTAGGCGAGGAAGGAGTAGTTATCAGAATCAATAATTTTAATTTGGATCCGTAACTTCGCAAGGGCCAACGTGAACATTGATTTTCGGCTTGACTTCCCTGTCGAGCAAGTTGAGTCGTAGTGTGGGTGTGGGTGTGTTGTTTTGTCGTCCCTAGCGCGAACTTCCCCAGCCTTGTTTGTATTCTGTCCGGGCTGCCTGATTCCACAGGCCGCGCGACAAACACTACCGCTGCCACCACCACCACCACTACCACCGCCTTGCTCCCTATCGTCTCCCAGCGACCTCTTTTTTCCTGTTTTTCTTCTCGCCGCTTTCCTTCTTGCCTTGCCGATTCCTCAACACGCTCTTTCACTCTCTCGCTCCCCAGAACATCCATTGGCTGGCTGCCCCTCCCCTGTACATATCAGTGAGACAACGAGCCTCTGCTGATCCCAAGAGCCCGTCCCTACGTCCTCAATTACGAACCCAGCGATACGCCGGCCCATCCATGCCTTCGATATTGTCGATCTGAATACTCTGCGTATTTGCCATCATGTGGAAGAAACTTGGTGCATCCCGGCTTGCAATGCTCATCTGAGTGTTGGCCTCGTTAGTTAACTGGCTTCGTCGTCTCCCACAGGATGGAGCATGTTTCTACTGTAAGTGTATACCACCGGCCTTTCTGTCTCCCGCATGAACAAAATTTCTGTCCATTATTATCTGCCTATTTTGGTCCACTAGGCTAGATTTCCGATCTCGCCGATGTATCAACATTGGAGTTGGGTATACATGAAATTACCCTATCAAATGTCTTTTGTGCTTTGAGATTCTCAGAAAACTGACTGTCAATAGCTCTGTGCTGTCAGCACCGTAGGCATTGCTGCAACCGGCTTTGCCCTGGCGCGTCGAGAACCCCGACCTTGGCCGGATAACCTGACTCTTCCGAAAGACACCACCTGGGGCAGCGTTTCAGGCACAGGTACAATTGATTCAAACCGGTTCCCTGCTCCGGCTGAACTTGATGTGCCGATACACGAATTACGAGAGGGTAACGAAAGCATCGCAGAGGCCAGGTCAAATTGGACATTGCCGCAACGGAGACGAGAACGGCGGAGGAGGCAGACATACACAACCACGCCGTTAAAACCGTCCAGCGAAACAGCTACCCAGGATAGCGTTGCAAATAGTCGGCCTTCTTCTTCGTGGCTACGACGAATTTCAGTCATATCTTCTTCACATACAGGTAGCTCTCTGCCAAGTCCCACGACTACCGCCTCATCGTCTTTGAATGGGCCGGCTTCAATCACGCATAGCCGAATAGAATCGGCCTCTAAACACCCAAACAAGCTAGTCAAGCGGTCCACGTCACAGCATTCGATAATACCCCAAGGCGAACGCGCTCGGCGGCCCATGTCAGCTTCTCTCGCCCTACGCCGTCCAGCAACAAGCCATCAACGATCTGCTGATATTGCGCATCGGGTAAGCTTCAACCGAGAAACTGGTGTTCCAGTTGCACCGGGCTCTTCTGGTAATCCATGGCCAGCCCCAAGTGATATGATCAACTTTGAAGAGAACAAGAAGTGGAAGCCGTATTTCCCCAAGGCTAACAGACGACGCAATCATTCAACGGGAAGTACCATAGTGACCATCAAGCCCAACAATCCATCTTATCTTGACTACCCTACATTACTACTTTGCTCTTCCATCAACTCTCCTCAACAGACTAGAACGTCGGTCAATAAGAACTTTTCGCGGCCAGGGAACGTTACAATGAATGATCCCTTGCCAAGAAGATCAAGTGATTTAAAATCTCAATCAAACAAATCTCCCTCGAGAGAAAAACGCAAGCCTATACGATCTTATTCGTTTTCTAGTGTGGCTGGAAATAGCCCAGGGTCTCGCAGCAATTCGGTGAAACACGTTGTCAAAAGCCCTGAGGCCACCACACGACTCCGCTCAAAGGACAGGGTCTTTTCAAATCCACTACCAAGAACTTTGGACGGCATGGCGACAGAAAAATCCGAAAGTCCTAGACTCCGCCGCAAAAGGAATTTTACCGGTTCCGATACTTTCCCTCGACCTCAGACTGCTCCTCAAGGGGAACGCTTCAATTTAAAGTCGACACACTCTCATGAAATACCTTCAGAAATATATGCGCTCCAAGATCCATTCTTTACTTCATCTGAACGTTCACCACTCAATGAGACTGCGGCCTTGGATAACAAGCCAGTTTCATTCTTTCCAGGGGGAAGAGGTCCATCTCCGCCGATTATTCGATTTTCCCGGATCAAACGACTCTCTGGGGCTGCATCTGACCGAGCATCAACTGTGATAGGCTCCGACGATACGCGAATATTTACTTCGGCAGACGAAGATGATCAGAGTGATTCTGTCTTTGATTCATTTCGTACCAGGATATCATCCAGCAGTCAGTCAGGCCGCCGTGGTCCAAACATCGAGACTATATTCCGCGATTCTCCTACGGCCGAAGCTAAGAAAAGCAACTCCACTGACGTTGAAGATCTTGCATTGGGAAGCTTACATCTATCGTCGTTCACGCCAAGGTCCTCTATCAGTGATCTAAATTCAATGAGTACTCCCCTAGCTTCGACTTGTATGAAAGATGGGGACACAACGCCGACACCTCCTACAACATTTACTTCACACCCTACTATCCATTCGTCTTCGCTGAAATCTCCTAATGCCCATATCTATGAAGTAGATTCAACTTTTGAAGGTGAAAATCACAATGTGCCACTATCACCACACAACCTGTTTGATTTTGCCGGTGACGAAGATGTTGGTGACTGCAATTCACCTTCTAATCTCTTGGATGACATTCAAAAATCTTACCATGCTTCTGGAATAGTTACCCCATCATTAAGAAGAATGGGCTCCGGAATTGGCACTAGAGCCAGTGTTTTCGATTGGTCTGAGCAGACAAGAAACGATCGAGATATCCAAGATTCTAACCATCGGCCGAGCACCGTTCACGGGAAACAAGGTACTGTTGGAAGAGGCAGCCGTGGTACGGGCCGAAAAGCGCCGAATGCCGTGCATTTAAGAAGCCAGAGTGTTCCAGTCTCGCGGGACGGTCCACCCTCGAGTGAAAACCGGCAACCATCGCTCAAGTTCGGGACTTGGGGCTTGGGGCAAAAGGGTGTAAGTGAAGACTGGGATGGCGATTTCGATTTCGGTGATTCAGACGAAGGTTCAACATATGGTGGTGATATAACTTCAGATGGCCGTGATCATTATGTTATGAAAGTGCCACAAGCTATCATGGAAAGTCAAGCTAGTGTCCATGGGCAATATGGACACGTCCAGGAACTGACCCTCCTAGTTGAGGAACTGAAGCGACTACGGATTCAAGGTAACATGTTGCGTATCATACAAGGCCCATCTAGTGAGCTTTGGAAGGAGGCAGAGGGCATCGTCAACCTTGCCACCTTGGAAGATGATGAAAATAGCTTCCCTGCTCCTGTGTCACCTTCTTCATGCGGGAGCTTTGATTGCTTTGAATCCTCCCCACCGCAGAAGGGTGTGAAGCGTCGTGACAGTGAAATTAGACGACCGGCCCTCGCAACATGGCCCAACCCTGGGTCTAACTCAAGCTCTCCTGGTCATAAAGATCCATCAGAGAAGGTTAAATCAGTGCTTGAAACGATCTATCAGCAACGAGAATCCGCAGATCAACAAACTGCTGAGACACCCAGCCCTTCTCTACAAAAGCTACCATTCGACACACAGTCCCTAAAAGACCTGGTCAACCGCGCAGGTGTGGTAACACGTGCGCTAAAAGACGTTATACGTCGAGCTGAGGGCGTTGCCACAAGCTCTGAATCTATTCCACCGTCCGATCCACCTTTTAGTCGGATATTTTCACACGCAGCTTGAACCGCGAGTCAAATATTGCATGGCCTCGACTTGAAAAGGTTGCAACTGTACGGGATCCCCGAAACCCCTCTCTAAAAACGGCACCTTTTATCCAGGCTCATTGAACAACTCGTAACTGTATACCAGTCATAAATTCGTTGTACATATCCTCGGTTCCCAACTTGCTATACCTTGTTCGCAAGTGAATTTTGCCTTACGATAAAGAAAAGGGACCAGCATAATGACCTCTGTTGGTCCACTTTTGGTTCATTATTACCTACCGTCTTCTTTCGATTCGTCTAATCAATTGCCTCCTTGTATGATTCTCAATTTCTTCCTTGGGAACACATCTTATACTCCTTGTTTTCTCTCCCCCTTGGTTGCCACTTCCTAAACATGGCATATTCTTTCCTTGTTCCCTTTGAAAAAAATAATGACTTTTGTTACGTATTCTTCCATGATCCAAAAAAGTTTGGGACGAATTATTTCCCGTCACTGTACTTTTCCCCCTCCTTGTTTCGTTTCCTCTGTCCAAATTCACGATGTAACGCATGGATAACTCTTCCTTTAACGTACATCATTGGTAAATGAAAAAGCATTGACGAGTTCGATGGGTTGAGCTCGACACATTTCAGCGTTCTCTGCATTTTAGTGAGAATCCTTATTATTAGCATGGCGTACAATATTATTCATGAACATATCTCGTGCACCATCTTAGCTTTCATCGAAGCGGACTACGCGTACATATGTAGTTATCCACTTCAAAAGTTGATATAATATGTCGAGTTATAAAATAATGTTGTTAATTGGTGATATGAATAATCGTGGTATTCTAACGTTACAATGTGCAGCGCTAAGGCGCTCAACACATTGCCGCTTTATGCTCAGCCTGATCGGCCTTATGCTCACTGATCGCCCATTGAGTGCCTAGCACCTGTAAGTGTTACTCAGTGAGCGATCCCTGAACATGTTTAGCCTAGGATAGGCACCCCATGGCGTTCAGTGAGCGCCATAGGACATTCAGGAATGGCTAAGATGAAACTGGCAGGAAATTTTTGGCGATTATTTCCCGAGCTATTGAGAATTTTGATAATGGTTTTCAAGAAAGGGGATTGGACGACGCTATGCACAGCTCTGATTATGACATGGAATGTGACTTGTCAGAGACGTCCAGTGATTGGGCTTTCTTGTCTCTGACAGTGACTCTGATAATGACTCCAACCATAACGCTGATGAATCAAAGCGTGAGGGCGAGGAACAGAATTGACGCGAAGAATGGCTGGTGAGTATCCGTCGCGGCCGCATACTATGAAGCCATTCCTGTTCTCGATGATGTGGAGCGAAAACACGCCGTGATGGCTTGGTTGCAATGTGTTCCCACAATACGTAGTCTGTGGGACATGGTGGATGGCGCTGTGGTATAGAATGTAAGCGGATGCTCTGATTGCGGTGTTGGACATTCGGGCTCATGGCACTTCTGGTGGAGGTCTGTCTGGAGGCGATGGTGTGCATACCGGAAACCTGGCTAGCTGTCAGCAAGGTATTGAACTCCGAACGATCAAATTGCGGAAAAGTGATAAGGTCATCTTGTATGCGTCCATTGTATATGCTTCTTGTTGAATTAATCATTGCTTCTTGCTCCCACCGCCGACATCGCAATGATGAGCCAACTGATATCCTGATATAGACATTAGTATAACAAGAGTGGGTAAATACTCAAGTTCTATTCTGTTGGTGGAACTTGAGACATTCACCCACACTTGTTAAACTAAGGCCTATGTTGAGTTACTGCAAGTCAAACAGATTTGGGTAAATACAGATCTGAATAGCGGGTTCTAGGTGTTGATAGGGCTTCGTGTCTGTAGCATGGCAATCAGTGCGTAGTTAGAGCTCAGACCGAGAGCAGATCCTAGTCTCATAAAAAGCGTAGTATAATTCTCTAGGTCGATCATTAGTCATTGCGAATAAATGAGCACACTACTGATAATATACAAATTTGGTCTCCATATATATTACAACTAGTACAGACCTTATTCTTTTTTATCTCAAAAATTCCGATTAAACCGGGATTCCTACTATTCTATAGCTGATCAAAAAGCGCCAGGCATCACGTTGAATACAACGTACAGAAAGAACTGGTTGGCAGAATTCAAGAAAATGGAGATAGTGCGTGCTCTATGATAGACAAGTATTCTCTCAAACTGTATTTCAATATTGGGCTTAGAAAATGCTATAAGGAGTATTACAGGTCAGCCAATCAACTCAATTTCAAACCTTCTCTACCGTGTATAGTTAATCTTATCATGAACTGGTATTTTCCACAATCAAGCTCTCTGAAGACTTTCATCCGTAAAATAACCAGTGAGGTCCTAAGTCATCTTAATCAAGCCTAGGTTCACTGAGTGATACTTCGTTATTATCAAGCCAGCTGGAGCTGTCTCTTTCTCGTATCCCATTCAAATCATAGGTGTCTGCGTCACCCGGGATCTCCTGAAGCCTTGGCAATATCCTTCGTCACTCCGTTGCAATACTGCAGGTTGTTCATGATTCTATTAGTTGTATATCTGGTACACCTTAAAAGAGGAACATCAGAATTCTGCGGACAGGTGATGAATGAAGGCAACAAATAATGAAAAGAGCTGCTAGTTATGGATTTATTGTAATATATAACTAGGGCTGATAGTTTATTTTAGTATATACTGTAGTTTTGTATATAATATGGGTTTTCGGTTTAGTTTTATATTGATTGGTATATTGCAAGATCCTTTATTTTATTTGGTCTTGGGGGGTATTATCCTATGTATTGTGATTGGCAGTGATATATATAAGCATTCATCAAGTGATTATAGCTTACTTCTGTTATTTAGTTATTATTAATAGTAATGAGATTATGATGAACTAGTTAGTGAAGCGCCGTAAACGGTACCTAAGGTACCTAGGTATTCTATCTTGTTGAAAGATCTATGAGAAGGCAGCCTTATCTCTTCCAGATAAATTTCTTCATAATCACTACTCTCAAATACTTAAAGCTATGTTTTTCTACCGCATTCGACTCGTGTGGTTCGACTATCTCTAGTCTAAGGCAATATGAGTCTCTGATCGTATATTTCGCATGGAAGACAGGACATCCTTCTATAAGTAGTGACATGCCTTTTTTTCTAAGTTTGTAGATACTACTGAGAACTACACTCTCTAGATTAGGCACCACCTCTCGCTTGCTTGAGATCAGCCTCCCACAACATTCAGATAGTTTTCTAGCCATCCACTCAACAATCACACTGTTGATTCCACTGGCACCATGTACTAAGGCACGATGATTGTCACAGTTGCCATACCAATGAGCATAAGAAGACTAGTCCGTGCCTTCCCTGGAAGATGGGCGGCCGGGAGCACACCCATGCCTCTATCTCCTGCTCCGTAACGGTCAACCACGCACCTTCCCAGACTGACTGCTTGCCCGAGTAGGTGGGTTAAAAGGGTAATCGAGGGCCGGCCCCCTCTTGCATTGCTTTCTCTCTTCCTCTCCCCTTCATTTCCTTTCTCTCTCACCTTCATTGTGTCCCCCATACTTGACGACGTTCTCTTTCATGTTCCATACTCTCATTCCTCATTCATATCTTCAGCTCGTATCCTTGGTTCCATCTTTGCTTTCTTCCTCAGCCTATGGTCACCATTCTCTCCTATACCATCTTGCAGTATTATTCCCGAGTTTCACCGCGGTAGGTGTATCTGAGAATGAAAAGGCAAGGATTCCTCTCCTATGACCTCCAAGATGAAACAATTATCCTTCTGAGTGCTGGGTGGGGAGCACAGGGATGAGACTGCTAATCTTCAGAGGAGTTACTACAGCTTGTTCCGGTGTAGTGGAGAAGGGGTCTTTTTCTTGTTTGTTTCCCATCTCGCTTAGTCAAGGGCGACTTTCGCCCAGGATAACAATTAAAATTTCTCTTCAGGTCGAAAACGCCGTCGCTGCCAGTCCATGGAAAGCCTATCCTCCGATAGTTTGATATCATACAGGCCACCTAGGAAGCAAAAGGAAGTTTCTAGGCGTGAAGTAAGAAATCTATATGTTGTTGGAGATTAATAATTTACTTCATCAAGTAGACTTGTCCCTCTATCTTTATGATATTTCGTCCGCGGTGTTGTTTCCCGCGAGAACATCCTGGTCTCTGTCAGAACTGACCCCTTGAATCTTCTGTTCACTGGTTTCTTCGCCTTCGCTGATCAGAGGCATTTTGGTCCTTAGTGATTGTACATGAATGTGTTGGTGCCATTTCTAACGGGCGGGTATCTGTTTGTATAGATGGAGTGGCAATATTGTGGTATTTACAAATGGATTAGAGGGAAATCAGCGTGATAGAATATAGCGAATAGTGGGTGTGTGTCATTCAAAAGATTGCCATTAATTCTTTTCACGGTGATCCTTATTTGCTTCACTGAAGCGTTGACGTTTAATAGCAATTCCTAGTGTCAAGGCATGTTGGAGAAGTTCCTTGTTCATAGATTCTATTGTATCTGGCGAAGTGTTAGTATCCTTCGACATCTGCTCTGTGAGCGGAACAGTGAACGCTCATGACTGCTTGTGGTACACTTGGTAAGTATGCTCATCACTTTTACGTATATCGTACATATGTAGTTCGTATATATGCGTCAGAGAGGCGCCAGGGCCTCGCTTTATTTCATTGTTATTCCTGGCATATTACGATTTAACACACTGCACTAAAAAGCGAACTAGTAAATAGGTCAGTCCTTGCTCAAGTATACCGAAATTTTCCTATCTATTACACTCAGTGTGATTCTAGGTTTTATGCATTAGCTTGCAAAGAATTGGTTGATTAGCTTCAAAACGCGTTATGTACATTGTGTAGATGACATTTGTTGAGACTTGAGGGTCGAATCAAGATGTTTCATTGTTAACAACAACCTGGATGCACGGTGCTGATACATGAGGTAACAATCCTATGGGTCTGTATATATGTGATGCATGAGCCATTTCCCTCTCGACGGGGAATTCTTATTCATAGACGAGCTCATTGTATGTACACCGAACAGCTATGTAGTTAAGGGCTGGGAGATTTCATGTCTCAAGGTCAAGTGCATGTATGGCATACGTGCAATATACCCCTAGTTACAAGCCCTCAATTCTTGTCAACTCAAGCTTACGCGAAAAAATGGCAAATGTGATATACTTGCTTGATGCTTACTATATTCAGTACTCTTACATGGTCAGAGAGTTAGAGAATCTAGACATTGTATACTTTCACATGTCGCTGTTCCAGACATGTAACATGCTCGTCGACACCGCTGTGCCTCGTTGATCCCTTACGTCCACTTGGAATATTAGATGTGTATCGAGTGCACTGGACCCACGGAATTCCCAGGGCCCTTGCACCGAGTGGGACTGAACTGAGCCTTTTATTCAGCTTTCAGTATCTGATTCTGCGAGTAGTGTCGCAGAATACGATCGTCACTGCATGCACTGAGAATACCGTCCACAAAGGCATATATAGTCTAAAGATTTCCAAAACAAAACAAAACAAAACAATGTCAAGTACCATTTGTCAATAGGGAAGCTAGTATGGTATTTCTACCGTCCATGAATGCAGTCGGATATACGGAGGAAGCTGGATAGGAAATTGAACATATGTAGTGCACACACAGTCAACTACAGAATGTTGGTATATAAGCCTTGTAGCCTCAGGTGTCAAGCTCTGTGGCTGATTCTGTAACTGGCTAATCATTTTAAACAAGCTGCGGGAGCAAGCTACAACTGTCTAGCCCGATGGGGTGGCCAACCAGGAGGCGGCCCGAATCTTGCCGGTGGGCCTGCAATATGCACCGTGATTGGTGCAGGCCCTGTAGGGAGATTGCGTTCCTGACACTAGTCTGGAAAGGGCTCCAGTGTCCAGTCCACCGCGGAAATAGCGACACCACTCCAAACACTCCTAACACCACTAATAATGATTGATCCAGTAAGCAGAATCCTGTCGCTCCACTGTTACGCCTTAGTATTATTATCGTTATTGTTATTATGAATTATGACGATTCTTTCGCTCGAGAGAATAGACATGCTTACTGTAGCCGTAAGGACTAACTCAGGGAGATGCTCCAGAAACTGCAGCACACGGCTAGAAAGTAAGATCTCCTCTCCAAAGAAACATCCCGTTCTGTCTCACTACTGGGGGAGGCTGCACTAGTATCAACGACTACTGAGGCTTAACCACCGAGTATTTTATTGTTCCGTATTTAATCATATTTTTGGCAGCAGGACTGTATCATTACACAGGCTTCTCACGCCGCTATTCGCGGACTACCAGATTAGCGGCAGCTCCCCTATTAATCCCCACCCGTTGAGCCTGCTCCTGCTCGCAGTGGGGGCTTCCTCAATCCGCCAAGCAGCGCCCGCAGAAAAGACCAGGTCGTTTCGCTCTTCTCCTCCCCGTTTGCTCGTTCTCGTTCTCGTACTCCTTACTGTCCCTTTCTGGCTCCGACGGCCTCCACCACATTCTTTTTACACTACGTAGAGGTATCCTCTAACCATTCCTTTAATCAACACGCTCGTTCACCTTCGGGTTCACACTCCTTTCGCTCCTAGCAAACGGACGCTACCGTCCTGCGCACTCTCCTTCGTTTGCTCGTTGTTTCTTGGGCCTCTGCTGGTCTCTGGCAGAGCATCTTTATCGTGCGAGTTCCTTTTCACCTGTGGCTCTAAAAAGTCGCGTCGTCTATTTCATCTATCATCATATTATCCTCGTTGAATAAGCCGATCAATTTGGTCGCAGCCGGAATTCACTAAAACTCGTTCCTGATGTCGATTACTTTATAATTCGTCCGTTCTTGTGTACGTCTCGGTGATAGAAGGTGTCCCCTCGAGGAACTGCCCTGACGACATTCGGGCAGTCGAACCATAGAGGAAGATGCCTCACCAACATGGCGTACACTTTCACCATGTGCGTCACTACATTCCAGAGCACCACTCTGATCTGAACGAAGTGTCGGCAACGCCAACAATCGAGCCGCACCCAACCCTCGAACCCGCAGACATCGTTCGCCGTTCTTCCGAGCCTAGTTCCACTTGCTCATCAGGTGATAAATCCGATGCTTGTCAGAAATCGACAAGTTCTTCCCTAACCACAACATTGCCCGTTGTTCTTGGAGTAGTGTATGTTTAGCTATCCGGTTATTAATATGTGGTTGATGCTAACCTAACGATTAGAATCCCTGTCGTTTGTGCTATTGTGGTCTTGCTTTTCTTACATAGGCGCCATGTACGTAAATTGCGCGCCGAGGATGCCAACGATAAGCACAAGTCATTGGACTTTGGTATGGAAATTGTAAGAGGACAGGGCAAGGGAGGACACCCTGAAATGGGAGAGAAGCCTCACAAACACGGTGGTGGAATGTCCCTAGATATTGGAGCTAGCCCTTATCTACTACCACCGGGACTGCACGGCTCGAAGGAATCACTCCGTTCGCTCTCAAAAGTAATCAGTGCAGATGACGACAAATATCGCCTGGCTGCTCACAGTGATAATGCTTCCATACGATCCTATCCATCGCATCCAAAGTGGGGCTACGACGACACTTCTAGTGCTGGAGGATCAACAAGGAACATTCCTATAGATGATATGCATCATGGCCTTTTGACGAATGCCTCGAATATATCTCGCTCATCTCCTCCAACTGAGTCACGATCAGCAGCTGGCACCCCCAGACATTTAGAAAAGGAAGCTCTACCGGATTCGTTGAAAAATAATGATCTGAGCGCCACGTCGACTGCACACTCGAGTCTAGATACACCTAAGTACAATGCAATTTCGGTGTCGCCTGTTCAGGAACACATCCCATCCATGGAATCACGCCAAGAATCCATCCCTGAATATTTGCATGGCCAACGTGATGTTGATTCTGGTTCGAAAGGGCCAATGGCAAGTGATCCTGGTTTGGGTGCTTTCGACTTTGGTACCGGAACCCATGAAACTCCCTATCCACGCGATGACATGCCAAAGATACGAGAGTCTTCCCCTGAATCTCATCCAGTACCAATCGTAACACCCAGGATTTCTCTCCCGCTGAGTGATGCAGCAAGTGATTATGGTGATGAGCCTAAGTTTGACCAATTCCCGCCAGTGAATGTGTCAAGCACAGAAAGCCACACACCAGCAGTGGATGTCGCCCCTCCACCCAAAAATGCGAACCGATTGACGCAGAACTTTGCTAGTTTGGACGACAGTTTTGATCCTCGCAGGCTGACTGTTGGTATTCGACCTCTTCCCCCAGAGGATCCTTCAGATAATGCGGAGCAGCGTGCCAACAGGATCCGTTCTTTCTATAAAGAATACTTTGAGGATACCAAAGGCGGTAGTGAAGAATACTACGAGGACTTCGGCCCAGAGTTTTATGAGGATCCTGCTGTGTACGATCCACATACTGGTGAATATCTTGTCGGTCCGCCGAAGCCATTTGCTCAGCCCATGGGTCGCCGTGCAATGACTCCGCCACCTCGGTTCCAAGGTCCTCCCCGACAGATGATGCACTCAGCTGCTGGGTTTAGAGGACCGGGACCTCGTGCATTCTCATCTGCTTCAGGTCGACTACCTGGGGCTCGAGGTCCTCGCAAACCAATAGCCCCTCCAGAACCCCTTCATATGTTGCCATCGCCGCACTTGATCAAGGATGATATGTCCATCCTACCGATTGACTATGCGCCTGGCAAGAACTTTAAGGATCAGAGAGAAGGCAGACCTGAAACCCCTCAAGGCGGACTCCGTCCTTATACGCCCGCGGTTGCTGCTCACAGCCCCCTTATGTCCTCCTTTGATGACCTGGCTGCTATCCCAAGCCCGTAAGTAAATTGATTTGGATTTCAATTTAGAAAACCTGATTTAGCTGACACCATTTCTTATAGACATGCCTTGAGAAAATCTGGAGTATACATGCCGTTGGATTTTGCTCCTCCACCTCGGTTCAAAGACAAGGACACGAATAGTGATGCTGGTAGTATTCGTAGTAATAGGACTGGCATCTCAGCGACTCACCTCAACAACATTCGCGCAGGCGCGTACCGTGTCAGCCGTCTCCCAGCTGATACTGTGGGCACTAGAGATGACATCCAGACAAGTTTGCGACCCAAATGGGATATGCGGTAGAAATTGTGCCGTCACCGACATGGTCTCACACCCATCGATCTTATCACTTCTAATGATGCCTTTACCACTGGACTTTACGGTCGCTGTCATGATTTGTTAACTGGTTGTGCTACTTGATTTATATCTTAGAGCTTGACAAGGAGCATTTATTTTTTATTTATCCGTATTTTGAACGGAAGGTGTCAGCCGGCTTTGTATTGATATGCATTTTCTTTCTTGGATTTCACCGGAATAATCATTTTGATTACGCTTGTGTTGGATACATCAGTGAGAGTGTCGATGTGAACATCGCTGTTGTTGCATTTTAAGAACACCTGTCATGGGCAGAATGCTCTCAGGGATATTGGTGCTTTTCTTTTCTTTTCTTTTCTCTTTACGCCCGTCTTGAAAAGACGAACCCGGACCTTTTCGAACGGGGGGTTGTTTTCTGCGATGACATTTTTCATGCCTCCACCCTACACATGTTGAATTGGGCGGATGGATTTGTACCTAATTTGCTCCATGTATCATGGGTGCGCTGAAGGGCGCTCGTACATATCAACGTTTGATAATATTTATTTCCTTTCTTCTTGATTTTTAAAGGGGCGTTTCTTACTCCAGGTGTCGAAACTTGATCCACACGGCCACAGCTTTTTGAAGAGTGTATCAAGCTACTGACTGCACTCTACATCTCTTGGCAGAGGCGACTACTAAGCTATATGTAATAACTAGACGGCGATTCGTAGAAGGTCAGTTGGGTTTGTCTTCAAAACTGTCGAATACCTGTCTCCAAATTTCCAGACTTCCACAACCCTCCTGGGAGTATTCTTAGTGCGTATTATGGTACGTATTATTATTTTGGGGTGTGTTGGAAGTTGGCTATCTTTCGACGTCAGGTAACGCGCTAGTGTCAGTGGTATCTGTGACTGCTGACTCCAAGGAGTCATACGCAACAATACGTACTCATCTAGCGCAGATATATGGTACCGGTACCTGTCTTCTCGCTGCTGATACTTGCGCAATAATACAGTGCATCTTCTCATGTCTTATGAGCGTTATGAAGCGATGCCAGTGAGCCTAGGCCTAAGTAGAAGGAACGCGAGCTAGTAATTACCGTCATATTTATTACTATTATTATGATTCAATAAATAGTCGTAATGGCCTTACAGCAGGCGTGACGACCATCCGCTTACGGCCTGGCGGGGGCTCCGCCACAGGAGCAATTCCAGCTTGTGGTTGGCCCGTATATGACGGCGGCTCGCCGTGCTGGCTGTAGTGCGTAAAACTCGTTCAGCTCCAGCGCTGAATCCACCAATGGCGGCACTGCCTGCTCCGCCCCTCCCCACAGCCATCTGCAGTGGTAACGTCCTAACGATCCATGGAAGTGAGACCAGGCCCGTATAAGCCACAGTGCCCGGTTCCTCCCCAAAAGTCAATCACATTGCCTGCCTGCGCTCTCTCGTAATAATTGACCAGCAACTTCAGTCAATATCCTCCCCATCAATCAGTGTCCATCCTGGGAGTTGCTCAGGCATCCATCGATTGTCTTCGCTCAGCTCTGTGGGCCTCTTCCCTTTGTATCTTCCCAGGGTCAGGGTGCTCCCCTATCCGCCGCTCGGCAAATCGACCTCACCCGACCGACTTGATGAGAAACAGGGCCTCGACAAGTCATCTGTGACATCAAAATCGTGGTTGACGTTTTTGGGCTTTCCCTTGGTCGCGCGTGACGCCAATGCTCAGACTGTGAAGTACCTAAGCGACAGATTTGGCCAAGATTAGCCGGTTGCGTCCTCACCACGGCCATCGACACCCGGCAATGAGCCACACTGTCTTACATTCGCTTGTTAGTCAGTCGCAGAGGTATTGAACCGGCGTACACACAGCAGGATTTGCGAGATCGCTTAGTGCGTCGTGATACTCGGTCAACGCTTCTTCGCATTGTTTAGAAGTCAAATTCAAGATATATAGACGCCAAAATGGCTTCTGATACTTCTTCTACTGGTAAGGATGTGACCCGCGTAAAATGCAACCTCAGATTGGTACTAATTCACTGTCTTGTTTAGCTGTCATATCTCCCAATCCCACGGCGCCATCTAGCACAACCTCGTCGACGTCTTCGCTTCCTCCGCCAACATCGACATCGACATCGACATCGACATCGACAACGTCAACAAGCACAAGCACAAGCACAAGTTCAACATCCACCACTTCTTCGACCACATCCACCACGACCTCTTCAACCAGCACAAGCTCTACGTCGACAACCTCAACGGCCCCGGAAACTACATCGACGTCGACAACCTCTACATCTTCTATTCCTCCAACAACCGTCGTCGTGACATCCACCTCTACCTCGGCACCAGATACCTCTTCGACTTCATCTACAGGGACGATTACTTCAACCACCTCTTCCATCCCTGCTGCCACGACCTCTGCTGCCTCCTCAGGTTCCCATGGACTATCGGCGCAAGGTACCATTGCCGTGGCAGTGGTGGTCCCTGTCGTCTCTGTGGGCTTGATTATTTGCGTATTAATATGGTGGTGGAGAAGGCACAAGGCAAACAAACTGGCAGAAGAGGAGCGCCGCAAAGAAGTGGAAGAATATGGCTTCAACCCGAACAATGATCCTACCTTGCCTGGCGTAGGGGGAGCCGCAGCGGCGAAGTCCAACACATACAGTGACCGATACGATAATGGGGATGGTAGTTCAGGGTATCGGGGCTGGGGGACAACTTCACACCCTCGTAACCCGTCTACCAATCTGTCTAGTGGTGCTGGCGTTAGCATCCCGATGTCCGATACTGGAAGTGCCGCGGGATATGGCCGCCATACCGCGTCGCCGAACGACGCGATGCAATACTCTGACGGTACGGCGAGACCAGACTCGGGCGAGCTTGCTGCAGCGGGGGCGGCGGGTGCCAATAATGCTGACATTCGCCGTGGAACGTCCAATGCGTCCTCGGCTTACTCTGCCGGAGTTCACTCTGAGGGGTCGGAAGATGCTCATATGGCGGCCGCGGGACAGAATCATTACTACGATGAGAGCAACCCTTATTACCATGACGTGCACACCTCGCAGCCGCCATATGGCGATATGTCGTATGGCACAGCAGCTCCAGTCATCCGTGATGTGCAAGCACGGCGCAACACGCGGATCGAGAATGCGGCGGTCTACCCACAACAAGGCAACGCTGGAATCGCACAGAATTTCTAATTCCTCTCCCACTGCATCGCCTTTGATTCATTTCTTCACCACTTTCCCTCACCTTCGCTTCGAGTAATGAAATTTTCCTCACCATGTCACGCTATTTTGCGTTATAATTGTGGACATATCTCTTGTTACGGGTCCGTTCTGGACCGAGAGCATTTTCTTCGCTTTGTGATTATTGCTTGCTTCGCACAGACATGATTGGGTCGTCGCACCTTGCAAAAGCGCCTGCTGTTCGTGTGCATATTTTATAGTTAAAGTTATCGGAGAAGCCTCTCATTTTCTTGTTGTCATAGTGTCGTATTCTAATTTCTTTCTTCACATGCCTGTGCCATCATCCGCGTGTCTACCTCTCTGAATCTGCTCTGGGCCGGGACATTGTGTGTTTTGGTAGATAGCGACTTTAATGGACATATCCAGCATCTTCTATAATAGAGTATGTATATGTATTGTATTGTATATCGGGTATTGATGCATCATCATCCATTGCTATATAGTTATAGAATATAGTAATAATCGATGCTTGGCACTCGCCGGGAACGTGCTGCAGGCTGCCGCGGTGATTGGCTCTAACGCGGGTCTAAGCCAAAGCCATCGCCATCCCATGCACCACCGTGAAGAAGCTCCAGCTGTGCTGCGTGCCCTGAAGCCAGACAGCCAGCCAGGCACTGCTGCTGCTGCTGTCCTGCTTTCGCTCTTGCTACTCTCGCTCCTGCCACCCACGCCTGCCCTCCCCTCCGCCTGCCTGCCTGCTGCCCCGCACATTCCTCGAGCCTCCCGCCAGCCCAGCGCCCGCAGGCCCCTCGTTGCTTCACGGCCGCATTCCTCCTCATCCTCGCCCGCCCTGCTTGACGGCCATCTGATTGACTGTTCGTGATACGGACGCCCTCTTTTTCGCCGCTCCCTGTCCGCTTCCAGTACGTTATCTTAGCTCTCCCAACTCTCCCTCCCTCCCCTGTCGACTTGGACCTTCTGACGAGTCTCGATCCGTCCAGCACTCCAACCAGTTACCCTACCTGCCTCGGCCCGATCTTTCGTTCTACACTCGCTGTGTTTATATTCCGTTTGAGAGAAATTGCAACCTGCATTGTACGCTTTAGGCTTGGACAATCAACATTCGGGCGATGCCTTTCTAAAGCTTTTTCCCCCAGGTCTTCCTCGTTTAGGTAGTTCCTCGTGCCAGTGACCTTCCCAACGGTATGTTTGCTATTGCCTTCTGAGCTTGAGCTTGAGCTTGAGCTTTTCTTTTGTCATATGCCTGTCAATGTGCCGCTGACCCGATTTCCGTCTCTTCAGTGAGCTGCTCCAAGCCCAAGCCATTGAAGGCTTGCCGCCAAAGATCCAGCCTGCGTAAATAGCCTCTTCAAGCTTCCAAAATGTATGTCTATCCTCGTCGCCCTAGAAAAAGCCATTCGAGAGTATTGGCTCCATTCCCTTCGACCCGCTGCAGCGTCTTAGTTCTCACCCATGGCATTTACTAACTGGTGCACAGGAAGTTTGGAAAGCAGATTCAACGCCGCCAGCTTGATCTCCCCGAATATGCTGCGGTTTTCGTCAATTACAAAGCCCTAAAAAAGGTATTTCTCCTACCGCGAGATAGCCGCTAGGTCGATGAAATGGTGACCCTGATATCTGTGGTCTTCTAGCTTATCAAACAACTGAGTGCTACCCCGACAATTCCAGCACGAGGCGGCCCGCAAGAGAATATTGATACCCAATCAGGCCTCCGAGCAAACAAAGAAGTGTTTTTCTTTCGATTAGTATGTGTTCTTGAGGATTACTCGGCACCACTACTAATCCTGGATACATAGGAGCGTGAAATTGAGAAAGTCAATGTATTCTATCTGCAAAAAGAAGAGGAGGTGGGACTACTATTCTTCATTATTCCGCATCCATACAGGCCCGCTGATCTACCACAGTTTTCCCTTAGACTGAAGACATTGTTGGACAAGAAACATGTCATCAAATCCCGCACTACTACCAATTCGAAAGCCCCCGGATATTTTGTCTCTTTATTTGAAGGATTTCAACAGTTTGATGGGGACCTCAATAAGCTGCAGGTAATATTTTGGACTTTCAGGATACGAGTTCTCCGACGCTAACCTCCATGACCTAGCAATTTGTGGCGGTAAATGAAACCGCGGTATCTAAAATTCTCAAGAAGGTTCGTTTCGAGTTGGGAATTTCCGTGTCCCAGTTGCGGTGTAGCTGACTAGTATATCTATAGTGGGATAAAGCTTCAAAGGTTCGAAATTTAGAGCTTACCGGACCCATTACGTGCTGCTAATGTATTCGACTCCTAGTCTCGGATGAAAGAGCTTTACCTCCAACGAGCCGTGGAAGTTCAGCCATGCTTCAACAGAGAAGTCCTTCGTGACTTATCAGACCAGGCGTCTACAGCCAGATTCGAATTAGAAGCTTGGGCAGAAGGCGAGAACATCCAATTCGACGTCCGTCCTACCGAACGTGCAGAAACAGGGTATATCGGTAATGAAGAATCGGATCTTCAAGTCCTTCACGCTGCGATCGGTGGCAATTTGGCTTCTTTAAAAGAGTGGATTGTCAAAGCTCGCGAAGCTCCAGATGGTGGTGATCGCGTTACTCGTGTGTTCTTAGCTGCTATCAGCGATTTCTCGAACGAGATACTAGAGGTTTTACTTGAGAGTGGCATGGTTGATATACAGGCTGAAGACGACATTAATGGACGAAATGTTCTACATGAAGCAGCAATTTCCGGTCAAGCTCTCGCCTTCAAGGCTGGTTTGTCTGGCGGCGTTGACACCGCGAGGTCAGATGTATACGGCAGACTACCTCTTCACTACGCCTGTATGCACGGTCGAGTAGAGATGGTGGATGCTCTTCTTGCTACAGGAAGCGATACAATCAATATCTCCGACCATGATAATTTTACGCCACTCATTCACAGTATTGTTCGGGATCAGTTAGCCTGCGCAGAACGACTTCTACATAACAACGCGAGAATTGACCCTAGCTCTGAATCCGACCATATTCCTCTGAACCTAGCATGCCAACACGGTTCAATTCCAATTGCCAGTTTGCTGCTCGAGAAGGGCGCTTCCTTGCTTCCTGATGCGGAGGGTTTATATCCCCAACATCTCGTTGCGCGGTCGGGCAGAGAGCCTGATCTTTTATTACTTCTCAAAAAACATGGGGCGGACCTCAACCAACGCGATAAGTTGTACCAATGGACTCCTGTCTTTCACGCAGCGAGCGAAGGATGCGTGAATTGTCTCCAAACTCTCCTAGATTTGGGCGTCGATATTACCGTTCTAGATGAGAAGGGCCTCATAGCGATGTATTATGCGGCATGGGAAGGACACCTCGAATGTATGGCACTACTATGGTCAAAAAGGGACTCATCACTGCCACACCGTCCTCTTGGTTTTGCTCAAACAGGATCGCAGCTCGGCGGGGTATCATTCGAGCTTAAAGGCATTCAAGATGATAATGCTATGTCGACTAGTAGCGACATCGTGGATGGTATTCCTGATCTGGAGCTTCCCCCTCCTATTATTCCATTACGACGATACGGTCACAACTTTTTGGATAAAAAGGCCTTTGTTCAAATTTACTTTGAACAAGGTGATCCCGGCTCCATAGTTTTCGACCAGGCCGGACGCTACCCTGCTGCTCGACTAACCATATCCTCAAAGTTATCCGATGTGGTACCGCGTACTTTAATGCTTCCATTGCAGGAAGATTCACGCAATGTTACTTTTCAAATTGACAACCTAGATGCATTTACTATCGACTTCGAGATCTTTCCCACTTTCGGCTCCAAAGTGATCGCAAAGACAGTCGCTTTACCATCTGTTTTCGCTGCGGAAAATTCAAGTGCGGGCACATGCAAATTGCCATTATTTGACCCACGGTTGCGCTCAGTTGGTCATCTGCGTTTTAAGTATCAAGTAATCAAAGCATACTACGGTGACCCGCTGGAAATTACTCACTTTGCTACGTATTGGAAAGCCACCAACGCAATCGATGCAGATCATAACGCATTGATTACAGGCTCCAGCTTGTCTGGTGACTATATGCAGCTGTTCGTACAGCTTACAAGAGACAAATATCCCGTTTTATATCCCCTTTACTCTATCAACCATCATGGCATTGAAATTCCGGTCTGCTCCCTGTCTTACGAGCAATTTACTAAAATCGCTCATTCACGAGGCATTAATACCGCCTCTATCCTTGAATCGCTACATTCCAAAACGCCCGACGACATGGTAACAATCCACCAAGAACTTGCGACCTCTTTCCTATCACTGAAGGATGTGTTGTTGCATCTCCCTACTCAAATACACGTTAACCTATCCATCCTTTACCCATCGGAGAAAGAGGAGCAGTCGCTTAACATGGGATCTTTGGTAGACATCAACACCTTTGCTGATTCAATTCTCACTGTTGTGTTCGAACATGCCAGAGCCTCCCGTGAAAGGAATCCAGACTTTATGCGATCTGTCGTCTTCTCGTCCTATAATTCCAACATTTGCATTGCGCTAAATTGGAAACAGCCAAATTGTAAGTATAACCACTTTCAACACCAATTTTGTCAGCGATATAACGAAAAGCTAACTTTACCCTCACACAGTCCCTGTATTACTTTGCAACGATTTGGGCCAGATGAAGGATTTTGTTCGGGAGAATAACACCGGTGCTGTTGTTCAATCGAGTGGTCATACCTCGATATCCATAAAGGAGGCTGCGCGAATAGCTCAAAGCAATAACTTAATGGGTTTGATATGCCGGTCTAGTTTATTGGTAAGTGGCCCAGCTACGCTTGTCCTTTCTTCATTCTCTTTTTGGTTCATGGGTTCATGCGTTTGTAATGGGCTGAATTATTGGAACACTTGCTAATCTCTCACACTTCATTCAGAACATCATGCCTGCGCTTATCGAGACTATCAAGGAGCAGGGATTGGTGCTTGTAGCTGACGCATCGGACATGAGCGATCAAACGGCTCGCGCGAATGCCACAGGGGTTCCATCAGAACGAACATTTCAAATGCCGGATGGCGTGAACGGCTTGATGAAAGCAACTGGAGTGCTTCGGTTCCATGAGACCATTGATCTGTGATTTTACCTTTGCTTCGGTTAACTATGGCGTTAGAGCTTCCTTAGAGTTGCCTCTTAAGATTTGGCGTCACATGAATGTGTTGCAGTCGCTAGCTTGCGAGGTTTATAGATACCAATTTCCAGGTCTTTTAAGAGTGTAGCCGCTCCATAATGGAACGTGTAGACTGCAAACGATTCCTATTTATACTTCATTCTATTGTAATCTCTATAATACATTACGTCAATATAGCAGAACATTAAGGTTTCAGATCTTTCTAAATCTCTGGTGGAAGTCCCAAGAGCAGAGGAGAGTGTAAGCCAAACATATAATACATCCAATCCACGACTTTATGTGAGAGGAGGTGAGAGTTGCGCAGGGGCGGCCACTATGTCGTGTGGACGTTAAGAGGAATGGCCGATTGATTGCGTCGCCCTATTACTTTGCTTTGGGCGTCTTCTTGCCGATATTCCAACCCCATCGCCTAAGAGTCTTAACAACTTTCGGTGTCACAGCAGCAGTGAGAGGTACTCGGAGAAAGATGAAGCTCTTGTGGATCGCGTACGCCAGGGCAAGTTGAGTCCATATGCCTAAGTCGCGAGGATTAGCACAAGTAATATGGCACAAAATTTGACAAAGAATAGTTAGATAAACATACTTGCACCTTCTTCGGCATTTCTCCTACGAGCCTCAATAACGCCGTGGTCATCTATTTCCTCGTTGAGATCATCCCTAGTCCCCACAGCTGTGTCATCCGAGTCCTTTTTCAATGGCCAAAGGTTCCCAAATGCACCCTTCACTCTTTCCATCACTACATGTTCAAAATGACCGATCCGTTCAACGCCGAGAAGTCTCACTGTCGCAAAGCAAAATGGGAAATCGAGCACAGAAAGGGCCAAGTAAACACCAACGGCAGACCATCCATATTCGCGAGACAAGTTCTTTAGACGCTGCGACAACGACTGTGGTGGTGTTTGAGCTTGAGCAGATGAGAATCTCTGCTGGAAGAAATGACGTCGGAAGAAGGGATTGTTGATTCTTTTCGTCGCGAGATGGCCTCGGGGACTTTGTTGAGAGATAGATCTCGTATGCGGAACTGTCTGGAAGGATATCGTTCGACGCTTGAGAAATGGCTTCCCGGTGAATATTCTCTTTTGGAATACAGATTCTGCCTGTCGGCGCATCAGCTGCGACATGGTAACAGCTAATGACGGCGGCATTCTCAGATGTGATTCGGCCCTGTTGAGATAGGGATATGCGTGTCTTGCAATAACGAAATTAAGCCGGCAATAAGAGATGGCAAATATATGTTGCTAAACTGTTCGATTTCACTCCGCCGGCCTGGTGTTGTCTTCTCACCATGCGCTATGATGTCCCATGGTTTTTTTTCTCGGTATTATTGATAAACGGCTGTAGTTATTATATAAAAACGTCCCAATGGCGGCTGAAACGGACCAGACCGCCCGAACGCGCTAGGCCGAATCCGCGAGGAATTGGCTTGGCAATTTACTGCTGGCGGACAATAATAATTAATATGTTTCGCCTGGGCCTTCCTGTTGTCGAATCAACTCGAATTGCACAACTCATCAATTCCTTCATTCTCTTCCCGCCTGTTCCTGCGTGGGCCAAAGATGCCTCCAAAGCTGCCGCGAGAGGCTCTGTGCCTCAGCCAGCGTGGATGGGTTGCCCAGTTTTTTGTCAATATCACCAGCAAGCGACAATTTGGCATCAGATCTCTCAATCCGCCCAAGGCGAATCCCTACAATGCTAGACCCGGTCTACCCCTCCTAAAATCTACGCCAGCTGCTGCTTTGGAACGCAAAATGAGAGCCGATACGCTTCCACACCGGACAGGAGCGCTGGCAGTCAAGAAAGGCATGACGGCCATCTACGATCCCGAAACAGGAGAACGCATCCCATGTACCGTCCTCCAGCTAGACCGAGTACAAGTCATCGCACACAAGACCATTGAAAAACACGGATATTTCGCAGTCCAAGTTGGATCTGGCTGGAAATCTCATCAACGAATGAACAAAGCGCTCGTTGGCCATTTTTCGGCAAACGGTGTGTCCCCGAAGAGATATGTCCATGAGTTTCGTGTGAAGGACAGCGCAGGGCTTTTAGAAATCGGGCGAGAGATTAATGCAGACTGGTTTCAAGAAGGTCAATTCGTTGACGCGCGCTCAAATACTAAGGGAAAGGGCTTTGCTGGTGTGATGAAGAGACATGGGTTTCACGGACAAGATCGTAGTCATGGTGTTAGTTTGACTCACCGTTCTATGGGTTCTGCAGGCCCTAGCCAAGGAGGTGGTTCTAGGGTCTATCCTGGAAAGAAAATGGCTGGAAACATGGGAAACAAGCAGAACACGCTGCAAAATCTGAAAGTCCTGAAGGTCGATAATGAAAACGGGCTTGTAGTTGTTAATGGTATGTGTGCTTTTACGATTATTATACTGTCAAATTTGACCATGCTAACAACTCCATAGGTTCTGTCAGCGGACCTAAGGGCTGTATCGTCAAAATTCAAGATGCGCTCAAGAAACCATGGCCAACAGTTGAGCTGCCATCCCCCCTAGACGCAGCATCTCAACCGTCTCAATAGTTAAAATTTCATGTATTTATACGAATGTACTATAATAAATAACATGCTCTTTCTTGTCAATGAGTGGAGGTTTATAGATATAAGACTATACCCTAAAACGCCAGTTCCCACTAGATTTCTTCTGATTACCAAAACGCCACAAGTGATGCAATATTATCAGCGTCGCCTTCTATACTACACAGAGTTCAACTCGACGGACAAGCGTTTCACGCAGTTTGAAAGGGGTCTTCTTCAGGCGCAAGAAGCTGTACAACCTTTCCATCTTCAGTCTCCAAGCTCCATTCCTCAGTATGGAACTATAGCAAATCCATTAGCATGAGCTTCCAATAATTGCTTGCATGAATTGGCCGCGGGAAAAATAAAAGAAAAATGGACAGGCTTACATAGCTCAAACGATCAGGGCGCACACTTTTGAACCTCATTTTGCCTTTGCTTTTGGTCCCTTTGACCCAGTATGATATATTAATGCGACCATGGAGCTGATCCATTTCCCCGCTTATCCACGGTATTTGTTGAGCAAAATAAATTTCATCTCCAAGAATCTCTCGCGCCTGTGGGGATGTCCGTAGTGCGTATAGTGTGCTGCTCACAACACTCGAGGAAGATTTCTGATAGTTGAATATTCCCATCATCGCCGCGCCCACAAGGACTGCAAAGATGGGCAATGTGGGAATCCATTTAAACCCAGACTCGATTTTCGGAAGGTCTCTATCAGCCCGGCGATCTAGGAGAGGTCCTGAATTGGCTGAAGGCGCAGGGATGAGTGAACGACGCTGGAATCTGGGGAACGGGCTAGCTTTTCTTGATGTTCCCGCACGGACATAGCTCCGGAGGGGCCATGATAAGAGTTGTCTTTGGACGTTCATTTATTGATTGGTATTGGGTCGTGCAGGAAAGAATGGCTTTGGGACAATGGTGAATTGGCGAAAGATCGGTGGTGACTTTGCGTAGGTCCGACGAGTGAAGTTTTGGGAAGGCCGGCAAGCAAGCGGGTAATTAATTAGCGTGCATGGTGTCGTAACTTAATACCGACCTGCTTCCTCCCATGAAAATGATAAATATCGACATGGCTGCGACGCTTAGACGAACCTTTCGATATTCTGACGATGGCCAAGATAATGATGATAGGGAGGAGTTGGATGAGGAAGGTTCGAACATACAAAACCTAATGAAACTCTCCAACGTTAGAATCTAATATCTGATTTCAACTATTCAGAGCAAGATAATCTCATTCGAGAGCTGAACCTGAAGAATAATGCACAGAATGCTTTCTACTATGTATGAGATTGCATCAGAAGTTTCAAAGGCTCTATTCTAATTGTCTGCAATAGAAAATATTTACTATCATGCCACTGATTGCGACTGTTGCCTATCTTCCTTCAATTTTGTCGTCCTCCGTAACAGTTGCGATTCGATTATCATACATAATGTGTATAGCATCCCTTTGTGTGACAGCGCATATAATGAGAAGTGGCTCCTTGAGCTCAAAAGATGACAGCGATGGAGTACCTGGTTTATTGGCTATCCAAAAGCCAAAGCATCCAACCTTGACAAAAGATGTTGAGGGCTATCTCCTTCCTATAAACTCGGTTATATGCGTGATACTGTTTTTACAGTCATGGTATTCGCTGAGTAACCAAGTTTATGGTGATCATCAGGACACCGTCCTTTGCGCTCTTCCCGGAGGTAAGTTTACCAACAAATTACTTAATGTCAGTCAATTGGATGACCCATTGCCATATCTTTTACAGTCATTCTCGGTGTCATACGTGTGGCGAGTCGAATACTACTTCAAGTTGACATCGAAGAACTCGAGAACCTTCGATACGAGTATAAGGGTGCCTAGGCGAACTATTTTCAGAGAGGACATTATTGATATGACGATTGCTAGGTCATAATACACAAATTCAGTGTTTAAGTTGAGCTTCGCTACGCGTACAAGCTGTAGATCTAAACGAAACTACATCCCAAACCAAACCAAAAAAAAGTCTTGAGTCAACCCATGCTAGATCGCCTGCAGGCTTTGAATTTATTTTTAGGGAACATTCGAAAGTCAATCAGCCTGTCCTATGTATACTGATATTCTGGATGGACAAGCTAAGGATGAAAAATGGGCGAACAAAAAAGCTCGTAAACGGTCACACTGGCAAGGGTATAAACTTACAATTATAAAAAAAAAAAAAATTGAGCATTGCTCCGGAACTTGGATGTCAGTTGCTTCGTCAAGTTTTCTCCAAAGTGTCAACTTGAGAGTGTACGTCTTGAATAGAAGTCATCCTATTGTTGCTCTACGCTTACCCTAAATCGAAATCATGAACTGAGGCACTGCTTCATTTCTGCACTGCCATAGAAGTTGTTAGAAACAAAAAGTGCGATAGATTCATATGCCATCAGAGAGATCCGAGTCTTCATGATAGTTCACACGGACGTTCCGTTTTGGCTTTTCAGCGGTCCTCGACATGCTTGACTTTGAATCTCTCTTCATTTTGAAGTCAACGTCCTTTTCGCCACGACGCCTCCTAGTCTTAGCGTTATCTCCGTGCGAAGCTGAGTAACTATGAAAGGAAAGGTCCGATTCAATTATGGTAGTACCGTTTGACATCCCTAGGGTTCGCACTGGGCCTCCTGCTGTTCCATTATGTGATAACCCTAGACTTTCCATTCGTCGTCGGCCAACGCGGAGTCGAACAATAAGTCCATTTTGGGGGATAGAATGAGGGTTTGACCGGCCATTTAGATTTATCACACCATTTGTAATGTTCTGATTATTCACGGAAGGCTGTGGCATAAATGGTTCCGGTGTGCCATAAGACTGGAAATTCGTGAACGGTAGCTCAAACCTGATTGCCGCAGCATCTTGATAAGCCTGTTCTTGAGTCCTTGGTAATCCGTTTTCAGCATTTGAATGAAGCTGCTGAAATTTTGCAGCAACCTCGGGCAAATAATTAGAAGCAATATCGGCCTGAATGGCATCGATTGACTGACTAGCCATAGCAGCTAGAGCTGGATCGATAGGAATACCGTCATACATAGTAACCTGCGGATCATGAATCTGAGCATTATGATCATAAAGACCGTCTTCTTCTTCACCCGCCACAGTATCACGCATTTTGGCCATTTCTGCTTCTGCCTGATGTCTTTGTAGGCGGCGATTAGAGTCCGATCCACCATCTCCAACTTTCTTCAACCATCCAATGTTGGAATGGCTATAGTTGACCAAAGCTTCAACACTTCGAGAGTCTGCTACTTTCTTCGTGTCATGGCCAAGTAATAAACCTTTCGGCTCGTAAGGTGTTGTAGTCGTTTTACGACGACAAGCGCCACAACTGCAAATTTTTTGGCACTTTGGACATTCCCATTTATAATCCTCCATGACTGACTGGGGGGTAATTTCAAATGCCCTAAAAAGGCTACCATAACAGTAATTAAGATCGCATTTTGAACAAGACGCCAGCTTCCAACTCGGCTCAAAGCCTTTGCATATATGACATCTGGCCTGGTTCTTAGAGACTTTGTCAGGTCGTTGGATTTTTCTTCGTTTTTGTGACCTTTCCCCCTCGTCTCCATCATTTACGTCCTCGTCTTGCTCCTTGTGATGAGGCTGGGGTTTTGTTATGTCAACCCATGGCCGTCGCCTCAGTTCCAACTGGCAAATCTCAGCTAACGTCCTGCGGCCCAACCTTCGCCGCTCTGTGTCAAAACTCGAGGGTTGATCTTGCTCAGGGCTAGACTTCTTCTGACCAGAAAAGGCATGAATTTGCTCATTCCAGGATTCGTGCTTTCCCGATAGATCAGACCATTTAAACTGTTCAACCCATTTCAGGTTAGATATACATGCGCAGCTTCGGCCCATTGCGTAGCAGTCCATGCAGATATCGTAATAATCCTCCTCGTCATTCACAAATTTCCCAACACAATGTGGACATGTCAAAAAACGATTGAAAATATTGCATCGACAATAAGAACAGGTCACGTTGCTATCGAATGGTAAATACTCCACCTTTTTCTCAGCTGGAAGTTCATTGGAAAAGCTCTCGGAGCATAACACCTGAGTAAAAAGATTGAAGAGCTTCCGAAAGTCCTTCTGCAGCTGACGAATCTTAGGGCCACGGAGGTTGGATTCGTCGGCAGCAGAGAGTAGTTTAGAATATCTATCGAGGGAAAAATATATGATTGATTTATTCTTGTATTGCTCATCTCGACAGACAACTCTGGCGCGAGGAAGGGCTTCATTTAGAGCCATCTCTAGTGTTTCGACCGTCGTTCGATTCCAAGCCACCTTCATCGTTCTTGTACCTCTATTCCAAACCTGATGAGGAGCCAGGGGTGGGATGAGAATAAAATCGCCTACCTTTTGCTCCACGACGTATGTCTTAAATGGAGCCACTTTCCAGGCGCTGATCTGAGCAAAATGATCCTCCAGATCAATATCATGGCCTAGAACAGACGACCAGTATTCCGAAACCAACCGGTGATCACTAGTTTCAGTCATGAACCAAATAGAAGATCCAGGTTTTGTGCGCTTGCCATACTCAAATGCACCTGTTGACGCCTCAACCATTATATTATGACCAAGACTTGCGCACATCTCTTGGTGACAAGGAGTGTAAGTACCCTCATGTCCTATGTAGCACATAAGGTTCTCTGCCCTCATTTCAGCTGGAAGGCTACTCATCAAATCGCCGGCTCTTGCAATGCCTAGGCCACGACCAATTCCAGGACCATGGATATTTGATTCAGATACCCCCGTATCACCCGTGGATTCATTCAAGTAGGATAAAAATGGTGGTATGGTTTCCTTTAGTTTCTCGAACCAGACTGTTGGGCAGTCGATATCTTTTAAGTATATTCTTTGGCGCTCTGGATCCGCAAAATTGGTCAAATTCCATTGTTCCGTCAACATATGCATGTTATTGAGATAGTGACCGATGGTCAAGGGAAGGTTGGATTTCGTGGTGAGGTTTCTGGCATTTTCCGCTGTAGACACAGGGCTTGTTAGCTCCAGTCTCCACTCAATGAATTTTCATATGAAGCCATACTTTTCGTCGCGTAATTGTCTCTTAGCCATCTCTCGGCAAATATCCATTTCTCCAAGTTGGCGTCGTATCCCTCCACGACCAAGGGCTGGCCGCCGATCACGACATGGAGACGGACAAGTTTTTCAAAATTATCAAGGCCTTGTTCGTAAATAGCGTTTCTATGTATTCTAACAACGAATTCAAAATTGGGTGTTGACTCCACCAAAGCTGCCACATCTAGATTTGGCGGAATGGCCTCAAAGGCCGCCCGAGGTCGTTGGGCTGGCATGGGGTTACAGTTGTTGCTCGAAGCTCGTGAGGTCGAGTCAGGAGTCAGATTGCGGCATAGTGAAGGAGACTAAGAAAAAATTCAAAGATGTATTGAGAACAGGGCCAAAGCATACACGGATGTGAGCTGTTTGCTTTGTTATGGGACATGCGCGCCAGGACTGGAGCAAGAAATGCGAAGGGAAAGCAAGCGATGCGCAGTCTAGAAGATGGGTAGACTTTGTCGCGTAAATTTCAAACCCGATGTTAATAAGAAAATAGCTCTTCCAGATGATTGCGCAGGGTGGAAAAGGCGAGCTGGCTTTGAAGCTCCAAAGTCCCGTGAGATTGTTATGACAATGTCCGTCCACTCTCCGGAGAGCAGGCGCAGTGGGACCCTCTTGTGGTGCTATCCAATTATATCGTGGCACTCCCTGCCCAGTCATGATTGGACGCGCCGTTACAATAGTGACATGATTCTTTTCATGTCAGGGAACCTTCCTCTCGAATATCCTCACGTCTAACACTTAGTCTGTATCCTTTTGGCCCTGCAGCCTCACGCGGATACTTTGTAGCAGACGCCGGAAGATTTAGAATTGACTCAAAGTGCTCCAATGTTAATACTACCTGGGAGGGTCAAATCAAAATTATGCTCAGCATCCATGAGGAATGAGGCGCAACAACAGGTGATGCGAGGATCTCACGGAATGAGATTGAGGACCAGCTTCACGGCAGCTGTGACGAGCCGTTGCTTTACGTCACAACAATATTCAAGAGCAGGTCCTTCCGCCTTACAATTTGGCAAACAATACAAGATTGCAACTCGCCAGACATGGAGCATCAGAAGTTTCCAGTCTCAATTAGCAGCTACACAACAAGCGCCAACAGTCAGTCCAGCAACGTATTCACCGCCGCAAAAAGGCCTGCTCTCCCGCCTTCCAAAATCTTGGGTACCTTATGCTGAATTGATACGTTTGGATAAACCTACAGGAACATACTATCTATTTTTTCCATGTCTATTTTCATCTTTGATGGCAGCACCGATTGCCACTCCAATGGCCTCTCCTTATGAATTATTGGCGACAACAGGACTCTTCTTTTCCGGTGCACTGATCATGCGTGGTGCAGGCTGCGCGATCAATGATCTATGGGATAGGAACCTAGACCCTCACGTTGAACGAACTAGGTTTCGCCCGATTGCGCGAAAAGCGTTGACACCTCAGAAGGCTGTCATATTTACTGGATTTCAGCTCCTCGGCGGCTTGGGAATACTTCTTCAGTTTCCCATGGAATGCTTGTGGTACGGAATCCCAAGTTTACTGTTCGTTTCATCATATCCTTTGGCCAAAAGAGTCACCCATTATCCGCAATTCGTTCTCGGTTTAACATTTTCATGGGGTGCTATCATGGGGTTTCCGGCTCTTGGTGTAGATTTACTAAGTCAACCTGTTGCTCTCGCCACTGCTGCGGCTCTTTATTCCAGCTGTGTGGCCTGGACCGTTTTGTATGACATGATATATGCGCATATGGACATCAAAGACGATGTGGCCGCTGGAATCAAGTCTATCGCTTTGCGCCATGAACATAATACCAAAGCCGTACTGTCAGGCTTGGCTGTCACTCAAGTCAGTCTTCTTGCTCTTGCGGGCTTGACGGCAGGGGCTGGGCCAATCTTCTTCATTGGCAGTTGTGGGAGTGCCATTCTCACCCTTGGTACGATGATCTGGAGAGTACGTTTGAAAGACGTTCGCAATTGCTGGTGGTGGTTCAAACATGGCTGTTGGATAACTGGAGGAGGCATTTCATTGGGTATGGCTGGTGACTATCTTGATCGGTACTGGAGCATTAGCAAGGAAGGGAGAGATGAACATGCTTCAATGTAAACATATTGGCGGTGCTTTGTAAAATATCCACATTAATCTCGAATTCCAGGGCATCTTTGATCCATTCTAAGAGTAAATCGAGTCCAAATATACCCCGTCGCGTGAGACTGTGGTTGTCAATTGACAATCTTTCATCTAGAAGCAAAACTAGTCCTACTGATAGATTACTGTATAATTTAATTATATGATATATAGTATAATATATTGTAGATTATATTGCATATCCTATATTTTATTATTGTATATACTCTACGCGTCGGCCCTGCACCTACGACAGCCCCACTCTGCACTGAATGATGATTACTGTATTAATAATAATTAATTACATGATCCGCTAGAACTGCGTAATTATTAATTTCAGACCAGAACCTCTGTATTCTCCAACTGCTACCATCAGCTACCAGTTTCTGTTCTAGAGCTGCACACCTCCTGTCGGCAATGTTCTCAAGATTTACTTTAGCAGTGACTACCATCCACCCTTCTTTTCTTTCGTCTGCTCACTCGTGATACAGTCCTCCCGCGGCATTGCGCGATCAGTGTCCAAGGGAAGGGTAGTGCCAGGACCTTGGTCATTTTTATCTAGCCCATCTGCCCTGCAAGCCCGTCTACTGTCATCAGAAACAAAGGCTGCAATCGATAAAGCCGTTGCATCGGCACCTGTTGTCCTTTTTATGAAAGGAACACCAGAAACGCCGCAGTGTGGATTTTCTCGAGCAAGCATACAGATTCTTGGTCTCCAAGGAGTCGACCCACAAAAGTTCACTGCCTTTAACGTCCTCGAAGACCCGGAACTCCGACAAGGTGCGTGCGACTACGATGACATCTTAGATCTTTTTTATTCTTTTTGAAGTTTCGTCTACTGAATTGTCGTGACATAGGAATCAAAGAGTATTCGGATTGGCCGACTATACCTCAGCTTTATGTTGAACGAGAATTCGTGGGTGGCTGTGACATTCTAATGTCTATGCACCAGAACGGTGAACTCGCCAAACTGCTCGAAGAAAAGCATGTTCTTGTTCCCACTGACGAGTAACATGATCCCTTCGCAAAATCACTTGCATGTTGCGCGGTCGTTGCTATAAATATCAATTGTCATTGAAGTTACGATATGTATTTGTATGATCCAACTATTGTCCATATAATAATCGAGAGCCTATTCATTTTCCACGAAACACTTTCGATTAATAACAGAAGCGCGACGATATATGAAAGCAAGGTCGAAGGGGGTACCGATATTCAATGTTCTCTTGACCATCATGAGGTGCGAGTCTACAATATGAGTAAAGTTATTTTATGGGTATGTTTGGCAACATAGTCACGACAGCGATCATTATAAGTGGCTGAACAGCTCGTTACTTGGTGTTATCCTAAAAGACCGCCTAGCACAACCCGACTAACACCTCCAAGCTCGCTCTTCGCGCCACTTCTGCTTGCATCTTCGAATTCCCTCACAACGCCTGCAACCATAACCTTCCGAAGTTTGGCATCGGTCTTGGTGAAAAGCTCCCCTAGGCCAGAAGTACAAATAGCAGGGCTGGAAATAAGGCTTATAAGCCTTGTGTAGCAATCAATAAGTACGTCGCATAATGTTGCAAATGTTTCAAAAAAATCAGGGTCGAAGGGGAGGGAAGGCGTTAGTAGATATGAATACTCTTCGCCAGGAAGCAAATCTGAGGAATCTGTATTTGGAATTGATGTTATCGCTGATGCAGCGGTAGCTGAAGACGCAAGGTTTCCTGTCATCGCCTTGACATCGGAAGAATCGCTGAAATGCATAGGTAGACCTATCTCAGTGGCGGAGCTTGTTCTTCTGCCTTTTGTCCCTGTATGTGCTGCTCTCTTAAACATTTGAGGTAGCCTTGCTCTCACAAGATTTGACGAAGAATTTCCGTCTGGTGAATGGACTTGCTGGAAAGCCTCGAATTCAATCAGGAGAGCATGAAGAGCCCGAAGGTATTCCACCGGTGTTGAGTTCACGTCTAAAATTGGAGGGAGTGAAAGTCCAAGGAGTAGATAATTTATAGCGCGGCGAGATAGTCTCTTGGGATCGAAGTAAGGCATCTTCAAGAGGTCACTTTTCGAAAAACGTATCGTATTAAACCAATAGACTCGGCCTTCATGTCTGTAGTTGGCAGGGAATTAGCAAGAACAACCTGCAGTAACGATTTGATGGACCGACGCTTTACGCAGGTAATCAAGGGTTGATATTCGTTTTGAGCATAGCTCATGTATGTGCTGGAAAATTGTGGCAGCGCTTTGAGGTCCTCCTATACCTCCCACCTGTGTTTGGGGGAGGATCGGCATAGCACCCATGTTGCTTGAATTTTGTAGGATTTCGACAAAGCGTTTCACGAAAATAGGAACAATATAAATTGAAAAAAATTAAAAGTTCGTTAGCGATGTCTCCGCAAGTAGGGTCCAATGCGCGCTGAACCGTTACGATTGTTTCATGAGGTCTGATTCGGAGAAGTAGGGTCCTCCCAGAGCGGCGAATACATGGGTTAGTTTGATTATGGATTAATTAGCGCGGGGAACATGGTTGATTTAACTTCATTACTTCATGTATTCTCAACGTAATAAAGACATCCATTTAATTTCATATTGAATCAACTAATTACAAGTCTCAATTCCTCAGACTGTTCAATATTGAATAAATTTGTCCATTCTGTTTCACCCAAAAACAATTCAACAAACTCACAAACAAAACCACTCCGTATATGTTCTGAGATATTGGAAGCCTTTTCTGCATCTTTACACGTAAATTTGGAGAAAGGAACATATCTACTCGTCAAGGCTGAGCTCGATTGGAAGGCAACATTATAGCTATCTACTATCTATCCAATGTCTACTTCTAACGAAGAAGAGATTCCTGCACCTGGCCAGTGGCCGGTCGACCCGCAGACCGAAGTCCCTATTTCAAAAGACCGGATTTGGGTTGATGGATGTTTCGATTTCAGTCATCATGGTACGAATCATATCGTCAATACCCTCAACGTATATTAATATCATAGACTATACATAGGCCATGCTGGTGCCATGCTACAGGCAAGGAAACTAGGAAAGGAATTGTTGGTTGGCATTCATTCCGATGAGGCAATCCTTGAAAACAAAGGCCCAACTGTCATGACTCTCACCGAACGGTTAGTCCACACGTCAAACCTTGCTTAAAATATCATCCCTAAAGCTTCCCAGTGTTGCCGCTGTTGAGGCGTGTAGATGGGTTACAAAGTCTGTTCCCCATGCTCCCTATGTAACCTTCTTGCCTTGGGTATCACATTACGGTTGCCAATATGTTGTCCACGGCGATGACATCACCTCGGACAGCAATGGTGAGGACTGCTATCGCTTCGTCAAGGCAGCTGGTCGATTCTTGGTTGTCAAGCGAACTCCAGGGATTTCTACCACTGATCTAGTTGGTCGAATGCTTCTGTGTACCAAAAACCATTTCGTCAAATCTGTCAAAGAAACCATAGAGGGAAATGAAGGATCTGGTAGCCCCCAAGACAGAAAGGATTCTGGGGCGGATTTACTGCAGAGATTAAGAGATTACGCTACAGACCAGACGGGTTTGAAACCGGGGCCAGAAGTTTGGATTTGGAATGGCACTGAGAGAGCAAAAATTGGCCAAGGCATCGAAGAGGCCGGGATTTTCGAAAATTTAATCCGTGGTGTGCCACCAAATCCCGGGCAACGTATTATTTACGTAGATGGTGGCTTCGATCTCTTCTCGTCGGGCCATATCGAGTTTCTTCGGCGAGTGTGGTCCATCGAAGAAGCTGAGGCTCAAAAACGTGGATGGTTTGAACCCGCTGAGAAGGAAAAAAGAATCTCTCTTAAGGGTGAAGACTACGGTCCCGCCTACATTGTTGCTGGTATCCACGATGACGCAGTTATCAATCAATGGAAGGGTCTCAATTATCCGATCATGAACATTTTTGAGCGAGGTCTATGCGTTCTTCAATGCAAGGTATGTTGATTTCCCAACATGTGGTTTATTCCTAGACTGATTATACGCGATAGTATATTCATACTATCGTTTTCTCAACGCCATTCGCGCCAACGAAACCATTTTTACAAGCAATGCCATGGGGCATTCCAGATGCGGTTTACCATGGACCGACTACGTTTATCCCTCTAACCTATGATCCTTATATTGCTCCAAGAGAGATGGGAATCTTCAGAGAAATCGAAGCCCACCCATTTCAAAATGTGAATGCTGGGGAAATCGTCGAAAGAATACTAAAGAGTCGTAACGCTTACGAGGCGAGGCAACGTGCAAAACTACAGAAAGGCGTCATTGAACAGCATACAAAGCAGAAGGAGGCGTCAGGGTCACGGGTTGCTTTGACTTAATGGCTGATGAATAAAATATTGCATGGCCAATGTCACGTCAAGTTATTCATCATCGTCGAACACCTTCGACTGAATTGTAGGTGCAGGGAGCCTACAAGGAAACTCAAATAGAAAAGCGTAGATTACTAGCTTCATATAACCGAAGTTATGTATATGAAATACAACAAAATGACTTGTATATCAATGTCTAAAATTGATAGTTCGCTCGCCTCTCTAAGAATATCTACATTATAAACGTCATCAAAAAGTAAAAACAAGTGCAGGTCATCAGATCGTTGATTAGACGACAGAGTATCCAGGAAAGATACAAGCGTCTCAAGGACATCGTGGGGATTTGAAATAAGAGCTTTTTCTATGCGCCGAAAATGTGTGATATCACCCAAGAAAAATAACGCCATGTCGATAAGCCGATGCAGTGTCAAAGTTTATGCAGTCGCTGAGCCGTAACCAAGTTCAAATATAAGACAAATGATCAAGTTGATTTGAGATGCTCCTTCTCCAGTTCTTTTTGTTCTCCAAAGACGCGCCGACTCATCTCAAGGACAGCTTCGAAGCCTTCACGGCCTCGTTTTGCATTTTGACTGAATCGCTCGATGCTGGCTTCTTCGACTTTGTTTTTGATCTTCTGCCAACCACTGCACAGTGCAGTGATCATAGCCTCCTGCTGGAAATCTGTTTTTGTGCCTGGCATTGACCGTGAACGTTGGTATACAACCGTCTCTTTAACATTGAGGACGTTGGACCATGTGAGATTTGTGGAACACATAGTCACCTTCTTTTCCACGGGGTCGACATATGAGACTTCGTATACGTAAGAAAGCGGGCTGCCTCCAAAGAGTGACAACACCCAACGGGGAACAGTCTGCTGGCAGGTTATTAAACGCTCCGTGCGTAACTAGACACCAACACTGTTAGTGATGCTTGGATCGGTTTACTAGTCTTGAACGCATCTGCAAGTACTCACAAGACCTGTGGATGGCTCCACCGTTCTGGAAAGCGTATCAACAGCCTTCACATGCGTGGACTTGTCATTCCAAGGGCAATATTTGCGCCAGTTTGCGGTGGAAACCTCTTCCCACGAATAATCGAAGGTGCAGTCGGACGAAAAGACCTTCATCTTTACTTTCTTTATTCTTTCTATTGACCAAGGCGCAGGAAAGATGGCGAGGTTTGAGGCCGTTGCCACAAACAACTCGGTCGATCGAGACGATCAGGGCGGAAAGCCCTCGCAATGAATATAAGGGGGCAAGAACGAATAGAACAGCCGGCTTATCGGGGATCTAACGTCTGGCGTCTCTGGTTGACAAGGACAAATAAATGATCGATGTCGTCTATCATGTAACTCATATAACTGCGAAAACAACGGGGAGTCTTGTGAAAAGTGAGCGTGAACGATGATGAAAAAAAATGGGTCGATAATCCTGTCCTCGGCGGGCCCGCTCTCTCGCCGCATCTGATTGGTTCTGAGTTTTCACTGACCCGAATCGTCCCGCTTCTCTTCTCTTCCAACTTAACTCTTGCATTAACTAACTTACTTAGTTATTAGTTATATAAATGTTATTTGTGACAATGCTAACCTACTAGGTCTGGCTGTGTGCAATACTATTACTGCTGGTGCATGGAAATAGCTTATAGGGAGAACATGCGCGGCGTTGGTATAGCTATGAATGATTGCCGTCTGTGGCGAGGGTTCATTACCCCTGGGGAGCCCTCATGAGAGAAACGAGACAGCCATAAATTAGATCATTGATCGAATACAGTATTGAATATTGGCTGATTCTCCAATAGCATAACGCTGCGGAGTGCAGACCAGTCCATTGTGCATAGAACCTTTCCTCTGATCTGTCAGACTGTCTACGAGAATAATGTGTAACACGTTATTATTAATACTGTGTGATACACAAGCACATCCTGTTGACTACATATAACGTCAGTTACTGATTAACTCTTTATCAAAACACTACATACAGTATGTAGCAATTAGTAACGCGTCCTCGTTCTTGACGGCCTAATTAGACAGGTCGTACTTGTGTGACTTTTTGGCATGGAGAATCTGAATTAGTCTCGGAGGCGCAATTAGCCCTGTCTAGACGCGCAAGGAAGACCGCGCGACGCGTTCATCTTTTCGTCTTTCCATATACCGCCTCGCCTTGCTACTACACTTCTCATTTAGAACGAGGTCGACTAGCTGAATCCTGATTCTACCATCTGTCTATTTCCTTGCATAGTATTTGTTTTGCCATACATCATCACAATGGTTGAGCTGAGAAAACGTAAAACGCCGCCCTCTGCAGCCGCACCGGCACAAGAGAAGAAACCAAAATCGACCAAGCCAAAAGGAAAAGCTGAATCGACACAAGAGAAGAAGAAAACCAGCAGTGCATCTTCAAAGACCCCGGTGCCGAAGACTGGAGAGACGATCTCATTAAAGGGGTTCGGTGGAGAGATACAAACAAATGATGGCACATCCACAACCTTGGAGGCTTTGGTCGCTTCAAGCAAATCTGGGATTGTCATTTTCACTTATCCTAAAGCTTCAACTCCAGGATGTAAGTTATCATAGGCTCTTATATTCGGACCTTGGTTCGATTGGACAACCATCATAGTTCTTATGATAAATATTCCAACACGAAACGTGCTCACTATCTATTAGGCACCAAGCAAGCTTGTATGTTCCGCGATAAGCATGAACATCTGACTTCGACTGGTCTATCTATCTATGGTCTCTCCGCCGACTCCCCCAAGGCAAATACAACGTTCAAGACCAAGCAAAACTTGCCATACCCGCTACTCTGCGACCCAAATGCCACTTTGATTGGGAGTCTGGGATTGAAAAAATCCCCTAAGGGCACAGTCAGGGGCGTGTTTGCAGTGGATAAAAATGGGAAAGTTCTGCTCTTGGAACATGGCAGTCCAGTTGGTACAGTCGACGCGGTGGAGAAGATTGTGGGAGAAGCAGCCAAAGATGAAGACAAGGCCGAGGAGGCGGAATCGAAATGACCGAAGGCAATACCTAAGTAACTGATGTTACATTAACTCATGAACTCCTACACTATAATTTGGTTCTTTGAACCTTCTATTTCATGTCGTTGTGCAAGGTCTAGCGAGTCAAAATATAGCGAATATCAAAGAACTCAGATGCAACGGGAACATTTCTAGTTCTTAGCGTATTAAACATCCTTACTGCATAGTAGACCTATATTCACTAGAAAAAGCGATGACCTGTTTATCGTCAGTCATTGCTGGCAGTTCATAATTCGTATTAATACAGCTATTTCAATTGGATGTCGGGACGGAAAAATGTTGCGCCACTTGCCGAACGTCCATCATGGCCGACACATCGTTACGATCAACCACCGGACAACCTGTATGTACAGCACGCCCATTTCGGTAAGATATTACCACATATTGCTATATATTGACAGGCCACTCTAATTGATTCGGCCAGACTATGTCTCGAGAAGCGGTAAAGGCGGCAACATCCGCCGCGAATGCCATCTCAGTCCACAAGGTAGGGTATTCTTTTTCTTCATCAAGTTTGTTTGGTGAATACTGAGAGCCAGTAGAAATATACAGTTCAGTCAACAGGAATCTGGGAACGCCTCCGACGAGTTCTAGCTATCGATGCCAACCGGTCTACCGGTGTTCCTCTCAACCCTCAATTTCGCAACCCTACTCCGGGCGCCCTTCCCCCATTATCTTATGATGACCCTGTCACCGTTCCAGCCGCTGACATCGCTGATAACCCGTACTGGAAACGCGACGCCAGAAGAAACTATCCAAAACTGAGCGTTGTCAACCAAGGTGACGCGGTAGGATTGTTGACAGTAGGCAGCAAACAAGCGCCGAAAGAAGACATTCTTCAAATCGGAGAAGCGGGAGAGAAGCAACTGGTTAGCATCAAGCAAGAGGGAGAAGATCGAGGCCTTGCAGCCATCTTTGAAAAGGACAAGAGTAACGTGCAAGGTGTTCTGGGGTCTGATGGTCTTCCGCCACTTCCTACCAAACTCAACACATCGTCAGAGTATCAATTGGGCTCTGGTCAAGGCTACCCAGAAAAGTTAGTCATTTAAATGCCTTGTAGAACACATTGCCATTACTGACATCTTGATAGGTACCCTTGCCGTACTTTCGTTTAGTACTGACCAATGTCAAACCACCAACGTCTTTCTCATTTAAAACGCTTGTTTCTTGATCGCTATCTTGTTAATTCATGTACATTCTGTCGCGTATTGATACTGCGGTAGGAGTTACTTTTTAGACTGCAATCCACAAGCTCTGTATAAATCAATGCCCATTTTCTCTACCACTCCACGCATTGTTCGGAATGTTCATACCAAAAATTCTCGATCTCTCATTGCACGGATTTTGCTTCTATTAGAAATACGTTCATTATTAAGATGAGATTGCTAGAAATTAGTAGCTTGCTTTTGCAAGTAATTATTATTCAGTGGGGCGATACGATAAATCGGGTGCATGACTATGCATTGAATGAATATTTAACATTACTTTACATTCTGCTGTGATCTTGATGTCACTATTTCCTTGCCAGAATCGAAGAAACTATCGCCGACCTAGGTCACATCGGCCCGTCAACATTCAGAAAGGTTTCTTGAAATCCTTAGTCAAATGGATTCGTGCGTGTTCCCCACCAGGTAAGGAACAAGCTAAGACCAACAGTCTCGAATGCTCTACTAAGAGCACCCACAGCAACTGTATCGAGTGGTCGTTTCTCGGTGAAGATTTGGGCAACAAACTGGACAAATCAGAATGGTCACAATCTTTAGAAAAGAGGTTGAGGGTAAGGAGTAGACTTACACCAGGAGCCGCACTGGCGAAGAAGACGAGAGTTCCTAGGTAGGCTGCTCCTTTGTAGGTCAAGGTCCCGGTGGCATTGATAAGCGCAGCCACGCCATAAGTTTGGACGGCACTTCCGAATAGAGAGCTTCCCCAGGCGGCAACGGCGCTGCTTGTCTCCTTGGACTTGACGAATTCTTCCTTCGTATTGGCGGCCTGGGCACGATGGTAAGCGTCGCCAAACACGGGCGCCAGGATGCCCAACGAGGCGGTATGGGTGAAGATGGTACCCAAGGCGATGGCCGAGGGCTTCACGGGAGGGAGATCTGCAAGTCCTATTGATCAGCATATCCGGGGAGCGCGTGAGACAATTCCACAAGACAGACGTACAGTGTAGAGTAGTCATGTTGCTAGATCACAGTTGACTTTTTGGAAGCGACTGTGTTGAAGCGATGTCAATAAATAACGGAGGCGACAGACGGTACTGTTTAAGGTGATAATCAGAACCAGTGTTCAATTCTCTAGGCTCTGCATATGCGAAGCAAGGATATTGGCGCAGAAGCACGCAGCCAGGTCTTATATTCGCCGTATGGCGTATGCTAGCCGCAAATAGGCGGATGACGTCGCCATGACCGAAACGGGTGTCGTGGGGTTTGGGTCGAAGTTTCGCCAGTTTTTGCTGCCAAGGCGGCGTCTGAGTCTGAGTCTGGAGTGTGTGGTCACAGGAGAACTCGACTGCAATGTGGATTGGCGAGCGTCTTCAAAGCATGATGAGCCAGTAGGAACCAGGAAGAGCCGGTCAGTGACGTCACGCATTTCGATGAAAACAGAGGACCGATCATCGCATCATCGCAGCTCGCCGGCAGTATTAATACCAACAGTTATACAAATGTGAATTTCGTAGCCGAGAGAGCATTGCTACGATTGGTCGAAGAGCATGAAGTGCAGACGACGCCGTTATTCAGGGCGAACCCCATGGCGCTGAAAGCAAGCCTCTGAAGAGCTGAAAGAAGCATTCAAATCAGTGGAGGAGAAATTAAACCACGGCACACAGTGTAACCAGCGTACACACCACTATATCTTCCATCATACAATAAACTGTGAGTGTCAAGTGTAGACTCGTATCTGTAAGCTGTGAGATAGTTGCTGGAAGTAACGATGTAGCAAGGTGTAATTACATAATGAGGGAGTGGGTCACGGCACGACCACTCGTTTTCCCCTCTCCCCGGTTCAGTGAAGACTCGGAGGGACACCGTCAATCATCTTCCTTCTTGGCCTAAGCGATCTCGGATCTACACCCGTTGATGCACGGAGAACCAACTGATCTGTGCCGTCATCATTCGCTGACCTGACATCTAGATGACCTCGATTCGACAACCACACGCCTTAGCCAAGGAGGGCTTTCCTAACCCGTCTAATGCTTCTTCTGACCTTTCGTATACCACCGCAGATTCTGATTCCGACGATGATGCTGACCTCATGATTTTCGAGTCACTGATTCCCATCCGAGACATAAAACAAGCTGGCACAATAAAAGTCACGTTCGATGGTCTTTTAAAGGAACCGCTCGTACTCCAAGAGGACCTGAAAGAAGGATGTGGGGGGCAACTTTGGCCAGCAGGCATGCTGTTAGCGAGATACATGCTCCAAGAGCATAGAACAGATCTCGTTGACAAGACCATGTCTGTATACCCTGAGCAAAATGTCGAAAGGCTGACTTGGAATCTCGAATTTGGGCTCTCGCTGACATGCTTTTTTTTCTGGCTATGAATAGAGTCGAACTAGGAGCAGGAGGCGGTCTAGTTGGATTAGCTGTCGCCCAAGGCTGCAACACTAATATGCCCATCTATATCACCGATCAAGTGCCGATGCTTTCTCTAATGCAAGCAAATATCGCTATCAATCGTTTGACGAGCAAGGTGAGCGCAGCTGTGCTGGATTGGGCCTCACCACCATCCACAGACCTGCCACAATACCCCGCTGTCGTGCTTGCTGCAGACTGCGTCTACTTTGAGCCGGCATTCCCTTTGCTCATCTCAACACTAGAAAGACTCCTAGGCCCGGAGTCGGTATGCTATTTCTCCTTCAAACGCCGTCGACGAGCCGATGTACGTTGCATTAAAGCAATCAAGAAGAAGTTTGCTGTCGTGGAAATACACCAATATCCGGGCTGCCACGATTACTCAAGAGAGAATCTATTTCTTTACCAAATACAAGCACGCAGTCAAGGTGTGCAGTGGCGCAGTGACAAAAACTCGGTTATAACGGTAGAATAATATGACTTAAGAGCTGTGTAAATGGAAGAAGAAAAATGAAATCAATACATCACAACTTGAGTCTGCCTGCTTGGGCCTCTGTTGCCTTCGACTGATACTGTCCCTCTACAGTTTTTAACTGCCCCTTCTCGCCTACTATATTGACGCCACCCTTTTTCAAATCTGATAATATTTGCTGTCCTTCGTCAGCCTTTGTTTTTGATGTGGAGGTCGACTTGGCGTTTTTGAAACTCTCCTTCTGCTTCCGTCTTCTCTTGGACTTGTCTTCTCTGCTCATTTCGTCTTTAGCCATAGACACACCGCTTCTTGATACAACTTCCCCTCCAAAGCCATTCTTATCTTTGGCCTTGTAAATTTCCTGTGGCGCAAGAGTTGCTTGCTCCCCTATGGAACCTGCTCCACTAGGGCGTGCTTCTTCCATCATGACGGTGGCGACATCCGCAATCACGTTGATGTCGGGCTGGGGAATTTTAGGTTTGTAATGCCAATTGGACAAAGCGTCAAGCAAAGAGCTTGTGTTCTTCCATAACTGTTCAATTTCACCGTAGCTGCGCTTAAGATTTTCATCTTTCTCGTCAACAAAATTGGGATCGTTCATTCGTAAGTGATCTTTCTCATACAAATCGGCAAGACTCTGCTGAGGTTTGCTTTGGTCGACAACAACACGTCCCCGACTGGCCTGGGTACGCTGTATCATGTCGGGCAAACGCTTTATCACTTCATCAAAGTCTTTCGCCAGTATCCTCTGTTTGATCAACTGCTCAATTAATTCTGATGTTTCATTCGTCACGACTGGCACGGGCTTTCCAATGCGCTCAAAGTCAAGATCATTCTCTATGAGGGAGTTGACTGGCCGTTCTGTGGCCCTGGCTTCACCTGCGAGCATCCACCCCTTTTTTGCGACGTTGGCTAACTCTAAACGACGAATCTCGTCTGCAATCTTGGCTCGTTGCCTTTCATGTGTAGATCGACCTTCTTGCAATTCATTGGAATTTGCATCGATCTCTTGATCTGAGCTCTCAGAGAAATCCTCAAACAAATCACGGCGAACATCGGACATAGCAAGTTCAATATCATCATTATTCTCAATTTGGGATGGTTGTGTTTTCGGAAGGGGCCTGGCTTTTTGGTGTGAGACTTTTCGGGGAGGAGGTGCAAAAAAATCGTTGTATTTTATTTCAGTAGTGTCAATCCAGTCAGTTTCGTCAATTATAGCGCCTTGCACATTTTCATCGCTTTCGTCGCCCAAAAGGTCGACATCATTAAAGATTGGCCCATCTTCACTAGCTGAACTTTGGCCATCATCATCTTGATTAGGGCTGCTCTCGCTCTTTTTATAAGTCTTTGGAGCCGATAATCCGGCAGCCGCAGGATCAATGTGCCAGTCTATGTCTTCCTCGTCACTAAACTCCTCCTGTGCACCCTTGGCATCCATATTTTCCAAATACTCCGTGTTCTTGTTGAATTCGTCGATAGAGAAGAACCCATCATTCAGATTAAATGGGTCTTGAACATACGTTTCTGAAGAGGGACTTTCGGGTATTGACGATTCATCTTCGTCAGACAGCTTTTCCAAATCCATGTAATCCTCGTATTCATCAAAGTCCTCCAACTTTTCGGGCATTTGTTCCAAGTCGCTGGGATTTTCTGGGTCTGAATCAGAGTTTTCATTTTCAGAGGAAGGTACATCTTGCTCGGAAACCTTGAACTGGCGCGTTTGTAGATCGTCTTGGGGATAGTTCGATCGCTGAGAGGGCTTCGAAGGTGTGACAATATCCTGGCTCAATTGATTGCTTGTGTCGGTTATTATTCGCACGGCCTGTTCCCATATTTGGTCGATAGAAAACCCATTCGTATATAGTGGCTGAGTGTGATTTTTGCGCTCAACGCTCTTTTTCAAAATCCCCGAGCCATGTTTACTGTACTTCAGAGAATTATTGCTACTGCGTCGAAGGGTTGAATGGCCCACGGTCAGTGGATCAAGAAAGCTCTTGGCTGCAAGTCGTGATGCGATGTGTAACTGATGTGATGGGCGTAGAAATAAATGCGGCGTGGATGAAATAGACTCGCATATCGAGGATCCCTCCATTTTCACTCTGTTGGAAAACGGTCAAATCATTCAAAACAACAGGTTGATTTGATATATTATTGTCATTATTCTCGTGAAGGAAGTAACTTTTTTTTGCCGGCCCACTTTTATTTTTGAGAGGCGGTGAGACTATTAGAGCCACTCCGGGGCTGGCAGTATAGAATACGCCCAATCTTACAACAATGTTAATAATAATACAGGGAGGGATGTCCGCAACTATCATAAAGCATGCCGCCTCCGATGGTACGGATGAAATTCAGACAAGTATCCCAAGCTATTGTAAAACAATGTTGAGTCCACCAAGACTTATGTCCTATCCGTCACTTGTGGATGACGGTCCTGATCCTTTTGGTTTGTTTCGGCTACTTTTTTATATATAGATGAGCTGGGTTTCCAAATGATATAATTGAACTTGTTCCGACTAGAAAATACATGCTTGGTATCATTATTTCTCCCAAGGTTTTGGCTGCATGAATGACATAGAGGTTACAGCACAGAGACGTCACTCTGACGGTATGTCTCAATGGACCATATATTTTCAGGCGAATCTTCCTCGATGGAATGATTATGTGCAATATTTAGAAAATAAAGCTGATGAAACATTTTCGGTTTAATTCCACTTCTACTGATATATGCCATACGGTCCTAGGATGGGTCATACGTCACAATTTCAGCCAGGTACAAGAAAAATTAAAATATATCTTTCACAGGGTTGGTTTTCTGACTCTTTCATAGGGCATCAAGTCCCCATTCACCATCAGGAAAAGCCAGGATGGCAGCATATGATGCTTGATCCGAAACCAGTCTCTGATCAGCTCCCAACCGATGATGGCGGCTATCAGCCGTACAAACCAGCAGGGAAATTAAAAGACAGGCGTGCTGTGATAACTGGGGGTGATTCTGGAATTGGGAGAGCTACTGCCATTCTTTACGCAATGGAAGGCGCATCAAGCCTTATTACCTATCTTCCAGTCGAAGAAAAAGACGCTCAAGAAACCAAGAAGAAAGTCGAAGAGTATGGCAGTAAATGCTACCTCTTCCCAATAGATCTGCGCACAAGGGAGAATTGCAAGGCCGTCATTGATAAAGCTGTCGAATGTCTTGGCGGAATTGACATCTTGGTGAACAATGCTGCTTTTCAAAACATGATACAGGATATATCAGATCTTTCTGAGTGAGTGATACTAAAAGAGCATTCTCTTGAAGTATTGTTAATGAAGGAGTAGGGAACAGTGGGAAAATACCTTTAATACGAACATACATCCTTACTTCTACCTGGCAAAATATGCAATGCCGCATCTCAAAAGGGGTTCCACGATCATCAACTGCGCATCAGTGAATCATTTCATTGGAAGGGGTGACCTACTTGATTACACGTCCACAAAGGGGGCCATTGTTGCATTCACTCGGGCATTATCAAATCAGCAAATTGGCAAAGGTATTAGAGTGAATTGTGTTTGTCCTGGTCCGAGTAAGTCGAAGCCATAGGTTTTGGATACTTAGGCCAGTTTGCTAACATCACTTAGTATGGACACCGTTGATACCTTCCACAATGGAAACAAAGGCGCTTGAACAATTCAGTGAGGTGCCGATGGGACGCCCAGGGCAGCCAAGTGAAGTAGCTACTTGTTTTGTATTCCTAGCCAGTCCCGACAGCAGTTACATATCTGGGCAGTGCCTACACCCTAACGGTGGTGTGGTCGTGGGTAGTTAAAAAGTACTTTGTATATGATTTTATGCATCCACATAGAATCCGAAACTCAACGGGCCCGATTAGGATGCGACGCCCCTGGGTAGAGACTATAAGAAATAAAAGGAACCCGCATCCTCTCACGGAACTTTTGCACTTAATCAAATAATAGCGAGTAACTCAGCCATAAATGGTTACAGAAAAAGCACAAAGGAAATCGAATAAACGAGCTGTCTGGATACTACCAAATTCAAAAATGGTCATTTTAACAGTGAAATTCCTTTTTGAAAGTATTCACCAAGAATTTGAAAGTACCCGAAAGCAATTTGGCCAATGAAATAATCCAGGTAAATCTACATCTAATATACTAAACAGAAGATGAAATCATCTATCTCCTGTACCACATGCGTGTTATTTTTGTGTGCCGCATTTTCTTTTGAAGTTGAAAAATCCCATACATAAGGGCTTCTGATGTTGGAGGACCTGGGAGACATTAGCATCAGCTTTGGCAGACGAGTCATATAACTTACAGCCGGGAACGTAAATGTCGACTGGAACAATGCGATCACAGCCACGAACAACCGAGTAGCTGTAATGATAGTACCCTCCACCATTTGCACAGCTACCCATACTGATAACCCAGCGAGGATCTGGCATTTGGTCATAAACTTGGCGAAGAGCAGGCGCCATTTTATTAGTCAGGGTCCCGGCAACGATCATAACGTCAGACTGTCTAGGAGATGCCCGGAAAATAATACCCAGTCTATCCTGATCATATCGAGGAGTTGAAAGATGCATCATTTCCACAGCGCAGCAGGCTAGCCCGAACGTCATAGGCCATAACGAGCTCTGGCGGGCCCAGTTTGCGATTTGATCAAGGGTTGTCCTTTTGATCACAATCAGTTGTTAATTTCCTTTTTCTTTCTTTCTTGTTTTGCTGCATGTAGATGACACAATGTCGGCATATTTGTACTTACAACGCATACTGCATCGCACCTTCTTTCTTTTCTTGGCTTGGAAGAGGTACCTCCCTCCGTATCTTTCCCGAGGCTGTCAAAGAACTAGTTTCCGATCGGTTTTGCACGGCAGAGGCAGACTTCAGCGACGAGGTAGAAATCCATGCTGCTTGCGGCACGAGCCTGGTGATTGAGGTCGGACGTGCATATGCTATTGTGTGTTAGAGAGGAGGTATCTGAGGAAGGTGGCAAGACGTACGGCGCAATTGCCCAGACCGGGCTACAAAAGCCATTTCAAACAGCTGGGTGAATTCAACGCACCCTCAGCGTAAGAATGAGAGAATGCTGAAATCTTGGGGTGCGAGCTTACGCTAGAGACACGATGTGATAAATGAGGTTGAAAGACCGAAGGACTGCAACCTGCGGGCCGTCCTTGGCATCCATAAATTACCGCCGAGCTGCGTATAGTCACGCATCCGCTGCGTAAGTTAGTAATACTTGTAATTAATTACCCGCAGAACAAGCATCTCACTCGATTCACGAATTTTAGAGACTGTCACTCGTTGGACCAGCTTGTCGCGCAATTTGAACTATGGCTCTTCCTTCAATCGCCTGCGTTGCCTTTGTGGCAAAGAATGTATGTATATAACTGCAGGCTTGGTCTGTGGTTGCAAGCTTAGCTGGTTTTCTATAGGACCATCCTCTACATATCACAGTCTTCCCTCCGTTTGTCGAGTCTCGCCTCAGGTTTTCGTTTCTGATAAATTCGTCTCTTGATATTTTCGATCTTCGCACCAAGGATACATTCATAGACCAAGACTTAGGCCTCTTACAAGCTTTTGACGAAAACTTAGCAGTCTATGGCTGGCTCACTAATACCGGGGTCAAGATCTTGATTATTGTCAATCTTGCAGGTGGTCGATTACCGCCGGAGCCAGAGAGACGCAAAGCCACCAGAGTCACAGGTATCAATGATTCGGACTTGAAACCTGTAAGCTCCGAGATCTTTGTGTCGCTTTATCGTGGTCGCTGATAATGCTCTATGTAATAAGGCTTTTCGAGCATTGCAAACCGCATACATCAAACTACTACAAAACCCTTTTTACAGTCCAGACAGCCTCGGCTCCAAACCACAAGACTCCGCATCAAAAGCCTCCATAGGCATCACAGACCAAAAATTCATTTCCGAGGTGAAACGGGTTGGCGAAAGTTGGTCTCCAGGTCTTTCTAGCATCTAATCCTAACAACAGAGGTGGTGGTTGCGTTCCCACTTACCCCTCGCAATCGTCTCCTTAATTCAGTCGTACCTTGATACTTCGAATGAGCACCGTTCTATCTAAGAAAAGAGGCTTGATTTGGTGATCATTTGCCTCTTTAGTACTACGTGGAGATGAAGGTATGGCCCATCACGGGGGGTACCATATACTTAAGATAGGTGTCGTTTTAATGTCAAGGTATTGACATATTTGCACAATTGCCATTTGATGACATCCTTTCAGAGCCAACTCATGATGAACGACTAACGACATTCCACCATGGTTTCAGATTTGTGTCAGATCCCCTTCGCATACTAGAATAACAGCTTGGAATATCATAGCAAAATGTATTGGCTATACCGTGGTTATGCACTTGAAAGTGGAAGAATAATTTGTCTTCTACCAAGATTTGTTGGAACGGGGTATCAAATCCTATGCATTGGCTGGAACAATTTATACATCATCGGTATCCTCGTGCTCTGATTTTTCAAGGGCGTTAATGACATCCTCAACTTCTCTTGGATCACATATCGCCCAGACACCACCACCTTTAGAAGGGATACGGCCGACTTCTTTGCCGACTAAGTTTCTTCCAACCTTTCCTGGGCCTATACCAATCCATCGCTTTACACCTCGTTCCTGATCCAAATATCTGATGCTATCCCACCATCTCACGGTTTCCACGCACTGTCTGGAAAGAAGGTCTTTGAGATTCTCCTTTGATGTGAAAGGCACAGCAGAAACATTAGATACGCATGGCATTGCCGCGGGAAATTTTATATCAGTTGTTTCCAACTTTGTTCTCATATATTGCGCAGCTGGGGCCATAATAGGGCTATGAAAGGGACTGTCGCTTTTCAATCTCACGGCTCGCGGGTCATGACCACCAAATTGCCGCAATTGGACAAGAAGTGTCTTAATTCTTTGAATGCTCCCACTGAGCACTATTTGGTTTTTAGAATTGATATTAGCAATAAGGACCTGTTGTATAGACGACATCTCATAGCTGGAGTCGTCTTTGGAGCCCATCGACCCAGGGCCTAGAAATTCCTGTATCGCTGATATCAAGCTTTGGAGATGATCTGGTTCGCAAATCAATGCAATCATGCCGTAGCTTTCCCCCGACCTTTGCCGAGCCCTCTGGCTACATTGTGCCATTACCTCAGCTCGGCCTCTCACCATTCTAAGAGCGGGTAAAAAGTCCAAATAGCCTCCAGCGACAAGGGCAGAATATTCGCCCAAGCTGTGCCCAAGAGCCACATCAACGCGCTCCTTCGTTTTGAAACCAAATTCCCGCTCCAATATCCGTAGGATGAGTATGGATGTGGCCATGATCGAGGGTTGTGAGTTCTCTGTCTTATTTAGCTCCGAATTAGGGCCTCTCGATACTATACGAGACAAAGAGAAACCAAGTGTACTATCCATTTCATCGATAAATGGTTTTGAAGTTTTGGGAAAGGCTTCTACCCATGATGATATCATACCAACTCGATGGACGCCATGGCCTGGTGTCGTTAGCTCTGTTAACATAATTGCAAGAAAGTAAACCAACCAGGAAAGAAAAGGGCTGTACGCAAAGTCCGATTTGCAGAATTGGTTGAAAAAGGCTTGAAAGTGGTGCCACTAATGCACCTGGCTGGAAAGCAAGTTGCTGGTGACATTATCGTGAAGGGGATACTCCAGCCTCATTGTATACTTTAAATTTCAATATCCATTAGCGCTCTCACATTTCAGCCGTTCAAAGTCTTGCAAAGCATATGTGCGTAGATAAGAAATCAGAGGTCATATTGGAACACTCAATCAACTGAGGAAGCGGCAGTAGTATTGAACCTGAGCATGTAGCTACCTGCCGCGGGCCGCCAGAGCTTGGTGGTTACGGGGGGTAACGCGTTAGTCCAGATACAGTTAGCCCAGAAACAAACATCTGAAGCCCCAAGATAGAGCTAGCGCTTTGAAATGTCAACAACTCAGCATTGCTTCTCTGGTAACATGCGACAGTTCTTCGGCCACCTTATTGCTCTATACCAGCAAAACATATGCCACCGATAAGGACTCTGAACCAGCACACATCTTCGTCCATGCTCTAATAACAAACATGTTTGCTCCAACCTCAGGAGGTCGCTCTCTCCGGAATCCCCGAAGGCGTCAAAGAACAAGTCTAGACGAATCCGTTAAACCGCCAAATCCCAAGCGCCAGAAGTCTACTTTGCGCGAAAAGAATATCCAGCGTCCAGCGAACGCAACTGCAGACCTCGATGTAGAGAGTGATCAACCTTTAATCGATGTTCCTAAGCAATCTTCCAAGATTGACGGCAGAGTTGAAGCGGAGCAAACCATTGCCTTCAGAGGTCCAAAGAAGTTAGAAAATCTAGCTAGCTTGAAAGATTCTACTGTTGTCCTGGTGAGATTACTGTACATTTCTCTGTCTTCAATACTTACATTACGTATTAGTCTTCCAATGACTACTACACTGTCACACAGCTCCCTTTGCCTGAACAGCTTCTAGAAGCAATTACTGGTGAGTGCGAATCTCACTTCACACCATAAGGCTAAATTCGCGGTTTGAATCTAACGGCGTTCTTCGATTAGGTCGAGTACGATGTGTATTCAATACGAAAAACGGGTTCGCGCTTCTTTTGACCGAAACACGGGCTCTTATATGGCCTTATACGGAGGGTTCTTCTCAAATAGGGCCTGAGATTATCTCATTGTCAATGCCGGATTGGTGCAAGAGTGACGGTGTAGCTTTGATGGGAACGCTTGTGTCCAACGTGACATCTACAATTCCGGGATTGCTTGTGGTGGCACCAGTCACTGGAAAGTTGATATATTGGGAAAGTGCATCGAATGCTACCTTGGTGGGAATCCCTAAGCAGAAACAAAGTGGCTTACGGGGTGCTATTCCCGGGCTACTATCCGGCGAACAGGTCACGGATGTCATCAATGCTGAACCCTCAGGTATCATTTTGACTTTTTCAACAGGTAGAGTTGCCCAGGTTACAATAAGAGATCCACAAGGAAAACCTGCTTTGTCCATAAATTTGCTTCATCGGGGCCATTCAAAGTTAACAGCTGGTGGATTTTTTGACGGCATCAGGAGTGTTCTGGGGAGCCACTCGTGGCGAAAAGAAATAGCTGCAGTCAGAACGGGGTCTTCTCTTTTGCGGGGTCAGCGAGATGTGATAATCGCATATTGCACAGCCTTACTTGAAATCTGGGATTCCCACTGGAATAACGTTAACACACTTCGTGCTGAGGTGGATCTACAGGACGATATATACCTTTCGCTGGGGTTAGCAATTGAAAGCAGATCTAGTTGTTCCGTTCGAATATTAGACTGCATTGCTAGTCATGAGGAACAAAAGTCACCTCATTCCGGCGAAGTACAACAGGAGACTACACTCTTCTTTCTTGCACTTGTATCTCACGACACATCAACAAAAACACTTGCTGTTGTGAGGGGCGTATTTCTTCACGACAAGCTGGAAATCCGATCATCGCATAAAATTGACAACCCCGATATCACCAATGAAATTGACAGACACAGACCGAAGTTACATATAACAAAACCTTGGAACACGGCATTCATTGTCATGGAACAGAGGGTATGGATTATTTCGCTGGCATCGATTGAACCTACACCTTCTGCGCAACTGTTGGAAAGTAGCACTCCCAGGCCATTCCAGGATAGAGTTCAATTTCAAACCGGTGACAAATACGAGATAATTGGAACTGGGTCACATGTAGAGGAAGGCTCCCAATCCGAAATCCCAACGTGCGTTGTTATGTTGAGGGAGTTTGGGTTGATACGGATATCAGCTTTGTCTTCCCAACTAGAAACCGATGACGGTGCGCGTGTCACCGCTAAGCAGAAGATTGAACAAGCCGTATTTTTTGGTACTATGTCGAATACACCGTTGAGTTTCATTGAGGATGGTGGGCCAGCCTTCTCTGTTCAGGAAATTGAGGACGCGGCATTAGAAATATGCAAGGATATTCTTCGGTCAGACACCAAATTCATCCCTCACGCCAATATATCACTCGACCACAATCTGCGTCTGCGCTCAAAGGCGTTGGGCGATTTGGCCGCAGAACTACTTCGACGCAGGGTGCCGTTATCGAGGCAGATTCGATGGAAGCTGTTGTCGGCTGGTGAGAAATTGGCTTCTCAGAGATCCATTTGGAAGTTAGAAGAAGAGTTTCGCAAGAAATATAACTCGCAGACTTTCTTGGCGCGCGCCATCGGCCTCATGAATGAAAAATTCAGAACAAAACATGGTTCAATTGGATCTCATCAGAGCGACCATGTGCGTCAATGGTTTTTCCACGATACTTTTCGAATGCAACACATCATTCCCTGGATATTCAATACTATACGAGGGTCAAAAGGCTCTACTGGACGATCCGGTACTGCCTTTATTGCTCAAATATACCAAGCAAGCGAGCTCTCCCTTGCAGTATTAGAGAGCGCGTTTCGCTTCAGGGAAGATCATGCATTGCAATATGGCCTTGGAGAAGAATTGTTTGAAAACGGAGTGCTAGTATCTGCTTACAACAATCTTCCCGAGTTCTGGACATCGGAGAGCATGGTCTACAGTGAAACCATGAGCATGCTTGATTTGGAGCTTGAGAGTTCTAGGTCCTCGATGCAACAGCCATCGTCAAGTGTCGAGAATGCAGATTCTCTCATGCTGGATAAAATTGCACAGAATAGTTGCCGCAGGCTTCGTGTCTTAAATATGATGCTAAATGAAAGATCCCGATGGTTATCAGTGCAAAATGACCCAAAAATTAGAGAAGAGGGCATTTCCCTGAAGGAAGATAACCAGAAAAAAAGAAAGTGGCAACTCTTTAAAATGGCTGGGATTGGTCAACTTGAAGGGGCGATTTCCTTAGCTGAGGAATTACGTGACATGGATGCGTTAGTAGAACTGATGGTAGAGCTTCAAGATCAAATCAAGAGTCATAAGGATTCTCTTGAGAATGGATCGAAAGGCTTGTCTCTGACTGTCAAGGATATATCCGGTTTTACACAAAAGATAGCTGACTATTTCGAAAACTTTGGGGAGCAATGGGCTGATGCTTTCTTTTCACGACAAATCAGAGTTGGTCAATCCGGGGTCTTGTTATCGATGAAAGACTATCAGCCTTACGTCACTCGATTCTTAAGGAAATATCCATCCTATGGTCGACTAGCTTGGATTAATGAAATTGTTGGGGAAGAGGATTATGAAACTGCCTCGGACGCACTCGAAAAGCTTGCCTTAACACAAGAGCCCAATTTGTGGAACAAGCGTGTTCAATTGTCACTCGCCAAAGTAACGAAATTGGCGTCTTGGGAGAAGGCTGGGAAATCTGGAAGAAGCCACGGGCAGGCCTGGTTGAAGCGGCTTGACGATATCGTGGAGCTCGCCGGGATCCAGGAGCTTCTCTATGAACATATACTACCTGCATTGCATGGTGCCATTGATGAAAAGGCAGAGCTTGAGCTCGCAATGGAGCATTTCGGGAATCAAGTCAGTGACCGACCTGCGCTCAAAGAACTCCTCGAAGGGTTGTTGCGGCAGTTAATAAGCAGAGAAGCACTCAACGCCGACCAACTTATCAATCTCATCACCTTGGTGGATGAAGTGCGTTTCTTAGAAGGGGAAGAGAGCGCAGCTTTGGGGCGTGAATTTTATATTGCTCTTCGTGTCCTTCGCCTCAGTGACTATGCATCGACTGACCCTGTTGGCTATGACTTTTTGGAGAGATTGATATGGAGAAGGTGCATTATCAGAGATGATTGGTGCGCAATTCTAAAAGCAGAACCACGATTCGACGATGAGCTGAAGTCGTTACTTCGAGGTACAGCCTTGGTGAAGACCTTGACCGATTGCATTGCAGAAGGTATGTCAATTTTGCCGGTAGAATGCGCAGAGTACTTACAGTCGTGTAGAAGCATCTCAGAAACATGAAAAGGGTAGACTCTACCCCTTATCCAAGCCATCAGAGGCCGTCCAATTCGGATCTTATGAACTGGTCCGAAACCGCTTTAAATCGGAGCAGTGGCCCCATATTGAACGAGATCTCAATTTAGAGATAGACACACTAAAGCGACTCATAGAAGAGGGTCAACTGGCATTATGGTTCCCTGAGATTTTGGGGTTGGCTGAAGAAGACTCCGCTGCAGTCAATGCAGTCAATGACCAGGCGGGGCGGCAATCCATTAGAGCTAGATCTACTTGGGTATAGAATGCAGAATATCATGTATCCATATGACCTCCAGGTGGCTGGCAGATCAAGCAGTCAATCTAAATGCTGACAACTTGCAACAACATCGTGCTGCCTGTACATTCAATGTGATCACCTCCTGGTGATAAGATTGAAATGATTGATATATGTAGGCTGGTGTAGGACTGACTACACGGATGTTCAACTAACTGCAGCATTTAGCCTCCCAGCTAGTCCAAGTGGGCCCGGGAAGTAGCAACCCCGGATCAGGCTAACCAGGAATGGCGACCTGCACTGCGGGGGTTAGCGTCATTGCTGAAGGCTAGCGCCGTTTTTCATATCATGAGGTCATGTGTCCCATGTCCTAATTCGTGTCTCCTGTCTTCTTCCCCTTCTTTCCCTTCTCCCCAAGCAGCCCTAGTTAACCTCTTCGATTGATCCATCCCTTTTCTTTGGCATTGCCTCTTTTCACTCTGTGGTAAGTCAGCCTCCCATCTAGATAACCACACCTACGCCTTGCTACATCTTCGTCTAAGTATCTTCTGACCGAGCCACCAGGGGGTACACGTAAATCGTTACGGCTACTGCAATATTCCACTGCATTCCACAGTGCCACTGGCATCAAGTAATCCTCCTATCCAAGAACCATTACTGTGATATTTCGGCAGTATTTCACAAGTATGTCGGTTATTCTGTGTAATGTCCGCCTATGCTCTACTGACCGGGGTTTTAACTGGTACAGTGACACGATCTCACAAAATGAATGACCGTGATCATGCCGGGCTCTCGGACGGTACAGCGGCAGCTCATGACTCGGTTCCTCGGTACTTTGGAAAGACTGGCCCAGTGGATGCAGATCCCAGAAAGACCAAAAAGGACGGAGGTGGAAAGGGTAACTGGTAAGAAAAGTAGTATTCATAATGAAAAGAATCTTCTCTTACGTTCACTTTTAGGGGCCGTTCGGGTGATGAAGTGCAAGATTTCGACTATAACTTCACCAATGCCCGACGTCGGTCTAATAGCAGCAACCAGGGTCTAGCTGAATTCAAAACTAAATTTGAGACAGTTGATGTGGAGCCCGTATTTGAAGAAGAGGTCCAGAGATCACCCGATAAGAATGGTGATGAGGAAGGTGATGCATCAGCCCAGAAAGCCACCTAGTAGCAAAGACACTATTGACACCTTTCGCATGGGACCCTGACAGTTAAGAGACTTAGAATTCCTACAGAGCTAATAGGTTGGGCTGGATGTCAATATCGCTATCCTTTATTGCCACCAGATGTAACAATGGTTGTCGTAGAAGCTACCTATGATGAACAGGATATCCTATATTCTAGCTATATTCTGGAGTTATATTCCATACACTCCTAAGGGTGCTAAGTGTATACACTCAATATGACACACATGTTAATATATTAGGATTTACACCAGTTCATATCAGACAAAAATATAGACTTTAGGGGGTTCCGCCTGTAGACAACGCCAGTATCAGGAAAGAGAGGACTCCTTTACCCAAACCACATTTGGAGTGTTATAATAAAACTGTTGACACCATACTGCATATGGCCACTTTTTGCGTCCTGGATGTTTTCTCACTCAGTCATGTGCGGAGCAAATGCTCTTTATGTATTATATGTCAACCCTTCTCATTGCCCTGCTCTACACCCCAGTCAACTCAAATCATTGCTATTGGAGGCATCACACATGGGTTTTACTCTCCAAATCCATCTCGCTTATCCACACACACACCTGACACCATGGACGCATGATGACATCTACGTGACAAATTTAATGCATCAGGATCCAGGTATCGGTTACTTGTATTTTACACCCCTTTTCTAGTCCTTGGCGCTATATGCTAGCTCACCTTCCTGCTGGCGGCCACCGCATGAGGGCATAACTCCCTTCGCATTTTAGATGGCTTTTTGAGAAAGTTATCTGGAAAACAGGTAATTAGGCGATTTTCAAATATCTCTCAGTTGAAGTTTGTTGAGTTAGACGATTCAATTAATTTTCTTCCGTTCCTACTACTGCACCAACTATCTTCGTTAGAAGAGGTATGCATCAACATGGGGGATAATGATCTTAGAGAAGAACTGGAGCAATTACAAACTCTTCTTGGCTTATTGAAAAACAAGTTGGAGTCAATAAAATTATCCTGCGAGAACGACGACTGCTCACAGTACAGGATTACCGATTGGAAAAACTTTGAGAAATATTATAAGGAATTGCTTCATTTCATCTAGCTAGCACCAGCAAAGTATGTAAATTGATTGTTTAAATATTGTTGATGGGATTGTGGTTATATCCTGCAGTAAATATAAAGGTTACTCGTCGCTTGCCGCGTCTATTTCCTGATTTGGAGATAAAAAAATTAACACTAGTTTGTTAGCTTCTCAGGAGATATGGTAGACTAAATGACCATTGAAAAGGATATCGAATCGGATCGGATCGATCTAATGATGATGCAATTTATTGAAAGCCACGTGGGTTGACATTTCTATGAACATATATTAAGAACAGATTTGTACTCTCATTTTCTATCAAAGTCCCAGCTTCAGCCCATTACATCAGAGAAGAACCCACAAAGCAGTCTCAAGTCCTGCAACAAGATATTGGACCTCTTACAAGTTCAACCAAGCCAGATTGGGATGGATTAGCTTTACACATGATGCAGGCTAGCAAGCGGCATTCATTAAAGCGGGACAAAAAGCAAGCAAGACTCGATAAAGTTGAAAAAGACTAATCATCCCAATGTCGTCAGTCTTACTGAAGTACTTTACTTTAAAGAGACAGTCTGTCTAGGTTATAATTCTGACCTGTTTGACATACCACTATAGGCTCTATACGCGGCTCCCAATGTGGAGCTGTGGGTTTTTGGGGCTATTGAAACTGTGTCATTGATCATGATGGCCAACGCAAATCGAATACTTCTGAGGGGGAATTGTCATTTATTAATACCGTGACAGACTGGTCGAAGAGATAGAGTGATAGTGGTAGTAGCCGATTAGGTTAAGCCAAAGCTTGTAGTAAACCCACTACAGCAGGTTCTGCTCCATAAAAGGCCAAGGCATACGGAGTATGTCCATACAGAGTACAGCAAAAAAAGATAGTTTGATACTATCGCCTCTAAGCTAAGATATCCACAAGCTTGCGTCCGAGTCCATGCCCCAGAAAGATCGCGGAAACCAAGTCTGCCAAATTAAGATCAGGTTTTGTCCAACTTATTAAGCAACGAGATGCGAGCACAAGAAATTGCTATTAACAGATAATTACAAGCCTAATTTTCTAATCTATGTAACTGTTTAATCATATTTATATATAAAGTATGAACATATTTACCATGTAGTGAAACTGCGCTAAATCAATATTCATCACATGGAACTTTATCAGAGCTTATAATTTTAATAGTTCTGATGATCTCTAAACATGGTTAGACGCCTATAATATTTCAGCCTCAGATTGTTACCTATGATCTAGACAAGCTATTCCTGTTTCTTCGAACCCTCTTCTCTGCAACGAGCTAGCGGTCGAATAGTTACTTATTTATCAAGTAATCCCCCATATACTCTGGAACCATGAAGCTTCTCTCCATCCTTTACAAAGAAGACACAAACATGGATTTCGGTAGGTAGTTAGGTAGTCTACAGATTACATCAAGGGGTTCCGCTGCGTCTCTTTTCACCTACAAAGAGCAATGAGTATAGTACTAGATCGTGCATAAAGAGTTTCTTTTCTATTAAAAAGATTCGGTAGCTCCGACATGCCAATCTAATGAAAAAGGTGATCTTTGATTTTGGTGGAAAACAACAAACAATTCTTACCGAAAGGAACGTAAGCATAACTGTTGAACTATTGCTTTTCTTTGCCTACGGCGATCTATAAGAAAGCACAGATTACCCACAACTAGAACACAATTGTTCGACAATCACGTCTCATCTGTGAAAATTTCAAACTTGAGTCATTCATATATTTATTTCAAAATGAGATTCCAAGACTTCCTCATCCCTCTAGCCCTCCTCTTATATTCCACTTCAGCTGTGGACGATAGTTCCTTCTGCGAGGAAATCCTCACCACGCTCCGTGAAAACCTGGAGTCCCTGTCTCCAGCCCTGCAACTATCTCTCGATAACATCCACGCAAATTATGCAGAGCTCACCAAGGCAGGTATCCAGCCCAATATTGAAGAATACGTGCAGAAAGCCATGACCGTTCTGGTCCAATTTGATGAACTCTTTCAGATGCCAGAGAAAAGTTACTCACAGGCTGCTTCTAATTTCTGTTCCAAGCTGCGGAGATTGCCACCACTGAAGCTCCGGCCAGAGCTAGGAAGCGTGCTTCCCCTTCCAAGCGCAAGCAAAGTCTTACTTCTATTGTGGAGCATGTTGCTAGTCTTGTAAATCCGATTGCGTATGGGGTTCAATGTGGCCTAGAAAAGGGAGCTGATAATGTCAAAGCGGCCGTTCAGAGTGCAGGGGCTTCCCTGGACCAAGAGTCAAATGGAATCGCTGACGTTGCTGGATGTGCCACTGCTGGCTTGGGCAATACAGTGGGAACCGTTCCAAGGTATATTATCACGCTTGCCAAGGCATTAAGTTCTGGATCAAGCCCACTTGCTGGAACCATTTTTGGTGAAAACTCAGGTTATGACTCAGATTGAGAGGATTATATCTAGTGATTCTTAAACTTGACTGCTGCTTATGTTTACTTCTTGCGAATCTTGTTTCGGGTATTTATTTGATTGGTCTCTACTCTGAAGGATATGTTGTTGTAGTAGTAGTAGTAGTAGTAGTAGTAGATTTCATTGACCTAATATAGCTAGCTTTCATACTATCATTACTATACAGGATTATGCCTTAACCTATAGAAAGAGCAAGCATAATATAACCATACAGTAGTATAGCTTAGAAAGATATATTATATAAAAATCTAAACAATATAAAAATCTAAACAATATAAAAGTATAAATAATGTAAATAATTAATAATATCTATAATATTCATTTTTATTATATCTAATTAATATACTATATATATCTAGTTTATATAATATTAATATCTTATTTAAGCTTAATTTATTTAGCTTAAATCTATATTTATATATTCTTTTAAATTATTTTTTATTAAATCTTACTTTACTTTATTTCTATATTTAGATAAGATATTATTATTATTATTAATTTTTATTAATTATAAACTGATTATCACAAGAATCAATAACTTATAGTCAAAAGATATTATAGCAGATATTATTATATAAACATATAAATAGAAATAGTTAACATAATCTAATAGCCATCTATTTATAACAGCCATCTGCCTATTTCTACCTAAAAACGTATTCTATATTGATTTTATAATTTCAACAAGTTACTATGCCACTAATTTACAAGTAAGATCTTTTAAAATCAACTAAAATAGAGAAAAAGATTTAATTAGTTATTTTTAATTTAAAAAATAGAAATATTTTAAGTATTTATAAAGCTATAAAGATCTATACTATTTTTTATATAACGTTCTAAAACTAGTTAAAAAGAATATAATTTAAAACAATAAAATATATTAATAATCATAAATTAATTGAATTTAAGAAGAAATCATTTATTAAATAAATATTAGATTTAAATAAGTATAGATTATCTTCTTAATATTCTTTTATATAAGATATAATTAATTTTCTTTTTTTATAATATAGTTTTAAGCAGATTAATAAGATATAGATATATTAATGTATTAATTATTATTTAGAACTTAAATTAAGATTTATATAAAGATATAACTATAAATATACTAAATATAAAGATCTAAAGATAATCTAAAATTATTTTAACTATATATAAGAGATTATATTATAATATAATATCTTATTAAAAGATATTTATAATTTTAATAAGATTAGTTTTATTATAGATCTCTATATAATTATAAAGATTATAATAAAAAGTAATTAATATAATAGACTATATCTATTATAACTTAATAATTAAAAATAAGATAATCATAATTAAGATAATTAATTCTATTAGATAAATTTTGTTATTATATATGATTTTTAAAGTAAAAAAATATTCATAAAAAGCTTAATAATTAAAAAATCTATATTAGTGATAATAGATAGACAATAGATAAAATTAATATAGATTAATTTATTAATCACTTTATTATATTATTTAATATAGAGAAAGTCCAATTATCTTAGATAATTAAAGTCTAAGATATTACTAAGATTGACTAAAGATATTACTAAGAAAAATATATATTAAAATAAAATTACTTTAGTTTCTATGGTTTTAATAATCTCTTTATTAGATTTATAGAGAGTTAATATGATTTTTATTTTATATATATTCTCATATAAATAAATCTATTTAACTAGATATTAGAAACTTTAAAGTCTTTATTTTATAGTTAATTAAATCTTCTAATAATGATTAATATATGAAGCTTTTTTAATAAAATATTTCTTTTTATTCTAAATAATTTTATATAGAGTCTATAAGAATAATATATAATAACATATATATTAATAGCAAAAATATTAAACTATTTTAATCATTTATAGTATTTAAAAATAAAGTTAGAATTAATCTATTTATTAAAAATAGTTATTAAAATTAAGATCTTAATAATATAATAGATTATAACTATAAAAACAATTATAATAAATTTAATTTATTATTATAAAATTCTTTAAAGATTTTAATATTAATAGCTTTCTAATTTTAATATTAAAAGAATTCTTTTAAAAGAATAATAATCTAAATTATATTATATATCATCTATTTACCTATATATTATAAATCTATTAGTTAGATTTTTAGAGATAAAAATTAGATTAATAATAAAGATTAATTTATTTTATTCTTATATAACTATATCTTTCTTTATAATCAATTTAATATTATAATGATTAATAATCTTTAAAAAGTATTCTCTTTTAGAATCTATATTTATACTAAAATTACTTTAAGTAGAATGATATATATTTATATTATTTATAATAAGATATTCAGTTTTTAATATATTTATTAAAGCTTTAAATAGAACTATTTAAAGATATTTTAATTAGATAGCTATCTTTTTTATAATTATATTTTTTGGCTTATTATATATATTATAAATTATTAATATTTAGAAACATTCTTTACGCTTATAATAGATTTATAAAATCTAATAATTCTTATTAATAATGATATAAATCTATTTTAATAGATTAATATACTTATTTATAAATAAAATTATCTAAATCTATTTCTTTAAATAAAGAAGTTAATATATTTAGGATATAAATTAATATATAATAATATTAAATTCATTATATTAAAGCTTTTAAACTATTATAATATTAATCTCTAAAATCTTTTTATTTTATAGAAATATTATTATAATGATATTTTAACGCCGACCTCATTGACGATATCCAAAGCCAGTGCCCTGGCACCCTCGCCATGGGCTACATCGACGACGTCCTAATCATGGCATACAGGGATTTAGCTGCTAACAACTACCACATACTCTTCTAAGCGTACCAGGTCGCAGAGCGCTAGAAATAAATATATATCTCTAAATTTATATCAGCTAAATACTAGTTAATATATTTTTAATAACAGCACTATAGCATACTTAAACTAGATATCTCTCTTAATACCTCTCTCATCCTATAAGATATTAAGATTACGCTAACTAGTGTTATTAAATATCTTAAAATATAACTAAACTCCAATCTCACTAATATAGTATAGATATATTAAATAAGAAAGTAAGCTATAGGTCTTATTACTAGAATAATCTTAATTATAGAATTTATTTAAAAAACTCTATTAGTCTATTTATAAAAGATTTATATAGTTATATTACTATTTCAAATCATATATATATACTTAATATAGTATATATATAAAAACTATAATTTCTATATTATTAAAAACACTGTTAAGAAGGCTATTTAATTAATTTAGTATTAGATATTATAATATATTTTTAAAATATTTTATTATATAAATTAATAGATTTTTAAAATCTATTTAAATATCTTTTTATTAGAGATTATCTTTATATAATTTATTAAAGAGATCTATCTATATATTATAATTTTACTAATTTACTTAAAGTTATATCAAATCTGAAATAATATATATTAAAATAATATATATATATTCTTTTTATATTACTTAGAAACAGCTATTAATACTAAATTAGAATAAAAGATATATTAATAAATAAAATTAATCTAGCTATTTATAATTCCTTTCTAATAATAGCTATTAAAAATATTAATTAATAAGAATTATAAGATAATATTTATTAAATTAAAAAAATAGATTCTTTTAATATAAATATTTATTAATAATAGTAGATTTAATAATAGAATTAAAACTATAATATATTCTATATTAAAGAATATTAATATATTTATAGATTCTGCTAATATATATACTATTTATATAAAGAAATTAGAAGATATTTATAAGATATTAATATTTTTTTTAAAGTAATCTAACTATATAGAATTCTAAAAGATTATAATTTATATTAATAATTAGATCACTATAACTATCTATAAAGTTTCCAAGCACTTATTAGATCAATATATTATATAGTGAATTATTAAATAATTAAATTATTTATATAAGGCTTACTGATATATATAAATATAATAGATATTAGATTATAAAGATATATCTAATAATAAAAAAGTTAATTAATTAGTAAAGCTTATTATAATAAAAGTAATTTATTATATTTATATTAAAGAGAAATGTATTTAGATTAATATATTTAACTAGATAATATTATATATTATATATATAATTTTTAATCTAATATTTTAGTATTAGAATATAATCTTAATAATAATCTATTATCAGTATCTATATATAGATTTTATTAAATAGTAAAAATAAAAGTAAAAAATTATTAAGTATAATTAAAATCTTTATTAGATATTTATTATATTAATAAAGATATTTTTACTATTATATATAGAGCTTTATAAAGTATAAAGCTTAATTTTAATTTAATTATAATTAGATAAATTAGTTTTATATATTTTTTTAATAGATATTAAAATTATCAATTTATTTATATATAACTGCGGCTAGGCTGTCATTTGGTTCGGTTCTGGTCCTGAGTTTCTGAACCAAACCTAAAAGTAGATCGGTTCGGTTTAGTTTCTAATATTGAAACCAGAACTAAAAACTAAATAATTCTAGCTCTCTAAACTGAAACTAAATCACGTTAAAGAAGAATTATTAATTATAATTAAATTAGTTTAAATCTAATCTAATTTTTATTTAAATAATTAAATTATATTAAAGAATTTTTAATTATAGTTAGATTTTATCTTTAAAAATATATTAAAATCTCTTTAAATTTTAGTGAATTAGATAGATAAATAATATAAAAATTAGAATTAATTATTTAAATTATAATTTTCTATCTAATTATTAAAATATATTAAAAAAAAATAGATAGATAATAATAAATATTATAAAATAAATATAGAAATATATATATATATTTTCTTCTATATAATATAATCTAAAAAATATAAATAAAAAATAGAAAAGATATTATTATTATTTAAATAATTTTTAAATTATAATCTAAATATTAAAAATTTATTATAATATTTATAAAAATATCTAAAATAAAATTTTAA